AGCGCCGGCTCGCGCGCGAAGCGGCCGGCATCACGCGCGGGGCGGCGGATGACGAGGACAACAGCGGCAGCGACGAGGAGCGCGACCCGTGGGAGACGGCCGCCGACAGCGACCCGGAGGACGCCGACGAGTGCATCTTTGACCCGGCCTGCGCGTACGACAACGCGCTCCTGGCGCGCATGAAGCAGGCCGAGGTCGCGCAGGACGCGCTCGACATGCACGCCGCGGCGAGCGGCGCCCTCGACTTTGCGCTCTACGTCACCGGCCAGAACGAGGCGCTGACCACGCTGGAGAACAAGGCCCGCGAGCTCAGCCAGGTCGTCAAGATTGCCAGCTTCCGCGGCCCCGAGCGCCGCCACGCCTACCGCCGCCACGCCGCCCGCTCTCAGCTGCCCGCCGAGCTGTACGACTGCTTCCACACCTCCATGTCGGGGAACCGCGGACCGACCGTGATGCTGAAGACGCCCGTCGCGCGTAGAGCTGCCCGCGCTCCAGTGAATGCGTACTAGGTCAACAGGCTGGCGGCTTGCTGCTGCTGCTCTCCCAAAGGGAGGAGGAAGAAGCAGCGGGCCGCGGAGGTAGCCAGAAACTGGAGACCTGGGATGATATACGAAGTTATTTGATCGATGTCTCTTTCGTAAGCTGCAGGCTTCTCTCGAGGAAGAGAGAGCCTGAAATGTTTCTCACAGCTTCATGCACACATTGGCGTTGGAGTTTTCGGTCAGTGCTGAAGAATGGTAGGATGGACTGGCACTTATTTGCAGCTCTGTTTCCTCATATGTAGTTTTATGCATTTATGAAGTAAAACGCTTGCAACAATGTTGTAGACAAGACCGCAGCACCATAGCATTTAGTCATCCTGCCCACCGACAAGATTTGCCACAGGCATCATCACCAGGAAAAAAAGAGCCGTCGATACAAGCACCCAATTCCATCAATGATCACGACATGTACACGAGAAGCGATGACCGACAAGCGATGGACGCCTACTTTCACGACTTCTTACGACCGACTCCTGCCGATCAAGAGAATTTGACGAGCACTCCCACCGCGTGCCGCTACAGATGAAGAGCGGAGAGGGCAGGGAAGTACGTGATTTTCTAGCAACGGGCTCTGATATATAAGCCGTTTTTAGAAAACATTGCAAGAGATGAGCGTGAATGTGCCAAGCTACTCAGGTAGTGTATTGAAGGGCGGTCTAGGGTCAGGCAGAAAGTCTGAAAAGAGACTCTAAACCCTAGCCCTATCTCTTATGGCATTAGAACAAGTGCTGGTCTACTCCGTAGATTCTTTTGGTATGCGAAAAATCCCTGTCTCTTATACCGGCCCAAAGCTTGCATGGCCCTGCAGAGACCATCCGGAAATACGGCGACAAACCCTGCGTATCCATTGAATACATCCGAGACCCATCGATGCTTCGCTTATCGAGACACAAATATTTAGCAACGGTTCACTCTTTCTCAGGATCAACAGAATATGCCATGGCAGGACTACAACGACGAGTACCGTCCCATTGCCCGGTTATGCCCATTCTGCGGTTCCTGCGGCCGCATCATGCAATCAGATGTATGCGTCGCCCAATTTGCGCCATGAAGTAGGAGTGGGGGTTCTCTCGTAAGGCTGAACGCCTTGTGATGAAGAACAGGCACGCTCCGCCTTCCTCCACGAGCCCGTTGAGCTAGTTATTCCAAGCGAGATGAGAGGCGGGGTCACCGCAGATGAACAAGCACCGAAGCAGACACACGCGACGAGTGTGGCGTAATATTGAACGTCTGCCCTGCCACGGCTTGTCAAGACGAGACGGACAAGTTGAGACGTGAGCCAGGGTCTATGTATTGTCGCGACGCTGCCTTTGTTTATGTCGAGGCTCAGGCCGCACCGCAGAACAAGCCCTGCTGTCGAGGCTCGCATTTCCAGTCGCGTTTCTCGCAATCAGGCTGCTGCGGCCAGTTGACCAAAATAGGAAAAACCAGTTCCTCGAGGCTCGCCCCTCGGTGGACAGCGAGCACACGCCCCCCAGCGGCCCGAAGGATTCTTGCGGCCCCTGGGCAATGTGTGACTCTGCTGCGCCCATTCTATTCATGGACGACCTGTTTGTCTCATGGTCCCCGCTCACGGTTAACCAATGTAGAGTAGCCACTGAGGAATCAGGCCCCAGCCTGATCAAGACGGGGGTCGGCCGAAAGATGCGACTGATTATAATAAGCAACATGATTCCCCGGCGTGATTTACATGTTTTGTTCTCTTCTTGGTTTCTTTTTTTCCTATACAAGACACGCTTCAATCGGTCACTACCTGCTCTTGCATTTTCCTCTTTCACTGCGTTGCCTTTATCGTCTGCCGTTCGACTTACACCACCATCATGCTGTCCAAGTCCTTCATCGCTGCTGCTCTCGCCCTCGCCGTTTCGGCGCAAACGTCTACCGACTGCAGTCCTCTTCTTAAAGGCACGTTCTCTTTTATACAAGTTCTTCGCATCACAAATTCCGAAACTAACTTGTTCCAGACTGCCCCGCCGATGCCGCCGTCGGCAAAAAGGGCATCAACTGCGACTTCACCAAGGGAGCCTGCGACGCCTTTGACCACATCGCCGGCAAGGCCGTCACTTACGGCCCGCGCGGCGCCGTGAGCGCCGTGGATGGCTCGTTCCAGGCGCCGACGCTCGTCTCCAAGGCGGCGCTCTTCTTCGGCCGCGTCGACGTCGAGATGCAGGCAGCGCCCGGCAGGGGCATCGTGACCAGCCTCGTGCTGCTGTCCGACGACCTCGACGAGATCGACCTCGAGGCGCTCGGCTTTGACAACGCAAACATCCAGTCCAACACGTTTTCGCGCGGCGACAAGGACAAGCACGACCTGCTCGGGCTGCTCCCCGTCGCCGACCTCACCGGCGCTAGCCACCGCTACACGGTGGACTGGACGACGGAGCGCATCGAGTTCTACGTCGACGGCGCGCTCAAGCGCACCCTTAAGCGCGCTGACATCCCCGACCGCTACCCCGAGAGCCCCATGCGCGTCCGCTTCGGCGCCTGGGTCGCCGGCGGCGACGGCAACCAGCCCGGCACCATCGATTGGGCCGGCGGCCGGCCCGACTTCTCCAAGGGCCCGGCCGCGTCGTACTTTAAGAGTGTCACCGTGGTCGACTACGCCGGCGGCAGCTCCGCCACCGACAAGGACGTCAAGGAGTACTCGTACGGCGACCGCACCGGCAGCTCCAAGAGCATCCGCGTCCATCTCGCCGATGGCAGCACCCCCAGCGGCGACAGCCCATCCGCGACGACCAAGTCGAGCTCGAGCGAGTCGTCCGTCACTGGCACCACGTCTGCCAAGAAAGCGGCTTCTACCACGGAGAGCACCTCGACGACGAGCGAGCACGCGAGCAACTCGACCATCACCACCAAGACGGCCACCTCCAGCACCGCCAAGCATACCCCTACTGGCTCGAGCCCGGCTACCACGCCGAGCCTCGGCGCGGCTGTTGGTCTGAGCATTGGTGCGGGTGTCGCTGCCGTGGCCGCCTTTTTGGCACTCTAAGTGTTGTGCCGGCGTGTATGGTCTGGCAGGCCAGTGACAAGTACTGTATTCGGCGTGGCGTGTATGATTAGTTCAGGTTGGAGCTTTTTCATAAATCACAGGAGTGGTTTTTCATCCTGATGCGTTACAGAATAATCGACTTTATTTACTCTAGCTACTCAATACCATTTGCTTCTTGGACTATGCTCATAGGATGTTCAGCGTAAATACAAAATTGAACAGCGGCGCTTACAGACGCAACCTTTCACCGTCAAGCCGACGACCACGGCGAAGGGTCCGGTCTGGTCGGCGGGAGTTGCCCTGGCCAACACGGGCTGTGCTTGTTCTCATGGGGCCATAGATGCACCGGGCACGACGCGCCGAGGCTCTTCGCATGCGGTGCTCAAATCATAGTACCAATGATGGTGGGTAGGCTGATGGCAACCTGCATTCCTGCACGAAATGGCGCCTAGGCTGACCAAATTTCGTCGCGAAGAACCCCAAAGCTTGATTTTGAGTAGAATAAACGGTGATGAGACTATATTATGCGATAAAGAAATAGCGCGAGAAGTTGCGGGCTGCAGCACTGGATTTGTCCAGACTCTCGCTCCAAAACACTTCAATATAGCACAGTCAGTGCGTCATCCAAAGATGTCGACTGGCCGAGCGAAATTGCAAAGACTATGCATGTGCCTTGCGTTGCTGGCAAAGTTGTAAGAACGTAAGCTTAAGGCAGCAAGCGCATGCAAACTATCCACACCAGGAATATGGTGTTTGTACCATCCGCCGCATGGTGAAGCGGAAAAGTGGGCGAAAAAAAAGGAAGAAAGAAGAAGAAAAAAACACAGACAAAAAAAACATACAGCAGCCGGTGTTCGCTGGTCGTCACCGACCCAACTACTAATCTGCCGGTCAATAGCTTGATTTCAGCGGAGCGGACGGGACGCGATATTTTCTACTGCCTATGGCCGTATGTACCAGTTGCTTACTGAAATAAGGTTATATAGCCATGCAGCCCCGATCACGCCACGCCATGGCAAGGAACAGCCTTATATAAGATAAGATGTATTCAAGGCTAACAAGAGGTGACTATTTGGAGAGAAGGTTTATAGGTTTATAGGTTTATAGCAAATTAGCATTGTTTTATAAAACTAACTACTATGTATCATGCACCATGAGTAGTGTTTTCTGGAAGTGTTTAAAGTAGAGATCTCGGAAAGAAAATGGCAGATCGCCCCAGTGCGCCCGAAAGGACAGAGCGCCAGGTGGCTGCAGCCTAACGGCCAAAGGGCCAGGTGTATTTTAGACCTCTGCCACGGCTTCCTTCAGCCATGCTGGCGGGTTCTTGGCGCTGTAGTCGTCGCGCAGGCTCTTTTCACCAAACACGGATGGCGGAAAGAACTCGGCCATGACGGGGATGAGGCCGCGCGAATCGCGAAGCATCCTGACCTGGGCAGACACGTACGTACCCGAGAATCCCATCGTAGGCCGACTCAGGAAGACAGCGCCGCAGTTCAGGAAGAAGACTTCGGTCTTGGTTCCCACCACCGCTGTCCTGCTCTCCACGTTGTCGTCCGGGCTGAAGACCAGGATGCTGTCCTCGGGGCTGTCCACGACGTGGTAGGAGGTAGCGTCGGAAATGGCACAGCTGGCGTCGTACTCGACGGCCAGACGGGCTGCGAAGAGCGCCGCGGTGGCGCGTGTCATGCCCTCCATCAGGGCGACGCCGCCGCCCGGGCACATGATGGACGCCCCGACTGTGCCGGGGGTGTCGATGATGTCCATGGCAAACTTGCAGAGACCTTCGCTGCGGCGGGGAATGTTGGTGACGGACACGTCAAACTGGCCGACGGGCACTTGCTGCTCCTCGACCGCGTCAGCGCGCTTGCCACGCTGGTGTTGGGCAGCGAGGATGGCAGCAAAGGCGCCGCTATCCAGACCCAGGTCGGGGGCGCTGCGCTGCGTCGCAGCGCCGGCGCCAGCCCACCCGTCCTCGCCCGCCTCGGCCACGGGCACCTCGGCGGCCGAGTCGGCCGCCATTGCCTGCTCCTGCCTCTGAGCCCGATCCCGGACGTTGCGCACATGGCAGGAGTACTGGCATCTGTCGTCGCGAACAGACATGATGCCGCGGACGACCTTGGGAGCAGGCACCGTGCTGCAGTCGGCGTTCTCACAGCCCGGAGCGAGACGCGGAAATCGGCTGGCTGTGGTGAAGCCGGAGAGGGTTGCGGCACCCAGTGCCATGAGGTAGGAAGGACGCATTTCTGGACAGTTTGACAGAAGAAACTGAGTTTTTTTGGACGAATAAAGGAACGAACGAAGTGAATGTATGAGTTGCTTGTGGAGTTTGTTGCAGAGTTGGGCAGAACAATGTCTTTATATAGATAGAGACACAACAGCCATGACTTGACCGCACTGCGATATTATGGCCTGTTGTTGAACTGAACCTTCCTGAAAGTATCTCATATAACACAGATACACAGCCATATATCGTGAACATCTATATGCCGCCGTACAATGGTTCTACGTCCATGATTCCATGATGACATCCATTACTCCACAAATAATAGTAGACAAACCTGGTCTCGATATTTGGGTCTCCGTGGCAGGGCCGCCAGATGGCTTCTCTTTGACGAGCCTGTCTGTTCTTGCCCGCTCTGCTGTTTTATGAACCTGGTGTCGCGCCTCTCCCTGATGAAGCCCGTAGACTATTTAGGGCAAAGACGGCAGCAATTTTAGCTGATATCGCCTACGTAGAATGTTTACTTCTTGCTGTCGTCGTAAACTCAACAAAGGCCGCGTCCCATACTGGTGGTGCGTGCGCCGGGGTGAGTTTGAACAGAGAAAAAGACAACCCCCCGGAGTAGCTCAGACCGAGCAGCCCTGTGGAAACTAGGTAGGTAGCCTTGCATGATTTTTACTGTAGTCGAGTCATGCACCTGATCTTCAAGATTAGCAAAAGAAAAGAAAAAAAAAGGTACAGCAATTTCGGCTCCAACGGAAGTCAAGCTCTGGCGGAGGACTGAGTCCGACTGACGGGTATGGTGTGATGTGAATCCACTCCATCAGCACCCCAAAACCACTTGTCTACCAGCTTGCCGCGGAACAACACCGATGAAGGAGTGTCTGATCTTCGTATTCCTGACGGGCCGACAAGGAGGGTGGGTGCAAGAGGGGTCGGCGAGGGCACTCGGGCACCCGGTGGCGTGGCCTTTGCAATACGTCAAGCAACAGCGTGCCGAGTCTGTGCACCGGGCAGCCGCGGAGTTGTGCGAGGCAGAGACAAGGCTGGTCCTGTTGTCGCCCTGTAACTACGTCACATCCAGGAAGCACATCTCTCCGCGCGCGAAACTCAGCCGAAAACTGTACTGGGCTTAATCACGACATTGGCCGAGCGAGTCTATCGATTCTTAATAAAGTCATAATATAATCTTGATAAAATAACCAATTTTCAATATAAAGCCTACGTACGGCCAGCAGGTTACTCCCTGGACTCATCCGATCATTCATCACTCAACAGGCGCCCCGTTGACCGAATTTGAGAGGAGACCCGCGCGCGTAACAGCTTCATGGCGCATTGCTGGCACACTGTCGAGAATACCAGATTTCTCTTCGCGAGAATAGTATAGATATGGTCCAGGTTTTCTAACAGTTGTCTTGGATAGTAAAGACTTGCAAGATGTACTGCGTAGCTATATTAATAATTTTGGTGCGAATTCGATATCACATTATTTGAGAAGCGTATCTTGCCAGACTTGGCAGGTGATTCGCAGTTTGGGACAGGTACCTGGATAGTAGCAGTTTCAGTGCCAAAGTGCCAACGTTGTAATTTGACTGTGAGGTTACAGGGCCCAGCTCAGCAGAAATACCCTATAACACTATGGCGGGGGCTGTCTCTGCCGCCAGTAAGGAGTAGTCGAGAAGACAAAAAAACAAGTTCATGTATTGAACAGTCAATATCAATACAGAATATTTCTACCTGATAATATGATAATATTTCTTTACACGCTCATTTGCCACTCTGACGCCCGCTTCGCTATTCAAACCTATTCAGAGCAGCAAGCCACCAAAATGTCCCGAAAATCCCCACGAACTAGCGCCAGACTAGGTACGTACCTGCCTAAAAAGAACGTATTTTAGTGCTTGGCGTTCCAGGCGCTCTGGGCCCATTCGCGGCCAATCTGGCCAATGAGAGTCGTCCATCTGCTGACAGAGCCCTCCCTGTGCCTCCGCCGCCCAGTCCAAGTGCCACGACACCTTCAACATCAGGACGTACGCTCGCTCCGTCATTACTTGCGCTCCCCCAAGCCTCCCGTGCCCTCTGCCATTGTTTTCTGTCGGGCTGGGGACTCACGCTTAATTCTACCGTCTTTCATTTCGCTCATCACCCTTCTGCATTGTGCATTGCTTTTCCGTTGGACTACCGACGACAGACGACCGTCGACCACAGCCAGCCTGCCCTCGTGCGACGGACCGTGTCCTTGCAAACCTAATATACCCGACGGTGTCGACTTGCTCACGCCCCCCCGCCAAAGCCTTGATTGCGCGTACATATACAGCCCCCAAACTCGATGCGGTGAACCCTTCAGCAGCCCCCCTCGACACCTCACCTCCCGCGTCTTGCTGCCAGACAGCAACCGCCATAATGAAAGTCGCAGCGATTCTCGGCCTCGTCGGCCTCGCTGCCGTCTCGACTGCGCAGGTCGCGCGCGACTACGATGCCAACGACTACTACGTTCTCCATCTGGATGAAGGCGTCCATCCCGCCCACGTCGCCGACCGTCTCGGCCTGCGGCACGAAGGCCCCCTAGGCGATCTCGACCAGCACTACATCTTCACATCTCCTAAATATGATCACGATGTCGTCAAGCGGCAGCTCCTCGACCGACGGAGACGGAAACGAGACGGCTCCCACGATATCCTCGACACTGTCCGCCTCGCCAGGAAACAGCAGCCGCGGACTATGCTACAGAAACGCATCCCTCCACCTCCTTTACTTGCCCCCCGTGCAGAGAAAAAGCCCGACATCGCAGCCGTAAGCAAGCAGAAAAACGTCATGCGGGTGCTTTCCATCAACGATCCCACATTCCCTGGCCAGTGGCATCTGTTCAACCCAATCCAACTAGGTCACGACGTCAACGTCACTGGCGCTTGGATCGAAGGCGTCACAGGCAAAAACGCCACTGTCGCCATTGTCGACGATGGCCTCGACATGCACAGTCTGGATCTCAAGGACAACTACTTCGCCGCGGGATCTTGGGATTTTAACGACAACGGCCCCGAGCCGTCGCCAAAGCTACCCGAGGATGGCCACGGAACCAGATGTGCCGGTGAAGTCGGTGCCGTCAGAAACGACGTGTGCGGTGTTGGTGTTGCTTACGACGCCAAGGTGGCCGGCATTCGCATCCTCAGCAAGCCCATCAGCGACATGGACGAGGCCGAGGCCATGATTTACAAGTACCAAGAAAATCAGATTTACTCCTGCTCCTGGGGTCCGCCAGATGATGGCCGCTCTATGGAGGCTCCTGGCGTCCTCATTCGCCGTGCGATGCTCAAGGGTATCCAAAAGGGCCGTGCCGGTCTTGGCACGATTTACGTCTTTGCCTCGGGCAACGGTGCCGCCTCAGAAGATAACTGCAACTTTGACGGCTACACCAATTCCATTTACAGCATCACTGTTGGTGCTGTGGACCGCGAAGGCAACCACCCATACTACTCGGAGCACTGTTCTGCCCAGCTCGTTGTTACATACAGCAGTGGAAGCGGCGACTCCATTCATACCACCGATGTCGGTCCCAACAAGTGTACAATCTCCCACGGAGGCACGTCTGCCGCTGCACCCTTGGCCGCCGGTATTTTTGCTCTCGTCATGGAAGTTCGCCCAGATCTGACCTGGAGAGATCTTCAATATCTCGCCCTCGAGACCGCCGTCAAGGTCGACGATCCCAACGCCGGTTGGGAAACTACTGCCATTGGCAAGCACTTTTCGCATACATTTGGCTACGGTAAAATCGATAGCTATGGCATCGTCCAGATGGCCAGGACCTGGGAGAAGGTCAAGCCCCAGGCTTGGTACTTTTCTCCCTGGATCCACGTCAAGACGGATATTCCTCAAGGGAATGAGGGCCTCGTCTCCACCTTTGAAGTTACCAAAGAGATGCTCAAGGAGGCCAACCTCGCTCGCCTGGAGCATGTCACCGTCACGATGAATGTCGACCACACCCGTCGCGGTGATCTTAGCGTGGACCTCGTCAGCCCTGAAAAATTCGTCAGCCACATTGCTACAACCCGAAAGATGGACACCCACGGCACCGGCTACATTGACTGGACCTTTATGAGTGTTGCCCACTGGGGCGAAAAGGGTGTCGGAAACTGGACCGTCATTGTTCGGGACAGCAACGTCAACGACCACACCGGCAAGTTTGTCGACTGGCACCTCAAGCTCTGGGGCGAATCCATCGATGCGGACAAGGCCACTCTCTTGCCCATGCCCACCGCCAACGACGATATCGACCACGACAAGGTCGAGACGGTCACCATGCCCGCCATCACCACATCCGTCCCGCCCCAGGCGACGCCCTCCCACACCGACACCGTCTCGCTGCCCGACGACCACATTGACCGCCCGACCAAGCCGGCCGGCGGCGCGACACCCTCGCCAACGACCTCGGATCCGGCCAGCACCCCTGCGGACCAGAAGCCCGCCGAGAGCAGCCCGCCCGCGTCCAACTGGATTTCGTGGCTACCATCTTTTGGTGCTTCTAAGACGGCCCAAATTTGGATCTACGGCGCCGCTGGCCTCATTGGCGCCTTTGGTATTGGCCTCGGCATTTTCTTCTACGTTGCCCGCCGCCGCCGCCTCCGCAACGACTCCCGCGAAAGCTACGAGTTTGAGCTCCTCGACGAGGAAGAAGGTCGCGACGGCAGCAGAGCCGCCGGCGCCGGCGGCGTGGAAAAGGGCCTCGTCTCGGGTAAATCGGGCCGTCGCACGCGCGGCGGCGAGCTCTACGACGCATTTGCCGACGGCAGCTCCGAGGAGGATTCCGACGACGAGTTCGACGCCTACAGAGATCGTTCGGCCGACCGCCTCGCCGGCATCGAGCACCTCCCCGAGGACGAGGAGCAGCACGTCATTGGTGACGAGAGCGACGAGGATGACTTGGCCCTGGATGAAAAGGCCGGTCAGGCACGGCCCCTGGCAAAATAAAGCGAATTTGCATATTTCCTTACTTATCCATAACGTCTTTCTTCTTTGTTCTTACTGCGTCTTTTCATTGGGTTGCGCTTGCTTTCTTAACATGTATACTTTTGTTACTGTATCGTCATTGCTTTGCATTGTTAATCATGGGGGAAAGATCCAAGGAGGAGCTGGGAGAAAAGGGGGGGGAAGAAAGTCCAACATGACAAGCTGTGGCAATGAGAAACAAAAGATACCACAGGATAGAAATACAGCATTTCTTTTATACCATGATTCGTTTCCTTGACAAGACGTGATGCTTTACATTCAAACACAGAGGGGGCTGGGTGGTTGGATAACTCATTTTTCCTAATGAAAACGCCTGAAACGACAAAAGGACGACATTCGTGGCTGTTGAACTGACTTGCCACAGTGGTTCAGTATATATACAAGTTGGACGAACAAGATCCCGACAACAACCTCATGCAGCCACGATGCCCTGCTTCTCCATCTCCATAATGTACGTCTCCCACGTCTCGGCGACAGATCCGTAAAACGCGACATGGGCGTCTGCCAATCCCGCGAGTTGGCTCTTCATCTCGATGCGCTTGATGCGCTCAAAGTCGCCCGTTTCGCGAACGACCTCGTCGTCGAAGCCGTCGCTCGTGTGGCGCGCGTTCTGCACCTCGTGCGTGAGCTCCTCGACGCGGAGCTCGAGCTTGCGCGTGCGCTCGCGGCGGGCCTGCTCGTGGTCGACGCCGCGGACGTCTTCGAGCTTGGCGCGGAAGAAGCCGCCGGGACCCGACGACGCGTGCCCCGCGTGGAGCTGGTCGCGCTCGGCGGTGGACTTGTTGAGGTACTCGGTGAGCTGCTCAAAGTCGAGCTGCTTCTGCTCGCGCGCGCGCAGGAGCTGCTTGAGGGCGAGCGAGTAGGCCTGCAGGTCGCGCAGCGAGCCGAGGTAGTCCTGGTCGGTGACGTCCTTGAGCGTGCGCAGCCGCGCGGCCGTGTCCTCGATGGACACGGCAAACGCGTGTGCCGATGGCTCGACGCCGGGCTCGAGCGTGATGAGCTTCTGGAACTGCTCGGCGAGGTCGCGCAGGTCCGTCTCGAGGTCCGCCTCGCGACGGACGACGCGCGCCACGACCTTTTCAATGTGGTTCAGGTCCTCGTCGAGCTTGTCGCTGCGCTCCTTGACCTCGATGAAGCGCTTGTCCGGGCGGTGCACCTTGGTGAAGGCGTTGATGAAGGTGTCGGCAAAGTTGTCAAAGACACCGCTGGACCCGTTGGGGTCGCTCGGCAGGCCGCTGCTGCCGCCGCCGCCGGCCCCCGCACGCGTCGTCTTGCTGCGCACCGTGGCGTTCCAGTCGGGGCTCTCGAGGAAGCTATGCAGGATGGGGGCGCGCCGCAGCACCGGGTGCAGCGACAACCGCACGAGGAAGCGCTGCAGCGAGTGCGAGCGGCGCGAGGTAAAGTCGCTCCCGAACCGGTCCCCGCGCACGTACTCCATGCGTTGCTTGTCGGGCAGCGGCGGGACCGCGGTCGCGGGGAAGTCGCGCATGAGCTGCTTGTAGAGGAAGACAAAGTCGGTGAATCGCCGTCGGACATTGGTGTCTTCTCGCTGGAACGAGGGAAAGGTAGACTACAAGATTGTGGCGTTAGCATCGGACTCGCTGGCGTGGCATGGCCGGGGCAAGCTGCAACAAGCTGCAACGTACGTGTGTCGTAATGAGGTAGGATACAAAGGCATCTTTGCTACCGTCATTCTCCTTGATAGGAGTTCCGACGGTGCAGTCCAGAATATGGCCGCCGCCCGTCGCGTCCTGCGGAAGGCCAACCTTGCCTGTCGACGGCGGCGCGGCTCCAGCATCGCGATCCGAGGCACCCGTTTGCTGCGGCGGCATGGCAGCGGCGCCGTCGGTTGGCTCGCTCCACGAGACGCTCGAAAAGTTATCTTGCTCACGCTCCGAGCCTTGTGACGCCATTCTGGGCTTTGAATCTGCGGTCTGTAATCTGAGGGACAAGAGGCGTCGCCTTCGGCTCGCTCCGGACGAGGCGGAGTCGAGAATGTCACAAACAAAGGTAGCCTGGACTACGAGAGCTGGGCGTAGCGGGGGGCAACGGATAAGTAGGGGGGTTGCAATTTGGCCTTGAAGCACTATATGAACACTCCGAACTGCGTCAATACAGGGCAAGAAGAGAGGAAGGACGAGTTGCGTTGAGATGAACAGAGCCGAATGTCGGATGGCAACCTGGAAGCTGGCCAATGTGGGGGATGATGTACAGTGGCAGATAGCGGCAGATAGCCTCTGTTGCTTCCCCCGCCAGTGCCTGCACCGCCGCGAACAGTGAGGAACAGGATTACGTCATCTAGCAAGCCACACAAAGAAAGGTAGCAGCATTGTCACCCATCTCATGTTTGCTTTCATTTGACAATGAAAATTCGAAAAATGCATATTCTATTTGCTGTTCCAGTGGTGTCGAGATATGTCTATTTGCGCTGTCCCCAAATCCCACTTCCAATTCCGTGTTTGATTGTAGTAGTGTTACAGGCCATTTGTTTTCCTAATGCCGTAAAAGTCGTACATATGAAAAAGACAAGTCGTAGAATTATAATAAATGAATGGGGGCCTTTTGGTATGACAACATGGCGCATCGTCAGGGACCTGCGTCGCTTACTTTTGTTCGCTGGGGGGAGCGGCCCTGGCCTCTTCCTTGGTCACCTCGACCTGGTCCTGCTCAGCGTCGACCATCTCGCCAGCTTGTTTCTTGCCAGCACCGGCCTCCTGGGCGTGCTGCTCGCGCTCCTCCTTCTCGTCAATGTCCTCGACATCGCGGGGGGTTGCCATGCCGGTGCTCTGGCTCTCCTCGTTTTGTTCGTTCTCGTCCTCAATCAGATCCTGCTGCTCGCGGATGACCTCGAGACGCTGCTTGTTGGTGGCGGCGCCCTCGGCGTTGTGCACTTCGAGCTCAATCTCGTGGTAAAGCTCCTCGGGAATCGAGGACAAGACACCGATAAGAGCCTCAATTTGGCCGCCGCCCTCGCCAGATCCCTGGCCATACATGTAGGCGTTGCTTAGAACGAGCAGCGTAGAAGGAACGCGCTCCTTGAGACGGAGATCCAGCCAAGTCTGCAGGTCGCTGCGCATACGAGCGGGGGAGATGCTATGGGTGCGGATACCACGGGCGGCGCATGCCACCTGCAGCTCAGCAACAGTCAGGCTGTCGACGCCCTCAAAGCTGATGGCACGATCATCTCTCTTAATCTGCTTCATGCGATGGCGGATCTGATAGCGAAGCATCATGTCGGTACCGAAGGTGTTGAGAGTCATGTAGCGGCACATGGAAACAAGTTGGGGTCGTGACAGGTTGTCGAGGGTTAGGTCATCGCGGAAGACCTGGCAGACCTTGATGACGTCTTCGTTGGTGGGCGCCTCGCCAGTGGACCGGACCTTGCGGAAAAAGTTGGCAAACTCTTCCTTTTGCGCCGTGGCAGCAGTCAAAGGCAGACCAGTTTCCTTTAGTGTTTGGCGGAGGAAACCGCTGACTTCTTTCCTTGTGCTTCGAAGAATGGTGGCCTTGGCCTCCTTGGACTTTTGGCCCTCGAATGTGCTAGGCAGCATGTTGGGGAACAGCTTGAGCGCGAGCGGGAGAAGAGCCTCGCCCAGCGGCACAATAATGAAGACTGAAAATGGCACAAGACGGCCCAGATCCTTGACAGTTCGCTGTAGTTGTCTGTGCTCTCTGCGCGTGAGCTCGTAGCCAGCCGCCATCTTTAAGGCTAGTCTCCAGCTAATCTTGACTTCAGCGACCAGCAGCTTACTACCATCCCAGTAGTGGCGGGCTTCTTTCTTGACTTTTTGCCAGAGAGTAAGCTTCTTTTCTTCCTTTTCTTTTTTGAGCAACTCTTTCTGATGCGCATGCTCATCCGACTTGGCCATCAGCTCCTCCATCTTCGCTTCGTCTTTGGACAGACCGGCGTCGGACGCGGGTTTATCTTTGGCGTCAGTCTTTGCGGATAAGGTCGCGTCTTTAGCGAGAGGCTTCTTAGCCTGCTCGGCATTGAAGCCAGGAGGCGGGCCAGCCGAGGCATCGGATCGGTGATGTTCGGTACTGATGTAACGGGCAGGCACAAGCAAAGCGAGCGCGGGAATTTGCGATTGGCGCAAAATGTGTCGGGATAGGAGCGCAGGCTGAATACTACGGGAAATATGGCGCGCTGCAAAGTGGTTAGCCGACGCGATGCTGTCACGGCTACAAGGTTCAACTTACAGGCAACCCCTAGATTGCCGCGGGTCGCCAGCTGAGCTGCCCTTGACGAGGCGCTCATGGTGACGGTCGGGTATAGGGCTGATGAAGAGGATAAAAGAAAACACCAAACACGTCTAGACAGACATGGGTAGTTGGTGTTGGCGGCGATGGTGGCGATGATATTGTTGGGAAGATGAAAACCCGCCGCAACGGATGCCAGAGCCTTCGATCAGGGTCTAGTGAGATTTGGCTGGCACCACTGCCAGGGCGACGGGGCCAGCTACCGGTTCCTCCGCGCCAGTTACGTACGGTGAGGTGGCGGCCACATCTCGGGACCGAGATCACGTGCTCAGTCACGTGGATGGTCTCACATTTCCCGACCGTCGTCTAGAGACGCATGTTGATCAAGTCAAGAAGTCTTCGTCATAATTTCACCTACAGTATCCGGCCTGAGAAAAACAATTGTGTGCTGCCGGATGGCATTGCAGAGCAAAAGCCGGGCAGTGCTCCAAGAGTCGGAGTGTTTGTGTCCAAGTCCGAGGTCAAATCTAACCAGTTGCAATAAGGAACTGATAATGCACTATCAAAAGTCGCTCTTCAAACACTATCAATACTTGGCATAGCAAAGTCAGCATAGTGCAGTATCTCATCAACTAGGCTGACTTTCCGAGGAGTCAGAGATGCTTCTGCAGACCCTAGACACCCAAGCACTCGAGTAGTCAGCATCGAAGCTGACTACATCAATGACGTCCAAGGATGGGAACTACATCAATGACGTCCAAGGATGGGAACTACCATAACTACTATCTAGCTCACGCACTTGTACTATGCTGGTCCTGCAAGGTGAAATTTGCGCAATTCGTGGCAGGCGAGCGATGCTTGACGTTTATGCCCAAGTTAAAATAACCCTGGGTTGCAGGATGGGATAATTGCAGCCGGCCTCGGATTTGGCAGCAGAAAAGAGCAACTAAATCACGAAACAGGACTTCAATATGGTACCAACAATTGGGTCTGAGGCTGACTACTCGATCCCAGCAATCGTGCAGCGGTCGGCTGCACCATACACAGACACACCTATTGTAATGTACCTTTTCAGCACCTATGCGGCATCTCGCCGAAGGGATGCTATTATTGAATTGTTATGCAGGCCCTGTGTGACGTGTCTGACACCAGCATTCAGGCCACCATAAGATCCGTCGCGGGGTATAAAAGACGGTCTTGTCCAAGTCCCCACGGATCGTTTGCAAGCATCATCCACTGATTTCCTCTCGATTGTCCTTCACTATTATCCAATTAACATGAGGGTCCCCATCCGTCGCGTCGCTCCCACAATGTCCAAGGAGAAGCTGGTCAACGCCGACGACGAGTGGTCGCCGCTCAAGGCCGTCATCGTCGGCCGCGCTGAGCACTCGTGTTATCCCAGCGAGCCTCGGCATTTGACGCGGGCCTTTGTGCCGCCAGAGTTTCTAGATCGGTTCCGGCCGCACAACCCCTTCTCCGCCGAGATTGTGGAAAATGCGCAGCAGGAGCTGGACACGTTTGCCGACGTGCTGCGGCAGCACGGCGTGACCGTGTACCGGCCGGACGAGGTGGACTGGCTCAAGCACGGCGGGTACACGGGGGCGATGCCGCGCGACCGGCTGCTGACGGTCGGGAACACGCTCATCGAGTCGATCCCGGCGTGGGGGTGCCGGCAGAAGGAGATTGAGCTCGGCTTCAGCACCATCCTGAGCCATCTGTCGCACCCAGAGGACGCGGCGTGGCGCGTGTTCCGGGCGCCGGTGCTGCACGGGCGCGACACCATCTACAACGGCAAGGAGCAGGACAAGTTTGACCCGGCGCACGACTGGGCCATTAGCAACACGCGGCCGGCGTTTGACGCTGCCGACTTTATGCGCTTCGGCAAGCACCTTCTCGGCCAGCTCAGCCACGTCACGAACCAAAAGGGCATTGACTACCTGCGGTCGGTGCTGCCCGAGGGCTACACGCTGGAGCTGATTGAGCCGACGTACGCGACGGTGATGCACATTGACACGACGCTGCTGCCGCTGCGCAAGGGGCTGCTCGTCTTCAACCCCGAGTACATTACCGAGGAGCGCCTGCGCGGACTCAAGGCGCTTGAAGGCTGGGAGTTGCACGCATACCCGTTCACGCCCAAGGAGACAGGCCCGCCCAACGGCCCGGAGCAGCCCATGGCATCGGGGTGGCTGGTGCTCAACGGGCTGAGCCTGGACGAGAATCGCATCTTTGTGGAGGAGTCCGCGACTGAGTTTGCGGAGTGGATCAAGGAAAAGTTTGGCATCGAGGCCATCATGCTGCCGTTTAAGCACGTCAACAGCATTGGCGGGTCGTTTCACTGCGCGACGGTCGATTTGGTGCGAGGGTAGGTGTTGATGGGGCGATACCAGAACGTCGAAGGTACCTACCTTTAGTCGTCAATTGAGCCAGTCTTTACATTCGTACAGCGATCGTTTTTCATGCTTGTGCTGTCTTCTGTCATCTTCAGGTACCTTAGTAATTAGTACCTGTATGTACCAGTGCGCTGTAGTTGCACTATAAATAGCGGGAATCCACTAGCTCGGACAATCAGGGGCCGCCGCCGCTGTCAACACCAGTGTCAAGTTTTTAGTGCCCGGAGAAGTGCTAAACTAGAGAAGTGCTAAACTAGCTTCGGGATACCTTGTGGTTTTTGGTGCATGCTTATTAAGGTATATATTTCACGTTATAGAGCATAGGTTGTGCAGGAAAAGGCCAGCGGGCGACAGCCTTCTTTCTCTCCCATTCGCAGCCTTACCGCCTTGCCACTGCAAGGTAGTACGATGCTTACATGACCCAACGAGTACATGGGCTGAGGGAGCGCCCCCCTTGCCTTCTCCGCACCAACAACTCGTCAAACGTGTTGGCACAACTACTGCCTTCGCTAAGATCCCAGCGTACAACGGCAAAGCACCATCTCGAGACGCAATCACGACCAAAACTCTCTTCTCTGCGTTTAAGCAATGACTTCTACTAATACGACCTATACCGAGAGCGATCCCCTCCTGCGAGCGGGTGACGAGTCCGTGGATGAAAATGCGCCAACCATAACGCAGGTGCTAGAAGAAGACGACAATCGAACTATAGCCCAGAGGCTTGCTATTCTATTGCCATGCTTAATGATTCTTGTTTGCATCATGGTTGGAAGCAGCCTGATGGATGTGCCACTGAATGAGATATCCGAGGCCATCATATGCAGAAACATCTTCGGCACCGTCCCCGAACCAGCGTCTGATCCACGCTGCAAGGGAAGTCAAGTCCAGTCTGAGTTGGCATTGATTGCCGGCTGGGAGTTTACCTTTGGCTTCATTCCGAGCCTGTTAGTAGGCGTACCCTTTGGTCTAGCCGCTGATAGGTACGGCCGCAGAGTTGTTCTTCTGCTAGCCAGCGTTGGCACTGTTCTTTTCATGCTAGCTGTTATTATCATCTGTGAGTGCACTCACGGTCGTCTGTTTGTGGTTTTATTTTGGCACTGCATCTAACTCACTGCCGTGCGTGCGCTTCTTGCCTTAGGTCGATATCCCGGCACATTCTCCCTTAGGTTGAGATGGCTCGCACCGATTTTCATGCTGATTGGTGGCGGTGTTTCAACACTCAACGCCATTATATATACCATTGTGGCAGACGTGTCGACAAAAGCATATAGGTATGAAGGCATCTTGGCATGTTTTGTCCCTTGAGCACCATCCCGTACTCTCCCTGAGACCGACCACCCATCAAGCACATTCCATAGCGTACACTAATCACGTCACAGGTCCACCGCCTTCTTATACCTGGCGACAGCAGCCACTGCCTGCGGCCTGGTCGCGAGTCCATTGACGTATCTAATGATGAATGGAGGTGGTGCCTGGTTTACCGTCTTCTTTGGGTTTGTGTTACTAGCTCTGGCCATACCCTTGGCTGCTTTCCTCCCTGAGACACGATGCACTGCAGTTCTTCAGAGGGCAGCGGCGGTTCGCCATGTCGCTGAGAGAAATCACCGCGACGACAAGCACAGTTCATGCTGGAATGTGCAACCAGTCATGCGTTCGACGTGGCAGCATCTGTCTTTGATAAACCGCACGCTCTTTGCTGGAAACCCCATTGTCGGGATACTGCTGTTCAGCACAGTATTCATTACGCTAGGCAAAAGTGTCGTCATGTTTCTGCTTCAGTATGTGGCGAAAAGGTTTGGGTGGTCTTGGGCCAAAGTAAGCAACCGAGGCTGCATGATTTCTGCTTCTTCTATTGCTTTGATGACTGACCATTCAATTTGTCTTAGGCTAGTCTACTCATCGGGATCAAGTATGCAGTTAGCATTGGTCTTACAGCCATTGTGTTACCTACACTGAGCCAAGTGCTGTTGAAGACTGGCATGGCACCACACATCAAAGACTGGTGGATTGTTCGAGTGAGCGCCATGATTGGTGTGCTTGGCGCGCTGGCAATGGGCATGGCTCCCACAGTAGAGCTGTTCATTAGCGCCTTGATCTTTACTGAGTTTGGCGGAGGCTTGCAAGTAGCACTACGCGGTCTTGTGACGGAGCTGGTGGACCAGTCGCATATCGCGCTGGTAATGACGGTGCTAGGCATGTTCATGACCATTAGCGAGATGGTTGCCGGCCCTCTCATGGCGCAGATGTTCAAAGTGGGCATGGACTGGGGAGGGTTGTGGGTTGGGATGCCTTATATAACCTCTGCGGCAATGCTGTTGGTAGGCACACTTCTAGTGACCTTGCTGCCAATTGGTCGACACATGGCAACTTGACCACCGGTTGAGTTGGAACGATAAATGGTTCACAGATTATGGCACCAAAACCAGCTACGTCAACGAATACGAGCAAGACCAGACTAAGGTGAGTACATGATTGTACTGACCTGATTTCCGCAGATCAGATATGCTTTCAAGTGATTGCCAGTTGCAATACTGGGAGATGGAGCTTTTCTCCTAGCTACTACTTCACCTGAAAAGGCCCTTTCGTTTGTTCTAGGGCCTGAAACAACTTATTCTCATATATTTCCAATCCATGCCTTTTTACGGGCGTCTGCTATTCCATAGTGCTTGGAACTCTGAGCCCGGCGTTGCGAGCAATTCATCAGGACTGCCCACCTCGGCAACCTTGCCGCCAGCCATGACGACAATGATGTCGTAGTGCCGCACAATCTCCAGACGATGTGCCACCTCGACCACGGTCTTGCCGCCAAGGTCGGGCCCAAGTGCCAAGCGCACCTCGTCGTCGGTGCGCGTGTCGACGCTGCTCGTCGCCTCGTCTAGCAGGACAACGCCACCAGCCGTGCTGCTTCCGCATCGGAGCGAGATGCGCGCCATGCAAATAAGCTGCAGCTGGCCGGCCGACAAATTTAAGTCTTCGTGCTTGGCGTCTAGGCCGCCGCGTGATTGGAGGAACGGCCACATGGCCGCCTTGGTGAGGGCTTGGATGAGCGGCTCGTCGGCTTGCGTCTTGCCCTCGGGGTCAAGGCTGTGACGCACCGTGCCGGGAAGACGAAAGGCATCTTGAGGGAAGGCTGAGAGCCTGGACCGAATCAGCTGTCGGGGAAGCCTGGCCAGGTCGATACCATCGATGCGCATGGTGCCACTGCGTAGCTCAAGGAGTCTTGACAAAGCAGCGATGAGAGACGACTTTCCGCTCCCCGATCGTCCACAGACACCGACCTTGGTTCCAGGCTCAATCATGAGAGTAACACCACGGAGAATGTCCTCGCCGTCGTTGCTATAGGCAGCAACAACATTCTCTAGCTCGATGCGACCCTGTGAGGGCCAGTCTACGCCGGGCTTCTCCGTTTCTTCCGACTTGTTCTCATTGGGAGTGTACTTGTTGAACCATTTCAATCTGGCAATGGCACCGAGCGAAGTCTCGAGCTGTGTCCAGGCCATGATGACGCTGGATAGAGTGAAGTTGAAACTGATGACGTTTACCAAGGCCAGGCCAACGGCACCTCCAGAAGTTGACGAGGGGAGAATGACGGCGAAAATGACGAGAACCAAAGCCATTCCTGCAGAAAACAAGTCCAAAACTACCTGTAGCCAGCGCTGGATGCAGAACATTATGTAGTAAGGCTTCTGCGAGGTGTTAAGACGCTGATAGTTCTTGGCCTTTATAGCGCGGGCCCAGCCAAATGCGCGGATTGTCGTAAGGCCCGCGATGGTTTCCGTAAATTGCGTGTACAGCGGGGACTTGAGTTCTAAGTTGAGAAATCGGATCTGACGAGAGGTTCGTAGATAGTATTGTTGAATCATGTAGACGGCAATAAGTCTAAAGGGAATGATTACTCCAACATAGGACGCCCTAGAAGCGATGACGGCTGTGTCTGCAATGGCCTGTACAACTAAAATAACAGTCCCTATAAACGCTATGGGTAAAGCTTGATTAATGAGGCTTATATCTTGACTGAATCGATTCAGGGTGATGCTATTGTCAGTTGAGGTGAAGAAATGTAGAGGCGTACGTATAACAGCCGTTAGCAAAGTGGTGTGAAGACGATTGGCAGATCTCGGGACGCCCACGATTAAGAAGTACGCAATGATGATAGGCTGGAAGAAAGAGGCGAGGATGGCAAAGGCTATGTAGCCTCCCATGTAGCGGAGCTTGCTTGTGTTAGTCCCCCTCTCGGTCCAGAGCCGAAGCCAAATCTGAGGCATCTTTTCAATGCCAACACTGACACAGACTAAGATGACAGTGATGACGACGATAGAAATGCCCAGCGCCTTGAGATAGATCTTGTAGTAGTCAATGTCTCCAGTTTGACGACTTAGCTTAATCTTGACCTGCTTTGTCTTCTCCTCAATGTCGAGCTCGGCCCTCTGGAGCGGCTTTTTGAACTGCACGCGCTCAACGGGATCCTCGAAAACGACAGTAGAGTCAGCCTCGTCCTCTAGAACACCCCAGTCAGAGGGCCCGAATGCGCTGTATGGAACTTGGTTGCGCACAATGCAGCCGTCTTTCATCATGGTGATATAATCAGCAGCTGTTAGGAAGTTGACATTGTTCGTAGCCATAACGACGGTCTGGCCATTTCTGCGGAGCAAACCATCTCGGCTGAGGAGGCGATTGAAGACAGATTTGGACGTTTTGGTATCGAGGCTACTGAACACATCGTCGAGGACGACAAAATCCTTTGCAGAAAAGACGGCGCGAGCAAGAGAAACTCTCTGCTTTTGGCCACCGCTGAGAGCTACACCTCCCGAGCCCACCAGGGTTTGCTGACCGTTGGCAAGCGCTGCAAAATCTTCATCAAGACCACACGCAGCGACTACCGTTTTGAACCATTTTTCATCGTACTGGGATTGGCCAACGATATTCTGCTCGATAGTGACATTTAGGATCCACGGTGTTTGGTCGCAGTAGGCAGCATATTGAGAGCCAGAGTCCACAGAACCCGAGTCAATTGGCAATTCGCCGACCATGGCTTTGAGGAATGACGACTTGCCGCATCCCACACGACCTACTACCATGGAGAGGGTCCCACGATGGACTTGTAGAGAAATACCGCGAAGAACACCTTTCTTATCACCAGTAGAAAAAGTCGCATCCTTGAACTCAACCACAGTCCCTGACGGCTCCCGAACAGAAATGGAAGCCATCTCAACGCCCCGAGAGCAATGAATGAGAGGTATGGTCTGATCGTGAGTGGACAAGGGAGGACAAGACTTGCCTGACTTGTCTGACAAGCAGCGAGGGTCTTTGCGGACTTCGGACAACAGGAATTCTTGAAGACGGGTAAAGCTGCCGACTATACCGAAGAGCTGCATCATGGACACAAGAAGAATCAGTATCGGGTTCGACGCAATGGCAATGATGGAGAGCGATGTGAAAGCGGCGGCGACACTAAGACCCTCGCCGGCCTTTGTCCAAAAAATAGCAGCAAGAATGACAATGACTGGAGTGGTAGACGCCGAGGCTGTTGCAAGTCCATGCAAATAGACCTGAATCCAGCGAAACTTGACCGAGAGTCTCAGTTCACGGGCCCTCGATTCCTGAAGGCGAGCCAGGAAGAAATCGGTCAGACCCATCATCTTGACGCCCTTGATTTGGCTGAGCATGTTGGATGTATCACCAACTCGCTGCTGGATGGCCGTGTTCCATAGGACCCTCGCTGGTCCGAGTTTCGGCGCAATGACGGCAGCACACACCGTGGTTACAAGGGCGGGAACAAGAATCAACAGACTCGGGACGCCAACCTGTCGGTATAACAAGAAAAGCGACAATGGAAGCTCAATCAAGGCAGCCCAGATGTCGTGGATAACAGCTCCACCTGCGGCGATGCCTTCGACGTCGGTGCTCATGAGTGTGACGGGGGCCATGTCGCGAATCCCCGAGGCCTCGATTTCAAGCGTTCTTTTGAACACGAGAGCAACAAGACCACCGCGGTACATGGTAAGCAGCTGATACGTCGCATGTCGATACCAGGCGTGGCTCACGGCGCGTCCTGTGTAAAGGAGGATCGTGGCGCCAATGAGGCTCGCGCCTTCTGTCCCGTTTCTGTTGTGATCCCCTTGCGAAACATAGCCAACGACCGAGGAGATGAGGAAGGGTTGCGAGAGAGTGAAGCCGCTGTACAGAAGCCTGGGAAGAATCCCCGCCGCGAACTGACCCTTGTACGCCAGAAACGTGCATTTGAGCAGACTGTTGCTGCCTTGTTTTCCATCTAGTACGAGTGAGAAATGGCAGTTAAAGAAGGTGTCTGCAAGTACACACCAGTATCCCAGACCTTTTCCAGCTTTTGCAGCAGGATCTGCGAATCAAACTTGGGCGCCATGGGGCCCATGTGATTGACGTCCAGCACAGACGTGTAGCCCATGGACAGGAAGCCGTTCAGCCACCAAAAGACGCTGCGGCTGATGAAGCCGGCGCGCGTCTCGCGCGACTGCGACTTCTCGCGTGCGAGGAGCGTCTTGGGCATCTCCTCCAGCACCAAGAGACACAGGCGAGCCAGCAAGGCAGCCGTGAGGACGCCCGCCAGCGGCGGCTGCTCGGCGGCGCGGATCCATGCGGTGCGGATCGAGGCGACGTGGAGGATGCTGCTGACAATCAGGTAGATGCTGAGCAGAAGAGACTGGCTCGGCGAGCGACGGTGCTCGAAAAAGGACAGCGCGAGAATGGTGATGCTCTCCAGGACACCCAGGACGCCGTCTGCGATGGATGTCTTGGCTCTGTGGGTTGCTGGGAGACTCCAAAGAGCCAGGACGGCAACCTGCAGCGCAAAAAGAACACCAGCCGTTGACTGTTTGCCGTACGCAGTGATTAGTGCTACAATCAAAAAAAGAATCTGGCTGTTTTCCTCGGGAAGCCTTACCAGTTTGGCGAATAAAAGCGTGCGCGAGCCAACGCATTCCCGTCTCCTCCACAGCTGAGCAATGCGGCAGGGCGCGACCAGGACAAAGGCGACGGCCGGCAGAAGCGAAAACAGGCTGTGCTCAAAGACGAGCGTAAAGTCAAAGTAGCCCGGGAGCTTGGGGCCAAAACCATCGTCGCCGGACGCCATGATGGTGAGTCTTGTTCACAATGGTTCAATAACAAAAGTGAATTTCGCATCGCCAGCTCTCCCTGCTGTTCTGACGAGGGTGCCTCCTAAACTACTTGTACGGTTTGTCTTTGCGGACTTGTTGGAGTTGCTCCTGTAAGTATACAAACGGGGTCGACGGGCTGGAGGTGACCGCGCTGGACGGGCTCTCGGAGTCTACATGCAGCCCGGCCTTTTGCACCCCATGGTTGGGTGGGTTGAGAAGAGCAGCTTTCGTGCCTGTTTCCCCAATCTAGTTTTTATCGTGGTTGGTGTTTTTTTTCTACTTTGTCGTTGATGCTGGGTATGACCGGGTTTGGCTCATGCGTTCGTTATCTCACTTGGCACCGCCAACCTTGTCTTCTGGTTTCGTGGCAGCGGCCACATATAGGCTGAAAATGATCATGTCTTGCGTCAACTTGTCAACTTGTTCGTTTGTTTCCCGACTTCGGGGTTGCTTTCTCCCCGATAAAGCCTTTTACCTGCTGGTTGGTGACTAGTGGCCTTTTGCCTCGCCCATGCCTCACGAGTGAGTAAGTCTTGGCTCTGCGGGCGGCGGCCTCCGTATGAAGCCTGGCGCCGTCCCATGTCCTTTCCCGGCCCTCGTTCCCGGTCCTCCATTATTAATACCTAGCGCGTAAGCCACTTTCAGGTAATTAAAACGGCTTTGGTGTGCGATAGCGCGTTGACATGGAGGTATCTGCAATCGTGGTTTACCGCTGAGCGAGCTATCTATTATCTCCCCGCAGCTAGTTATCGCTTGAGCCTGAGCTGAAATGACCACGTGAGAAATTCCCACATTACGCCTACGTGGAATGAATGGTCGCGAACGATGATTGGATTTTCTGGAATCCGTGTTGTTGGACAGGACCACTCCAGGACCTTGGGCTGGATGATAGTAGCGGAATTTCCGAGGAAAATGGTCGCTAGCATCTCAGAAATGAAAGCATGCCACTAGCACAAGTTTACAATAGGGAAAGTTGTAAAATACAGCAAACTACACTATCAAGCGGTGGAAGTTTTGGATGTCGAGGCGGGAAGAGCTTGCTAACTGTGGGAAGGAAAGCGTAGCTGACTGGTGCTCCAATCTAGTTAGGAGACGACATGTTTGATACGCTGTAGACTCTCATCTATGAAAGGGTTTAGTTCTGGTTTGCTAGCAGCTCAGCTTTACTACTAGTTTTTCTTTAACTTGATATTAATAAACGATTAAATAAACTAATCAACTTAATTTAAACATAACAATAATATCATTATTCGTGTGGGGGTGTGGCACGTGTAGGTCTACAATCCTTTTACACCTGGCTTGTTTGTTTCTTTGTGATACGGTAGGGCAACACGCATATACCAGCCTCGCACAAGTTTTTAAACAGCCGAGTTCCGGCAAGACGAACCCTCTACCACTTTGTCTTTGCCGAACTTCTGACAATCATGCTTTCACCCACTCGACGCCTGAACCACAGCCTTCCAAGGGTCAAGAACCTGTTGGATGTCTGTGTCGTTGGCGCCGGCGGCGTGGGGACAATTGCAGCTTATGTCCTTGAGAACTCGCAGCGCGCCCGTGTCACAGCAGTATTGCGATCCAATTACGCGCTCGTCAAGGAACGTGGTTTCGACATTGACTCGATCGACCATGGAAAGGTCACAAACTGGAGGCCGCATAATGGTAGGTCAAGAGGGGAAACACGGGGATTTCGTCTCTCGTAGCCTAGGCTGATCTCATCTGCTTCTGACAGTTGTCTCTGGCTTTGCGTCCGCCGCGGCCGACAAAAAAAGCTACGACTTCATTGTCATCACGACCAAAGCCCTGCCAGATCTGACGTCGTCTATCATTGCCGATTTGAAACCATTGATCACGCCGGGAAAGACTAGCCTCGCCCTACTTCAAAATGGACTGGCCATCGAGGCACCCTTCGCCGCCGCCTTCCCCAACACACCAATCTTGTCGAGCGTCAGCATGATCGGTTCTCGCCTCACCAACTCGACGTCAGTTTTCCACCAGTACCCGGACGTATCGAAGATTGGCGCACACCTGCACCACGTCGACGACACGTTTACGGGCGCGACGCAACACGCCGCGGCGGCGCTCTATGTCGACGTGTACAATGCGGGGCTCGCGGCCGCGAAAGCCAAGACCAACGCACGCTGCCTGCTGGTGGAGGACATCTCGGGGGCCCGCTGGGCGAAGCTGCTGTGGAACGCGTCGTTCAACACGCTGTGCACGGTGCTGCGCATCCCGGTCGGCGAGCTGCTTTCGGGCCCGGGTCGGAACACGCTGCTGGAGCCGGCGATGCGCGAGGTCGCGGCGGTGGCGACGGCCGCGGGCTACGGGGACGCCGTGTCGGAAGACATGATTCAGAACATGCTGCACGACTCGGCTCCCACGAGCACGTTTCGGCCCAGCATGTTGGTCGACCTCGAGAATGAACGGCCACTGGAGCTGGAGGTTATTCTTGGAGCGCCGTTGAAGGTGGCCAAGGAGAAGGGTGTCAGTACACCGATTTTGACTCAGGTCTATGAGCTCTTGAATCAGATTCAGTGGAAGTTGACGTAGAGCAGTAAGGTAGTCAGTCACTGAGGAATTTTTAGCTTGAATGAGGTTGTCAAATGCCCTGGTTAGGCTCTCGCGTCTCCTGAGACGGGCTTAGTAATCACCCGTTGAATGCCACCCAACAGTCCTTGACCCTTAGCCCAAATTTACGCCCTTTTCCCCGTTCAACAGTAATATGTACATGCACATTTGCACATGACGGTCGGCAGTACGGGCTCGTCCCCCGCAACCGGGTCAGGGGCAGCTGCCGGTAGCGGCGTCAGCGCCCAAGAACGGCGTCATCGTTGCACAATCGTGGGATGGTGCGGTACTTGATGACAGGCCTTTACTAATGCAGAATGCAGGTATCGCACTATCTATCTACCAACGTGGCGCCATCTCAGCTCCCCGCCCCAACAGGATCCGCAAGGCCAGGCCAAAATGGCGGCGTACCGGTACAACGCTCCGCTCGTAGAATGAGTGAGCGGCCAGGTATCAAGTCCGTTTCAGTACTTGGCAGCCAACTCGGCGCTCTTCTCAGTGGCTGATCCCCCTCTCCTGCTCGGGAAATCAGTCCCTTTTTTCACGTTCTTGTGCTTGTGATTCCCTGTTGCCTGCGGTTTGCTCGGTGCCACTCCCCCAGACTGCTGCCTTCTTACCTCCATATCTCCGTTCCACACTCAACATCTCATACTATCCTCTCCGAATCCCCCCCTCCTACATCCCTTCTCCCGACAATTCCGTGCATCCTGTATTACTACTCTCTCTTTATCCGCTCACGTCCAAGCCCGCGCCCCTTTTATCATTATTTTTCCTCGTTTCCTTATAAACAGCGACTCTTGTTCCACAACCGTCCCGGACAGGCCTTATCTCCTGCCCCATTTTAAATCCAAGGGCCCGGGTTGGTCAGTTTCGCAAAAGGGTCTCTCCGAGTTCGCGGGGTCCTCTTCATCTCGCGTGTCTTTGAGAAAAATCAAATAAAAGAATCCGGCGCCGCCGACGATGAAGCTGAAGCGCGCCGCCCGTGTGCTTCTTGTGGGAGCTCCAGGCGTCGGTAAGGGCACGCAGACGGAACGCCTGCTGCAGCGCTTTCCCCAGCTACAGGCCATTAGCACCGGCGACCTGCTCCGGACTAATGTCAAGAAGCGCACGCCGCTCGGTACGTCCTGCGCATCCCAGCCCCTTGCCAACTCAGCTCCCGTGTTAACGTAGCTTTCTCCCCTGCAGGCATCCAGGTCGAGAGCATCATGAAGTCGGGCGGCCTGGTCGCCGACAGCCTCATGCTCCGCCTCATCTCCAACGAGCTCCAGCAAAGGGGCTGGCTCTTCGGCCGCCGCCCCAACGTCATGACGCTGTCTTCAATGGCCACGGCCGCCGACGCCTACAACAACGGCGACTCCTTGTATCCCGATCCGTTTGCGCACCAAGACGCCACCGCACCGCCGCCGCAAGCCTCCGAAGACCCGACCGCGTCCTTTATCCTCGACGGCTACCCACGCAATGCCGCGCAGGCGCTGAGCCTGGACCGCATCGTGCCCCTCAACCTGGCCGTCTCTATCAAGACGCCCTTTGACGTGATTCTGGAGCGCATCGCCGGCCGGTGGGTGCACGAGCCATCGGGCCGCGTGTACAACACGACGTTCAACAGGCCACGGGAGGCGGGCGTCGATGACATCACGGGCGAACCGCTGGTGCAGCGCCCCGACGACAACGAAAATGTATACCGCGCGCGCTTCCAAAAATTCCGCGAGAGCAGCGAGCCACTGCTGGAGCACTACGCCAAAAAGGGCGTCCTGATCGAGGTGGAGGGCCTGAGCAGTGATGAGATTAGTCCCAAGCTCTATGCCGAGTTTGAGAAGCGTTTCGTCGACTGATGCGATTACATGGGACAAAGGAAGAGCAGCACATTATCTTGTTCAATCGTGGGACTATTTGACCCTGGAGTTTTCATCATCATCATCACAGTCTTGTAATGCGCTATACCGGCGCGGGCGTTTTTGAGCGGGTTCTTTCGGTTTTTGCTTGCCAGCGCACTGGCGCATGCCTCTTCGAGCGAGGACAGACAATCTATTCAACTGATTGTATACAGGGCGATGGGGGACGTGTGAGGGGTGTGGGATGGGATATGGAGGGTTGTGTACAAAGACGGCCGCACTGACCCTATGAGTTACAGTAGACCTGGCCGACGGCCGTGGCTATGAGTTATCACTAACAAAGAATAAAGTATGTATAGTCCAAGATCTTGATCACAAACTCACCGACTTGTTCCGCAATCTGCCACGTGACAACTCTGCAACACGATGAGATGAGAACATGGGCACTTAGTGAGCAATGCGCGGTAGCACAGTAATGGTAGAAACTGATTAATGAGGCCCAATCTACCCTTTCCAAAGCCACGGATGCGGTTCTCGGTTAAACTGCCCCGACTTTTTTGCCTTTGAGTCTGGTACAAAGCGGCGACTGAGGGGTTTGAAGTTGGGGTCGGCGCGGGATTAGCATACGAGCCAGAATGTGAACCAGAATGGAATAACGGCCCCAACGCGGATCAGAGAGATAACAATATACTATTTTCTTTGTTCTGTCGCGTGGTTTTGAATCCTCCGTAGACGTCTCCTCTTCTCCTTGATGCCGTGCATGATGTGCTACCTATACTCGAACGCAGATATTGTTCAGGGTAGGTTCAAAGCTGAAGCGCAGGATCCGAGTCAAGAGGGGCTAACGTGCGACGTCCTCGGTAACTAGTAATACCTTGTACATGGGCTAGTTAGTCAGGGTCTTGGGTTCGGTGCCTGCTCGAGAAAAAAGGACTCAAGCCGAGAACCGGGGTATTTGTCGCTTGGCGGCTGTGGATGAGCTGACATGGAGAGATGTTGATGGCGCAGTGGTGCAATACGATGAAATCCTTGGACATTTTGTCACGCAAAACTTGGGCGCGCTTTAATAGACTATTGCTACGAATACAATCATGCGCCTCTCTGCGGATACTGCCTGCTACTTACTCAGTATGGCAGCATGGTGGCTGGTGGTACAAAATATGCAGAGCAGACTCCCGGTGGTTAGACATGTACATAGTTACCTAGGTAGATTAGATCGAACCTCTTGCGACTGGAATGCGGACGGGTAGTTCAGCATGCCATCCGGACTTTCGGTTAAAAATCCAAACGAAAAGACGACCCCCGCACGAAATGAAGAGCGAAATTAGCCAATTCAATTTTTTTCCTTTGTCCATCTGCTCAACTGGACGACCGAGCGTCATTCGGATGAGAAGCACAAATGGTCGCCCATGGCTACGAGGTTTGGTTACCGGGCCAGCAGAACCAGCTGGGAGGCGTGAGGAGACGCTGGCTGACAGTTGATTGGCGCTTTCTCTTCTTTGGTGGGGTGGATGGCGGGCGGGGAGGGGGGTGGGTTTTGTACCTGTGGGGGGGCGACAAGTCGGACCCTGTTGCGGTGTGATGGGGATGGGGATGATGAATAGAGTTGCGACAACGGTGGTAAAAAAAAAAGAGGAAAATATTCCGATGTCTGGGGAGCATTGCAGAATGGACACTGCATCATGCTGGGTAATGTGTATTGAGTTTTACTGGATTTGTAGAGTGTACTGCAGTCAAAAGTCAAGACTGTGTAGGTACCTCAGAGGTACTAACGTATCCAGTGCACATGCAATTGCTCTGGCCGTTTTAGTTACAGAACGTTTTGGCGGGTTACAGAGGCTCGGTTGGCAGATTGGGCACCCACTGTTGGCCCATTTCCGCTAACCACGGCAGGAAGACGGCTTGCACGGGTACAGATTTAGCAGCAGAATAAGGTACCGAGTAGGGTACGTACCCCGGCGCTGAATTGGCTAGGGAACTGACTTGGGGAACTGACTTGTTGATCAATTAGTTAGTTACCTAGTTACAGTAATCATTGATATTGGATCATGTCGCCATTGCTCATCGTCATTATTCAGACTGTTGTGATTGTGACGACAGTACAGGATACTGCTTCAACTTGCATTCTCCCGCACTGTGACAAGTAGAGTACATGGTCATCGTTTCATCCGATTCCTGAGCTGCCTCACGTCACCACGGCACAAAGAGGGTGTATCGCCATCATTAGTTATTCCATTTTGATTCTCAACGCCATCATTGTTTTGCAGAACCCGGCCCGGGGCAAGGCGGACACAAAGCCACCACCACCTTCAAAACCCAAGCTACACCCCCCCCCCTCTCCAACCACACTCCTTGCCTTGCCCTCCTCTATTGGCCAAGCTCATCGGCACCGCCAACGCATCAACCCATCCATCCCCTGTAGGCTGTCTGCTCTTCCTCGCCTCTCGTCGTTTTTTTCTTGATTTCCTCTGCCAGGCCTTGCCAGGCCTTCTCTGCGCGACAATAACAAAGCCTCACCTGTTCATTTCCTCCTCGTTTCCGACCCGGACCTGTTCCTCCCATCCATCCTCCCCCATCGTACCCCCTCACCTGGACCGTGCATTCGTCTCCCAGAACCCGGTCCTTCTCGCCAAAATCGACCCTCCTCCTCACCACGCCCCCCCAAAGGCACCTCACAGGCCAAGCTTCACTTTTGCATCAGCCCGCCTCTGCGCCGTACAAGCACATCGCCGTGCGGTACTCCCGATTTTCCCCTCATCCGTCATCCGCAAGAGCACATTCGACTCACTTGCAGTGCTTCCGGTTCTCGATTCCTTTTTGATTGCCATCTTTTTTTGTCGGGCGCATTTCTCTATTCCATCTCATACGGACTGGCCTGTTTGCTGCGTCCGCGCACTCGCCCGTCCGTCGTTTGTCCTCGCCCTAGTTAGCATTTTCGTCTTGCTTTCTTGTTTCAAGCCTGCCTCCGATTTCAGTCGTCTCATTCTTCTCCTTCTCACCTTCAACACACTGCTCTGAACAGTGTTAATTTGTACTGTATGCTTCCCCATCGCCTATTCATTCCCTGCCTCGCTACACCCGTCCTGAGCTCGCCGCCACCCACGTTCATGCATGCCACAGTCAGACTTGTTTCGGCACCCACAATCTAACAGTTGTCGCAGATTCCCTTCTGACTTGCGTTGCCGAGCCGTTTTCATTGCTCGTTCCGAATGTCTTGATATTCGCCTTCTTCATCTTTTTCGCCTTCCGTTGAATCTGCCGCCTTGCAGCCTTGGCGTCAGTTAGACCCCCGAATAATACCCTTGACACGAACCAGCACCGTCGGAGGCCTGGTTTACGCACACGATACACCTGGCCGGCGGCTGTACCATCATGGGCGCTGATAGAAAAATCCCCCCATTGCCTGCGCCGACCGAAACCGACACCACCACGCCTACCGAGTTGGCCACCGACAACACCACCGATGTGTCCAAGCCCGGCGACGACAAGTCCACCTACTCTCTCCCCGAGGACGGCACCCCAGTAACCATCCGCACCCGCGGCCACAAAGCCAACAAGTCCCAGACCTCACTCCTTATTGAGTACTTTGAGGGTGGCAAGGCCTCATCTTCCTCGGCCGAACGCAGACCCAGCGTCCGCGTTCGCCTCACACCCTCCAAAAAGGGCAAAGGCGACCACTTTCAAGTCACAGAAACAAAGGGCTCTCGAAAAGTCTCCCTCACCCGCCGCATCCCTGTCGACCACCCGTCAGCAGACCTACACCTTCCTGAAGGCGACGACGCTCACAGCATGACTTCCTACGCCTCCGCCACCGAAGAGTCTAACGTCTCCAGGAATCCCATTGATATTGAGATTGAGCGAAGCCACCGCCGTCGTCGCCCCCCCAGTCCATTAATTCCCTCGGAGGACAGAGTCTCGTACCAACCTGGAAACATGTCCGAGATCTCTGCCATCCCCACGGACAGCTTCCTAGATGGCACCGGCGGTATGAGTGAACTCAAGCACTCCAGAGGTGACATCATGGCCGGAGCCGCTGCCACGGCGTTAGCTGGCGCCGCTGTCGGGGAGGCCCTGCACAGTCGCAAGACAAGAAGCAGCGACAAGGAGCGACCCAAAGTAACAGAGCGGTCTAGGGACAAGTCTGTACCCGCTGACAAGAAGCGCCGTTCCAAGAGCCGGACGGGCAGCATGGGAGAGCATACCAGCGACGAAGTGCGCTCCCCTCGTCGTCGTTCCAGTCGAACTCCGCAAGAATCCAATATTTCTGGCGCCGAATCGAGTCTACTCTCTTCCAACCTGTCGGCTGGTAACCGCTCTGTCAAGTCGGGCGCCTCCAAATCATCTTCTATCAATAACCCCAAGCTTCTAGAGACTGTCGAAGACGCCATCCGCCGCCTAATCCTGCCCGAGCTAAGCGCACTCAAGAGAGAACAAAGCAAACGCGAAGGTCGTCGCTCATCAATCGCCTCGACAGGAACCTCGGTTTCTAGAGATGATGGCTACATAGAAAAGAGGCGATCGTCTGGTCAGAAAAGCGATTACTCCAAAGAAAACATCCGACACAAGGAAAAGCGCAACCGGGAAGCCCGCCACGACTACGAAAACGTCTCCCTACACAGTCCAAGCCAAGATTCTCTCGGTGCAGAGTACATAGCACGTGAGGAAGCTTTGGCATCCCCTCATCATGGCGGCAACTTGCTGAGAGCTGCCGCTGCTGGCGCTGCTGGAGCCATGGCTGCCAAGGGTATCTCTTCGGCGCTGGACGATGATCCAGACTCACTAGACAGGAAACAAAGGGACAGACGTCGGCGGCGAGCCGACCAATCTCGAAGTCGCAGTGTGGGCAGAGACGTATATGTGGATGACTTCGACGATGAGGAGCCAGCTCCGCCTATGCCTTTGATGAGCGACATTAATCCCTCCGAAGTCACAAGGGCCTCCATTCTCTCAGCCGAGACAGATCGACCCCACTCTGCTACTGAAGAATTAGGGCCCACGCGTGAGGTTCAAGAACACATGGTATCGGTCCACTCGACACCAACTCCATCTAGGTCGCCTGCCGACCAGTCGAGGCCTCTGTCCATGCAGCATGCCAATGTGTCCCACGGGGACCTGACCAACCTCCCCCGTGGTCAAAAAGAATACGTCGAAGAGTATGAGACAGACGAATTTGGTCGCAAAGTGCCCGTCAACCAATATGACTACTATGGTGGGCAAGGTTCACAGGAAGCACCAGAGTACGATGACTACGTGGATGACCCCTACGCCAACAGTCTCTACAATAGCGTGCAGGATGTTCCGCCACCCCTTAAATATGTGCCATACCAAGCTGGTGCTCGCGGGCTCAGTCCTATTCCCAGCGTTTCTGGTTACACTGAAGGAGGAAGTGAGGCCCCACAGCCACGCACATCCAGGAGCATGCAATCTGTTGACGCTGCTCTTTCCTCGCCTGCAAAGTCTCCCGATCACAGACGCCAAGCGCACTCCATGCGCTCCATCGACTCTCTCCAGCTCGGCAGCCCGGCGCCTCAGTTCGCTGCTGGCCAAGAAGTCCGCGGCATCTCCGCCAACCCGAATGTTGTCAACCCCCCACTTGGTGTAGAGTCCGCTGTCGCTTCACTGGTTGACGGATCCGTGGTGGAACAATCTGTTGTAACAGGAATGTCTGGCTACGATAATGGTACTGGCACAAGGGAATCTGCGCTCTCATATGACGACGAGCCGCACTCGCGTAGTCGCAATGCCAGCGCTACACCAGACAAGATGTCCCTTGACGACGTTAGAGACTTGGACGAGGATGCGCACCACACACCAACTTCGAGATCAGCAGCACAGTCCCTTGAGTACTCAGAATATGACCTCGATGAACATGGCAGAAAAGTTCCCCGCATTCGCTACCGCAAGTCACCCTCTGCGTCCGAAGCTGCCATCACTGCCGGTGCTGTTGGAGCCGCAGCCGCCGCCCTTAAGGCTGCGCAGGAGAGAAAGCAGGCCGACATCGAGACCTACGAGGATGAGAACTTCCAACCCGCTGGTATCAACAGAAACAGATCATTCAAAGAGCGTGCGATGGGCTGGAAGCCTAGGCAGACTCCTACGCACAGTGTTGACAACTTTGATTATGAAGACACGGATGCACCGCATTTTAGCGCCAACGGCATGCCCGACGTGAGCAATCCCATGCCCGAAATTGGCTACCACAGGGACGACGACATCGTTACGAACCCCTCGCTTCTCAATGAGCCCATGGATGATGACCTGCCCAACTGGGATACGATCTCTGGCAGAGCAACACCCACTCCGAGAAATGCTGGTGGGTATGAACCGGCTAATGGCGAATCAAGCAAAGCTGCCATGGGCCTGGCAGCCGGAGCCGCAGCACTTGGAGCCGCAGCCCTCGCGGCACACAACCGTGGTCAAGATCCCGAAGAGGACTGGGGACGAACATCCGCGGAGCGTAAGCGCGACACGCTCATCACGAACCCGTACGAGGATGCCAGCCCGATTGCAAATCACGGCCTCAACGACGCTATCCTTGATCGCGGTGCTGTAGAGGCAAACTACGCTACGCCATATGGAACTGCCAGCCCCGGTGTCGGCCAAAAGTACGATGAGGGCTACATGTCAAACGGCCCCAACCGAACACCTGACATGGCTGGCAAGTCTCGTGAAATTGCTGGCGCGGACCATATTGATGAAGATCCATTCTACGTGTCTAACAAGACAAATCCACGACATCTGAGTGGCTTCTCGCAAGGCATGCAGTCTCCATTTTACGACGCTGCTACTGGAGCCGGTATGGAGAGAATCGAAAACAAAGATATCGTTGCGCTGATGCAGCATTTGATGGTTCGCGATGCTCAACGGAGCGCAAGAGATACGGAGATTGTAGCACTTTTGATGAACGCTGCTGTGGAGATGCGCAACTCGTTCCGCGAGATGAAGGAGCTTGTCCAAGACACTGGTGATGATGTCATCTTTGCCGGCGTTGAAAATACCGAAAAGCTCCAAAAGGCCATCAACGGCCCGCGCCCCCTTCCCGGCACGGCTACTCGCTCTCTGCAAAGTGCCTCTCTCGATGAAGCGACCAAGAAGAAGAACTTGTGGAAGCGAGCGCTCCAAGGTCTTAGTACGAAAGGCACCAATGACCTGAGCCGGATCGAGGACATGCTTGTGCAGCTTCTCGGCGAGGTAGACGTTCTCAAGTCGCAGACTGCTCCTCCAATTTCTAGTGGGCAAGGACAATCTCTTGAGAACCTTCAGCCAGAAGGCCTCTACGAACAAGACAAGGGATACGAACCCGAAGGCGCTTCCACACCCAGCGCTAGCCATGCCAGCGCACCCCGTGGGCCAACCGCAGGAGAGCACAAATACTCGGACCACAGAATAAGCACCGTGCAGGAGCGCGAGGAAGAGTATGAGTACGACTTGCCAAGCGCGACCACTGCCAAGCCTAACCCGGCCATGCTCTCGCCGGGCTCTGTTAATACCCTCCAGCGGGGAGGATCCGTTCCGCCTGAGGCGTCGCCCGAGACGTCATCAGGACCGCAGCAGACTGCTCTTAGCGCCGACAATACGCCACGCAGCGACAAGGGAAAGAAGCACAAGTCGACCAGCTCCTCAGGGTGGATTCCGAAGATCTCGCGCTGGTCGGAGACTACTGCGTCCAGCGTTGGACGAGCATTCCGCGGCAGCGGTACCTCAAAGAAGGGGGCCAAGTACGATGAGTTTCAACCTCCTTCCCGATCGGGGTCGAGCCTAGCATCATACGATGAAGCATATATGGACCCAGATCTCTATGGAGTGGACAAGCTGCATACAGGGTTCTCGGATCCGAACCTTGCGCAAGGCACTGGCGGCCCTTCACAACCGACAGTACCGTCCTTTGCTCTGTCGGAGGATCCAAAATACAAGGCGCACCGCAACTCGGTCAATCTGCAGCACCCGCAACCGAGACAAGGTCAGACAGAACGCCACCAGGCCGCGCTCGAATACTCTGCTCGCGAGTATGACGATCCCATGACACCGCGGTCAACGGACTGGGCCGGTTCGGCAACGAGCCTGAGCCGCCTGCCGCCGAGCAACACAAATCGATACAGTGCATCGTCTGGTGCTACACGGGATGCCGACTATGCGCTATCATCACCGAAACAGCAACAGCCGTCCGGGCCGCCGCGACCACCGAAAGAGCCGCTTGATGCATCTGTTCACACACCGGTCAAGGGAAACCGGGTGGCATCACTGCAGAAGAACAGCCCCGTGGCGCCGACGAGCTACGAGAGCGGATATGGCAGCGCCACTGGCACATATGCCAGCCAAGTAACTGTAGACGGCAGCCCAAAGCTTGAGAACCGCAACCTGAACGCGGCGCTCGGAATCCCGACCCGCCGGCCTAGTGGTCCGCGGGCGATGACGCCCAAGAGCCCGGAGGAGGCAGCCAGAGAGGAGAGAAGACGCAAAAGAGGTATGTCTATGTCATTGATATCAGATGAGGGCATGAAAGAAGGCTAATGGGGTTAGATACATTTGGAACGTCGGCGAGCCAGGAGACGGATACCTTTTGATACATAGGTGTTTCGCCCAGGCGTTGAGGAGAATGAAGGCTATGGAATATGTGGCTCGGAGTCAATTTCAAAAATTCAAAAGGTAAATAAAAGAAGAGCATGCTTATACAAGGCAATGTGTAATTCGGCCACATGGGGAGAAGGTATGCACGGCTAGTGCAAGCAAGGTATATTTGCATTGGACATGTTGATGGCACGGCCATGTTATTTAACGACTTGAACGGTTCATATATCTTTTATTTATTTTGGTTGACAATGCCACATGATAGTATATTCCTTCTGAATTATAAAGCGGAGAGTCGATAAAAGTGAATGTGACTTGGCATTAGATTGTTTGGATGGAATGAAGGGGGCTGTCCGGCAGGTTGGTACGACACGGCGAACAAAAAAGACAAAGAAAATTTCAAACTGTTTATTTTAGTTACATTTACGAGCGATTCAGGATTCAGAGAATGGAACTTATCTGCCCCGGTATTTATGACGTTGAAGTGGGCTTGGTGCTGGCTTTGCTGGGTCCCGCTGTGACGACGCAGTTGCATCTGCAGCGCAAAACGACGAAAGGGGAATACCGAAGATTGGGACCGCAAAACGGTCGGCAAGGTGTCGAGAAGTCTCCATATTAATTTTAGATCTTTTGCTTTTTTCCGGCTGATTTACTCCAGTCTGTGAATGCTGGGAGGGGGTTGACTGAAGATATCCGGAGTTCGGCACATAATAATTCAGTACCTAGGTAGGTACCTAGTTGAATTGTAGCGGCTGTCGTTGCGATATACCTCACTAATGTGACTGCTGGCTGTGGCTGCGGCTTTCAGTGGCCATTAGCTGGGCCGGGAAGGTGCTGTATTTCCAGGGGTTGGCGCAGAGCGGCCGGGTTTAGTGGATGGGACATGCCTCTCGTCCTGGCAAGCTAAACCCTTCTGGGCAACATGTGCCCCTCCATCCTCCATCAACGCAATATCTCTCTGTGCCTGGCCCAAACGCATCTCAGCCAATTGCCCCTCCATGCTCAAACAGAAATCTCGTGCTTTGGTGCCCTTTTAAGCGCGCATCTCCATCCTCGCTGATTGTCAACCTTTCTCTTCTCTCCCTACATACGTCTCTCATTATACCCCCTCATCATGGAGTTTGATACTAAGATTCGTATGCCGTTTCCATAGCCTCCTCGTCGCCAACCTCCAACCTCGCTAACCCCGTCCCAGCCAAGTCCGTCACAAGCGACCCCCTCTCCTTTGCCAGCGAATCTGTTCGCAAGAGGTGGCCCGTGATTCTGGTACGTCGCCCAACCCGAATTGACAAAATAACGCCCAGACGAAGCTGACTCGCCCCGAGACCGGTACCGTCGACGACATCTACAAGACCATCTCCCAGACCGACGATGCGGAGAAGCAGGACGAGGGCAAGAGAATCGTCGAGAAGCTCGGCGCCCTCAAGTACGAGGTCGAGCACAACAAGCCCCTGACGCCCATTGTCGACGATGGCTTCACCGACGAGGTCGCCGAGTACAACAAGGAGGTGGCCGCCCTCGGCAACCCGCCCACCTGGCACGACGTCCCCTGGCTGTTTTCCGAATGTTACATGTATCGGTATGGCCCCTCGACCTTCGTTCTGAACCAGGCTGTCTTACTGACACCTCGCCCAGTCGCATAAGCACATTCTTCTCCACCACGAAGCACTGGAAGGAATACGACCTCTTTTATCGCCAAAAGATGGACACGTTTCGCACCTCGCGCAATGCCGTCCTCGAGCTCGCCGCCCGTTACAAGGAATTCGTCACAGAACTGCAAAGCAACACGGACGCCACCCACAACGCCGACGCTGAGCAGATACTTTTTACCGAAATGTTCGAGGTCTGCCTCTGGGGCAACGCCACTGACCTCTCCCTCCTCACCAACATGACGTACGAGGACATTCAGAAGCTGCAGGGCAGCGAGGCCCGCAAGGCCGCTGAGAAGAACATCATCGCCAACGACCTGCCCCAGGTCTACGAGTCGCTCCGCCAGGCCCGCGCCGCCGGAAAGACTGAGCGCCGCGTCGACTTTGTCCTCGACAATGCCGGCTTTGAGCTCTGGGTCGACCTCGTGCTCGGCGGCTTCCTGTTGGCGTCAGGTCTGGCTACCCAGATTGTGTTGCGCCCCAAGTCTATTCCATGGTTCGTCTCGGACGTGCTGCCTGCCGACTTTAGTGGCCTCCTCAACGCCATACAGGACCCGCGCGCCTTTTTCGAGACGCCCTCGGACGACGACAAGCTGCAGGGCAAGACGCCGGTCCCGCTCTCCGACAAGGAGGTGGCGGATCTTGAGTTTGTCTTCAAGCACTGGACAGAAGCGCACGCCGAGGGCCAGCTCATCATGCGCCCCGACCGCTACTGGACTACTGGTGGTAGCTTCTGGCGTCTGCCGCACGAGAGACCTGATTTGCTTGAGGATCTCAAGGAAGCTGAGCTTGTCATCTTCAAGGGTGATCTCAACTACCGCAAGTTGACTGGTGATGTAAGTGTACACGACATGACAAAAGAAAAGCTCCTGGCTAACTGCTGCAGGCTTGGTGGGACGCCACCACACCCTACACTGAGGCCATCGGTCCCATGGGCCCGGCATCGGGTGCCAACATCATGTCACTTCGCACCGTCAAGGCTGATGTTGTCGTCGGCCTGCCCGCCGGAAAAGACGAGGAGCTCAAGGCCACGCCCGACGGCGGTGGCAACACAGGTGCCCGTAAATGGGGCTGGCGCGGCAAGTGGGCTGTTATATCATTCTCCAAGGGCCATTGAACCTCTGTTGAGAGAGTTTAAAAACAGTAAAGAGGAGGGTAAAACTTTGTCTGCGTACAAAAGACGGAAGCTTCCCATATACACAGTACCGGCTGGTAGAACATCAGACGTTTTTTATTTTATTTTATGCTAGATGGATAGACTATAGAGAATCCAGATATTGACACGACTAGCTGCCCGTTCGCTGTGTGACTTGCGTTGCACACAAGAAAAAAAAAGTGCTCTTAGTTGTACGGCAATGGCTCATCGCCGTAGGGGGGAGGCGTAGGCAACGGATCGGGACTGCTGCTGTTGCTCGAGGACACAGGCTTGCGGCTGCTTGTCACCCAGGTTGTTGGTTTCGGAACGTCAACCGTTGTACTGAAAGACGAGATGGAAGTGGAGGATGAGATGTAAGTAGAAGACAGGGAGGAGGAAGAGAAGGAAGATGAAGAGGAAGAGAAAGAAGGTGAGGACGAAGGGGATGAACTGTGAGTGGAAGAGGAGGAGGAGCTGGTGCCAATGGGGTCTGCACTTGAGGTGTACGACGGTGTAATGGTCGACGTCGGCACGATTGTGCTCGTCTCAGTGTCCGACGAGGACCCCGCCGAGCTACTCAGTGTGTAGGTCGGCACCGACGGCGAGCTGCTGCTGTCGGAGCTCGGAGCGGTGCGGCTCGAGGACCGGGTGCTTCCGCGTCCGCCGGTGGCTGTGGGATAGCCAGTGCCGGTACCGGTACCGGTGGCGGACGAAGTCGAGTTGGACACGGGGTAGCTGACGGTGCCGGAGGACGGCCCGCTGGGCGTGCGGTGGCGCGTGCAGGTGGTGCTGCGTGTATACGTGGCGCTGGTCGTGGTGGGCGGGATGCTAGTAGACGACGACGAGGGATGCTTGACACCGCCGCAGCCGTATGGCTCCGTGCAGTACGGCGCGGAGGAGGAGGTGCTGGGGGACAAGGCGGCGCTGGTGGAGCTGGTGTATTCTGGAGCGGCACTGCTGCTGAGGGCGGTGGTGGAAGTGCAGGCGCCGAAGTACGTGGTGACACAGTGTCCGCTGCAGGTAATGACTGTTTCGGTGACGGTGACGGTCAGGGTATTGTTGGCTGCGAGGACGGGCGTGAGACTGAGAGGGTGGTGTTAGTTTGGGGTGAGTGAAGGAGGAGCAGGGGACTGACATGGCACCGACAAGGGCGAGAGAGAGGGTGAGTTTCATCTTGGAAGCGAGTGAATGTGTAAGCGAGTGAATGTGTAAGCGAGTGTATCTTTGGAAACGAATGTGTTGATCAAATTGATTGCTGTTGATAGTCGCCCAGAGATTGGGTCGTGGCCGGATATATATACTGACAGATGACGGTGTCAGCCAAGGTGTAGCTTCGGTCCTCGCCTCCTGTGACACTTTCGCTTACATTTCCGTCAAACCGTCATCTCTGTACTACTTTGAATAGCTCAGCACGCTGCTACAGGACGACGAGCAAAAGTCAAGGCATGCACTGCCTGCCTCGGACCGCTACCCGTACAACGGTGCTGCTGTCAAGGGACTCGGCACGCTTCTACACCATGACGCTCCCCAAAGCAGGCAACAAGCAAAACCCGCCATTCGGCCCTGTGTGGCACTGCCTCCCGCCAGGCGAAACGGTGGCGCTCCAAATCCATCTTCACCCCGAACGCCAATATCAGATGCAGGCGTCCGCGCCGGCGGTGCGACGTCAGATCCAGCTGTGCTTGTCCCTCCCGCCGAACAAACGTGGCTGTACAGCCCCCGCCCCGATGCGGAATCTGGCATGTTTCATATAGTTTTTTCACCTTGCTTTTGGGAAGGAACTCGGTGATTATACAGGGGCATGGGGGGAGTGACACAAGCTTATGGGTTCGGTCAAGGGAAAACTGCCAAACAAGTCATGGCGGGGGGCTTTTTTTCTTTTATTGATTGCGAGTATGGAAATAGTAGCTATCAGTCTGACTCGGAATACGGGGTGTCATTTTATGACGGGGAGGGGGGGCTAGATGGACGCCTTGAGGGCCTTGAAGACGTCATCGCGGCCGCCGACGAAGCGGCGCTCAGCCGTCTTCCAGTTGATGACTTTCCAGATGTTCTCAATGTAGGCAGCCTTGCCGTTGAAGTACTACGGAATTGTTAGCCGACGGGGCTATGACTGTTTTCTTCTTTTTTTTCTTCACGTACCTGCAGGTAGTACGCGTGCTCCCACATATCCACGCCAAAGACGGGGATCTCGGCGCCGACGACGGGGTCCTGGTCTTTTGTCGTGATGATGCGCAGGCCATGGGCGTCCTTGACGAGCCATCCCCAGCCGCTGCCCTGGAGGCCGAGCAGGGCGGCGGCAAAGGCCTTTTTGAAGGCGTCAACCGAGGCCCACTGCTTGGCCAGGGCGGCGGCCAGCTGGGGCGCGGCGGCGGCGAGGTCGGCGTCCGGGCTGCCGGCGGGGGCCAGGTTCTCCCAGAAGAGCGAGTGGTTGATGTGGCCGCCGCCGTTGAAGCGGATGGCCTGCTGCAGCGCAATCTGGCCGGCCACGTCGGCGGCGGCGTACGACTGCAGCGCCGCGTTGAGGTTGGTCACGTACGCCTGGTGGTGCTTGCCGTGGTGCAGCTCCATGATTTGCTTGGAGATGCTGGGCTCGAGGGCCTGGCGGAACCGGTGGGATGCGAGATTAGGCACATGTCATGTACAAGCTATGCAACAGGGGGGCAGGCACTTACATCGTAGGCGTAGGGCAGAGGGGGGAGGGAGTAGGTGCTGGCCATGGTGACAGGGGGGGCGGTCGATGTGCAGCCGCTGCAGACGGAAATAATAATGTTGGGAAAAGGAGCAGAGAGGGGATGAGGAAATGTATAAGGAAAGGTATAAAGAAAGAGTATAGGAGCACAGAGATATCTAGTTTTACCCCTCCATGTGCGGGGAAGACGAGAGGCAGCTGCACGCCATCGCTGCCTCACTTACATGAGCAAAAGCAGTAGGACCCCGGCCCAACCAATTGGGCAGCATGGCATGAAGCTCTGCCCAACGTTATTCGTCAGATGACGCTGGAAGAGGGAGCCCAACCCTCAAGGTATGCGAGCTCGGTAGGCAAGGGGGGTAGCATTCGGAGCATTTGCTCTCAAACTTGCTCATAGAGGTTCACCAGTGGAGTCCGCGTTTAGCCGGTGCTTCAGCTTTAAATGAAGGCGCTGTGTATGCTTGTTTTTTGTTTTTTGAGAACGTTTCTTTTGGCTACCGCTAGAGGGAGACTTTGTTTCATCGCAGTGCCGCTGAGCTGGTATCGAGCAAGTTTTGTGTCTGACCAGCGGTTGCGGCGGGGGTGGTATATAAGAGGGCGGGTAGACGACGACTCCTTTTGCCTTTTTTCGATTCGACCATAACAAAATACGACAAAAAAACAACGACGGGCATTTATAGAGCGGAGAATTCTCAACAATATCGTATCATGTGCGGAGGCCCGGAAACTGTTCATCGTCCGCGCGGCGGCGCGCTCGTCGCGCTCAGCCCGCCGCCCGGCATCGCGCCGGCCATGACCGGCGACCTCACCTTTCACACGCCCGGGCAGCCGGACAGCACGGAAGCGACGCATGCGCGGCTGTCCTTTTCCGCCGTCTGCGGGCCGCCTTGTGCGCTGCACGTCGTCATCCAGTGCGTTTTTTTCTTTTTTTCCCGCGCCGATTTTCCTCTTGCTAACAAGCCAAAGTGCGGGCGGCGACCTGACCAAGAGCGCGAGCGAGTGCGGGCTGTTTCGGCAGCTGCGCTTGGCGGCCACGGCCGACGAGGCGTGGGAGGGCCCGCTGGACACGGCGCTGTCGCTGCAGGTCGGCGCCGACGGCATCATCGGCCGCCGCGTGTCGGTGTACGGCGAGGAGCTGGATGGGCGCAGCGGCCGCGTGGTGCTGGCAGAGGGCATCGTGGGGTTTAATAGCTGGGCGGCTGAGAGGGCTTCGTTATGACGGCCGGCGGTCTGAGAAAGGGACGCGGATTGCGCTCGGAATGTTGAAAGGGTTATTTGCTGCTGCTGCTGGCATCATGCGGGAAATGGGACAGCGTGGTGCAGATTCGTAGACAATAAAGCAGAACATTGTTCAAATTTAAAAGCAGATTCTCCAAGGCCCCGCTAGCCATCTCCGAGGCGAAGCCCTTTGTGCGCTCCAAGAAAAAGGTCAAGACAATGCGCCAGGAGACAGCCGAGATAGCGTGCTAGGTTGCCCAACACGGAGAGAGCGGCGAGGGTCTGCTTTATTAGTCTTCCACCGGCGGGAGGGAGCCTCCTACTCTCGCAGAACCGCCACGGGGTTTACATCATCATCGGCGAGTACGGAGGTGCGTATAAGGAGTATATCACAGGACAGACGGAGCTAGCTCGGGCCCGGATACCTTCAACGTCGAGCAGAACTAGCGTAACAGTGCCGGCTCCCGCGCGTATTACTAGCTTGCCAGGTAGGCATAGGACTAGTAAGCCTTTATCACGATTACCTATATTTATATTTAAGAAAATAAAGAAAATAAAGAAAATAAAGAAAAAAAAGAAAAAAAAAAAAAGTAAGATAAAATATAGTAATAAATAGACTTATATCCAAGATATCTATTAAACTAAATAATAGGATATAAGGAGCGTAAGCTGGCGGCAGTAAAATACTGTAGTTGGCATTCTCCGCAAAAGACGCAATTTTCTAGCATCATCTTATCTGTCTTTCGTGGACAAAGATAGGGTGCGACATGCTAGGTAGTCATAAGGTATTGACTTTGCTCAGCAGCTGTCTCCTCGGACAATGGTGCTCCAGTCTCCATCCTCATGGTTACGGCCAGAGGTCTTGATCGAGCCAGGGTCACAGACTTCAGTAATGCGTTGAGCGCTGTTGGCAATCCAGTCCCACCCGTCGATACTCTTCTGAGAAGTGGACTGTAGATTGCGTTAGCCGATTCCCATATCTCATAAGAGCGCGTGTGTGATGGGCAGAAGAAAGAGGGCAAAGGTAGGGGGGAAAAGGCAGGAGGAATAGTGGGAGAAGGCGGGCAAGACGAGACGGAGCCAGACACCAAACTTACATCATTGCACCACCAGATCCCAGAGTTGTAAGAACAACTAACGCGACCGCAGTTGTTGGGACCGGGACCGTTGGTAGGATGTCCAGGGGGCAGGTTGCGGAGGTAAGCCGCACCGTCTCTGATGGCGGCCTTATCGGCAGGCTCCATGCCGTCGCAGTCGATATGACCACGCTTCTCCTTCAAGCCCCTGGCCACTGAGGCACGAGGGGGCTTGAAGTCGGGGTTGATGGAGAGGGCTTGAGCATGGACTTGTTCAGCTGTGCCAGTGAAGAGCTGGAATTCGCCGGGGAAAACCTCGACGCTCCATTCGATCTGCTCCACTCCATATCCAGGAATGGGAGCCCGGGTAACAATGAGCTATCCGGCCATATTAGTGCGAGCATTGGGTAGGGAGGGGAGCATCTCAGTGAGCTTACTGCGTTGGCAGCGCCGGCTGCAAGGACAACGAGGGGCGAGAAACGCATGATGAAGGGATGAGTGGAAGTAGAAAGCTTGAGAGTTTAGATTGTAGAAGATTTTGACTTGTTTGATGATGTTTTTGAGGATGTTTTTGATGAAGAGAGGAGAGAAAGGCAGACTTGGAAGGGAGAAGCAGCCCTACTTATAGGTGGCTCGTCTATACGAACTGGACGAGTTGTATGTCAGGTCATGCTATCCGATGATCGAGTCACTGAAGCAATAAATCATGTCTTCAGCGTGCATCGTGCATCCGGCATCCTGCATTTGGCATCCTGCATTCGGCATCCTGCACCCGCCGTACATTCAGCGTCTAGGTAGCCTCGTTGGCTGGCTAGGGAAGAAGTTGCAGTCGAGGGAGCTTTCGCGGAGCACGAGTGAGAGGAGTCTTGGTAAACAAAGTGAAGATGATGCGGGCTCAAGGGTTACTTTGAGTAGTATATTTGAGAATGTTCAACATAACTAGATATACAGCCTCGAGTAGTCTTGGCAACACTGGGCATAATTCATGCAGCGGAGTGTGGGTCGGCGGGCCGGTCATCCGGAATTCCGATTGATGAGCGAAACAAAGGAAGAAGCCTGCAGCTCACCGAGAAGCAAGGTGACGCCTTGCATGCGTGCACCCCGAAATTATACCCAAGAAGGGAGAAAATAGCGCATGTAGATGGTTGCTTTAGGCAGTATGCAGCGCTGCTATCTCTGTAGCTGGCCAACTGGCATGACGGGAAGCGAAGCAAACCAAGGCGAGACGTGCATCTTGGTCTACCTACATACTACATGGCTATACCAAAAGAGCGCTATACTCGCAAAGGCTTATTTATATGCGTAGGTAGCTGTGATGGGATGGAGAAAAGGGATGACGGTACAAATTAGTGTACCTACTTGTACCTACTAGGTACCTACTAGGTACCTACCCTGTATCTGTCAGCCCCTATTCTCCGGCCGGCTTTGTTAGCGGGCATCTGTTTGCTCAAGGTGGAGTCCCAAGTGCAATTTTCAAAGAAATCTGTACTCACTAGTTAGTAACGGCGCTGGATCCGTAATATGTACTACCTACCTGTATCTACTAATTATTTGCTAGTATTATAATTTAGTGCCAACAACTACGGCGTGCTCCGCACACCTTATACTGGTATGGACCGCAACGGCTTGCTAAGGTCTTGTGTAACGCCAACTTTGGACTGGCATTTCCCTTGCCCTTTGGTTTTTTCTCCTTCTTGTTTTCCCAACTTGCAAGTCCTCAGCTATCGGCACGAATGGCCACCGCACACCTCACCCAATCATGCGCAGAATGCTCGGCATTACGCGCATATCCATGCCTAGCCGCAGGCGAGTTCTGCCCGTGCTCCTTTTCCTGATTTTCGCCGGCTTCTATATCCATTCCTGGGCTGGTGCCCATGTGCCGTATCCTGGCCTCACCAAGCTCCCCGCGCACAAGACAAAAACGCTCGATACGCACCCCATCACCCAGCTGATTTCGAACGCCACTATACACTTCGAGAACCTGCTTAGAGAACGATCCCTCACACTCCAAGATGCTGCAAAGCGATACCGACTGCGCCGCGGCCGACACCCTCCCCCAGGCTTTGACGCCTGGTTTAAACAGGCCATCAAGGATGACGCTATCGTGGTGGAAAGCTTCTTCGACAGAATACACCACGACATCAATCCACTATGGGCATTAGACCCTCGGCAAATGCGCATGCAAAGCGCCTCGCAGCCCCAGGTCATCAAGATCCGAAACAAGAAAGTTTCCATGGTCACCGACGACCCTGACCGACAGCCATGGATCCAACACTGGGCAGCCTTGGTGAAAAAAATGATGCCCAACTTACCCGACTTAGACATGGCTGTCAACGTCATGGATGAAACGCGCATCTTGACGCCGCGGGAAACCATCAGTAAATACATGGAGCTTGAGCAACAAGGTCGCGAGCTCATTGCGCCCGAGGAAGCCTTGAGCAAGTACAACAGCCTGCAAGACATAGACAGTCAAAGCCTACAAGCCTTCAGCTTCGACCCTGCTTGGATATCAGACCAGGCATCCTCCTACTGGAACTACTTTCGCGAGACCTGTCCGGTCGACAGTCCCGGCCGAAATGTTAGCGCTCTCGAGTCCTTTAACGTGCCTGTCGAGTACCCGAGCGAGCAGATGCCTTACGCCTATCACGGCTTTATCCAAAATTTTACCCAGGCCCAAGACCCCTGCCTGCAGCCGCACATGCGTAGCCTCCACGGCACCTTTATCGAGAGCGTGAGCATGTCCACCACACAGACCCTCTTCCCGCTCTTTGCTGGCTCTAAGCTGCCAACAAATAATGAGATCCTTATTCCCGGCGCCATGTACCTCTCCTCGCGCGCCTTTTACAACGGCGGTTGGAGTAGCGGTGGAAAATGGTCCGATAAGACGGACGCCCTCGTGTGGCGCGGGACCGCCTCGGGTGGCCGCAACAAGATGGATAACTGGTGGCACTTTCACCGCCACCGCTGGGTGCAAATTATGAACGGCACCACGGTCGCCCGTGTCGAGGCCGGCGACGCCGCTGCCGCCCCAACCTTTGACCTGCTCTCGGCTGCCAACTATAGCCTCCCCCAGAACATGGACGGCCATATCGGCACGTGGCTCGCCAACTTCTCCGACGTGGCCTTTGTCCACCTCGAGTGCTTCCCCGAGCCACCCAAGAAATACAAAGGCACCTGCTCGTACACTGGCGAGCACCTGGGCATCGCCAAGCCCATGCCCATGAAGCAGCAGTACCGCTACAAGTACCTGCCCGATGTCGATGGGAACTCGTTTAGCGGCCGTTGGCGCGCGTTTCTCAAGTCAACAAGCGTGCCGCTCAAAGCCACCATTTACGCCGAGTGGCATGACGACCGCATGGTGCCGTGGGTTCACTTTGTGCCATTTGACATGTCGTACAAGGACATATACGCCGTCATGGAGTACTTTCTCGATGGCCGCGACGCGCAGGCCGAGGTCATTGCCACAGAAAGCAGCAACTGGGCAAATGCGGTATATCGGAATGAGGATATGAAGCTCTATGTCTGGAGACTGTTGCTGGAGTATGCGCGCGTCGTCGACGATAATCGCCAACGTCTTGCATTTGTGGACGATTTACGAAACAAAGACTAACGAAGACGAATGGGAGTAGCCAACCTCATGTCTTGTATAACATGTTGCGAGAGCTTGTGAGAACGGGGTATGTGGTAAAGGCAGACCATATCTCAAGACCAACCTCACCTCGACAGCTTCGTTTCTTACCCTACCACTGCCCCCCAAGCGTGTGACGAAGAGGGTACTGATTCCATCTACATGTATATTTAATTTCTAGCCACGTTTTTCCTCTAGCCTTTTCTTTATTTGCTCCCTCTTTATTTTGTCATGTTTTGTTCCGTCAACAGCAAACTAGCATGGGGGTGTTCATCCCCGCCCCCACGCCCCCACGATTGACCCCCAAGTACGCGGGGACCAACCGGAGGAGGGGTGCTGGCGGCATCGGGACACAAACGTGAACCTGCCAACTGTCCAAGTTGTCCATAGTTTCATCCCCATTTTCCAATTCGTCATGGAGCCCATCTTATTTCTCTCCGCCACTGTCATCACCGGCCAAGAAGATGCCGCGCCCTTTGTCGCAGATGTCTTGGTCAGCGATGGCCTCATTGCGCAGATCGGCGACCCCGGCACCGTAGAGTCGGCGACGGCCCGGCGCATCGACGCCCACGGACAGTTTTTGTCGCCCGGCTTCATCGACATGCATGCACACTCGGACCTATACCTCATCACCAGCCCGGCGCACGAGGCCAAGATTTCTCAAGGCTGCACGGTACGTGACATGGAGTCTTGTGCTCCGACGGAAGAGCCCGGCACACCGTTGTCAGAGGAAGACTGACGAAAGGGCGCAGACCGAGGTTGTTGGCCAAGACGGCATCTCATACGCCCCCGTGCGCACAAAAGAGCAGATGCGCGCCATCCGCTCCCAAATCGCCGGCTGGAACGGGAACCCCTCCGACGCCGAGTGCCAGACCACGCACAAGGACACGGGCCTCTTTGCCTGGCGCACCGTGGGCGAGTACCTCGACTGCCTGGAGCGCAACAGGACGGCGACCAACGTCGCCATGCTCGTGCCGCAGGGCAACCTGCGCCTGCTGGCCTGCGGCCCCAACGACACCCCGGCCAGCCCGGAGCAGATTCAGGACCAGGTTGTGCTTTTGCGGGAAGCAATGGGTCAAGGATCCATTGGCATGTCCAGGTACGTGTGCAATGCTCACCATGGCTCCATGTAATGCTGATATTGTCGTCAGCGGCCTCACGTACACGCCCGGCATGTACGCCTCGACGTCGGAGCTCGCCGTCCTCTGCCAGGTTCTCGCCGCCGAGTACCCCGGCGCCTTTTACGCACCGCACCACCGCAGCTACGGCTTCAAAGCGCTCGAAAGCTACCAAGAAATGATCAACCTCGGCCAAGACACCGGCTGTCCCATCCGTACGTCACCCCCAAGTATTTACTACCTGCTTCCGTCTTGCTGACCCTAACCAGACCTGACACACGCCACGATGAACTTTTCCGAAAACAAGGGCCGCGCGCCCGAGCTGCTGCGCATGGTGGACGGCGCCCTCGGCGCCGGCGTCGACGTCACGCTCGACACCTACCCGTACCTGCCCGGGTGCACGACGCTCGCCGCGCTGCTGCCGAGCTGGGCCTCGGCGGGCGGCCCGGACGAGACGCTCAAGAGGCTGGGCGACGCGGCGCTGCGGGACAAGATCCGCGTCGCCGTGGAAGTGACGGGGTGCGATGGCGGGCATGGTATCCCGACGAATTGGGAGGAGATCCAGGTACGCGCCGCTGGTTTTGGTCGTTGCACTGGACGACAAGGCTAACATGACTTCAAGATTGGGAGTACGCAGCACGCATCGCTCGAGGGATATGCCGGTCGGAGGATCGCCGAAGTGGCGCGGTCGCTGGGCACGCCCGCCATGGAAGTGTTTTTTGACATTCTGGTCAAGGACCGCCTTGCGACGAGCTGCTTGATGCACATTGGCGACGAGGACAATGTGCGCGCCATTATGCAGCACGAGAAGCACATGGGTGGCAGCGACGCCATTCTGCACGGGGAAACGCTGCATCCTCGCGCCTACGGCACATTTACGCGGTACCTCGGTGAGTTTCCCCCTCCCCGTCCGCCCTTTACTCACTCTTGGTTGTGTGCTGATGAGGTGACAAGGCCACTACGCGCGCGACCTGGGCATGTTTACCATTCCGCAGATGCTGGCGCACCTGACGTCGCGCCCGGCCAAGCGCCTCGGCGTGTATCCGTTTCGCGGCCACGTGGGCGTCGGCTCCGCGGCGGATCTGGTCCTGTTTGACCCGCGCACGATCCGGGACATGGCGACGTTTGAGCAGCCCAAGCGGACGAGCGAGGGCATCCACTTTGTGCTCGTGAATGGCGTCGTCGCCGTCGACGGGGGCCGGCTGACGGGGGCGAGAGGCGGACACGTGCTGCGGAGGAACAAGGACGGCAGCGTCGGGGCAACGTCTTCAGGATAGAATGGACAGCCGGAAACAAGTCTCCAAACTCTATATGATTGAAAAATTTATCTCGACTACGGAATGTCCTTTAGGTCTCGCTTGGGGATATACTCGGGAAGAGCCCCGCCGGTGTCCTCCCGGTCCCAGGCCCAGCGCTTCTTTTCGTCGGCGCCCAACTGGCCCAGCAGCATCTTGACCACGTAGCGACCGAGGATCGGCATGAACTTCCAGCTGTGGAAAGAGCCGCCCGAGGCAATGTACAGGGATTGACAGTGTGGGTGTGGTGCAATGATCCAGTCTTGATTCGGCGTGACGGCGTCCCTAATGGAGAATTTGGGTTAGCAAAGATGGAAAACTCGACACAATCGTTTACATGTCTGCCGTGTTCCATACCAACACATTCTGTAACTCTCCACCTGCAGGTCTTGGATCCGGCCGCCGAAGGTGTGTTTGACGACGGTGTGAATCTCGTCCTTTAAGGTTTGCGGCACGTCTTGGTTCCAAGCAGCGCCCGTGCCCTGCGCTGGAGGCACCGAGATCTGCAGTCCGGATTCGAGGGTGACGTAGTTTGTGAAGCTCGATTCGTAGTTGAACTTTAGTCGGCCATCTGCGGTTGGCGGAATGCATTCTCCTTTTTTTTTTGGTATCATTTCCATTAGCTTGAACGTCTTTCCATATCCTATTCTTCTTCTTCACAGTACCTTGTGTGTGCCCCATGGCATTGAAGATAACAGGCGCCGATCTCATCTGGTGTGCCTGCTCTGCCGGGACCCTGGCGACGCACTGGATGGCTCCGGCCGCGACCATTCTCTCGCCGGCATGCATCGCCTCGTCGCCCGGCGCGCTGTCCGCCAGCAGCTTCGGCGTCCACGCGCCGGCGGCCACAACGACATGATGGGCATAAATCTCCGAGCCGTCCTCCAAGCGCACGCCTCGGCAGCGGCGCCCGCCCTCGCCCTCGCCCTCTAGAATCAGCTGCGCAACACGCGCGACGCGGTGCTCCGCGCCGGCGTCAATGGCCGCCTGCGTGAGGTGCCGCAGCGCGCCGTCGGCGTCGGCCCAGCCGCTGTGGGGGTTAAAGTAGAAGCTCTCGCCGGCGCCGTGCCAGTGGGCGTTGCGAAAGAGGCCGCCCCAGCGCTGGAAGCGCGCCTGGTACTCGTCGAGCGTCTGGGCCGCGGGCGGGACGCCGAGCGCGGCGTAGTTGTCGCGAAACGTCTGCGCCATGCCCTGGTTCTCGACGTACAGCATGCCGGGCTGGTTGTAGTAGCGTGGGTACAGGGCGCCGTTGCGCCACATCGTCTGCGCCGCGAGCGCCAGCCCCATGTAGAACGGGTCCGGGTAGTCGGCGCGGATGATCTTGTTCAGGTCCGAAGACGCAGAGAAAGGGTTCGGAAACGGGCTGCGGTCGAGAAGGAGCACGCGCGAGGCGGGGAGTCGCTTGCGCAGCTCTAGCGCCGTGGCGGCGCCGAACACGCCCGCGCCGACGATGAGGTACGTGTCTGGTGTCGCGGAAGTCATGCTGGTCGTCACTGAGGAAGAGAGTTCGGGTTGTTGGCTTTGGTGGTGCGGCGTTGACGATGTGCGGACTCAAGAGTTGGATAGAAACGGAGGGAGTGGTTTACAGTTTCTGTCAGTATCTGTCCAAGCCTTTATAGCCTTGCTTTCTTGCTTTCTTGTTTTCTTGTTTTCTTGCCTTGTTGTCTTGTTGTCTTGTTTTCTTGTTGTCTTGTCTTGCTGTCTTTCTGTCCCCCTGTCTGCCCCCTTGTCCTCGTGTCTCTTGTTGTTTGCTTTGTCTCCTTGTTTCCCTTTTTATCTCCCCACTTTGTTGCGTTGTTGTCTTTTTTCTTTTTTCTTTTTCCCTTTTTTGTCTACAAGACAGCCCCACACACCAAGTTCTCCTGATGAGACAGCCTGTCCCTCATACCTTGTTGGCCTGCAGCATGCAGCCTTCCCAACCTTCCCTTCCCTTCACCAGCAGCCGTAGTTCGCATGCATTTCCTTTGTTCATCTGTATCGACTACCGAAGAGGGGAAGGGTTCCTCGGGCAAGAGGCGGCCTCAACACCATTTTCCAGACACCCAGGGTAAATGGCACCTGGGGTCAATCGCGTCACCCCTTCAAGGTGCAGAAAAATGCAGTTCTGGGGGCTTGAATGTGGTAAACTATCTTCTTTTACTTTCCTCTTGCCTTTAACTATCATCAGCGCTGCCCTCGTGTTGTCGTAGATTTACAAAGGCCAGGCCTATAAGACACTACGCCTCCTCGGCCTGGCCTGCTGCCATTGCCCGTCAACCGTGGTCCTCTCCCGTGTAGTTCCCTTTCCTCTTTTCCTGATTCCAAGGCTTGGAGAGGTGAGCTGAGTAACAGTGCTTCGCATGTAGAAAAATAGACTTGACAAGACACGCATTCGTCGTCAAGGCTGCCCGGCCGCCCAGCAGTGTATAGTATAAAGAGCTGCCATAGACTCCTGATGTTGAGCGTGCGGCAGACCAATGGAAAACCATGGACATCCCAAACCTCATCACAAGTATCATCCAGATTATTCTGGCCGCTGCCAACTTGATTCAAAATCACTATCTTTCCGCGCATATAGCCCGCCATGGTACGTCGTCGAAACTAGAGTAGTTATCCTTTGCTTAGTGGATTTATCATGGCTGACCGTAAGACAGAGCCTACCTAGTTCGAACAACGACCCGCTGTCAAACATATCCGAGCAGGCACCGGTAGTTATTTCTTTTGGGCGTGACAACCGCTACTAGTGGCACCAGCAGCCCAGCAGCACTGGCGCGAGTTTCTTCAGCTGCTTGACCCCATGTTTTTTTTCTTTTTTTTTTGCACAGGATACTGATATCCAATGACAATGGCTGTCCTTGTTTGCTGCTCTGTTGGATGTTGAACACGCCGTACCAGTAGCGAGAGCAGCGCGCTCAAACTCAGTGAATATGGCATTTCCGATGGCCATGTACAATTGTTCCTTATTTATTTGTACTCAATACATCTGTCTGTACTATTTTTCTGGCAACCTAGAAACGCCTAGTTTTGCAAACTTGTCCTCGTGGCACACCATGAAGAAAGACTTGCATTGTTGAGCATCAATGGGGCGACGGAGAAGGCGAGGGCATCATGGGCCGGGCCAGGAACACGACTAAAGCAAGCAACGAGCTCAGGAATGAATGTGAATGAATGTGAAAGGGGAAGAAGAAGCTATCGAAGGTGGTGTGTCGAGGCTAGTAAAAGTGAGCGTCTCGTGGCTGAGTTAGCTGGAGAGGGCGTGCCTGCCAACATATACATCTTAGTTTGGTCGAAAGGCTCACAGAACAGGAGCATTACATTCCATTACACTACGAGAGTACAAAATACTAGCACAAACTCAATACGCCTTCATTTTCCACAAGCCAATTCACCGTATTTTCCCACCAGGGCTCCCCTTCCCCTAGAAGCCCCCCGTCATTCGGCGGCTGGTAAACAAGCTCTGCGTCCATCGACAGCCAAAGCCTCTGAACCACTCCCCAGACGGGCGAGACGCTCTAAAATTTGTGAGTTAGTATAATATAGGAACGACTTCTCCAGAGCAGTAACGTGGCTTCGTAATGGGCACATACCGATCGGCAGCTTGCTCCATCTGCAACAGTCTCGAACCAGCGTCGCGCTACTCTGCGGTGTTTCTCGTGGACCGAAACAAGCCCTATAAGAAACACGGTGAAAAACGGCGCCTGAGACGAGAACAGGCGACCGCTGCATGGCATCCTCTCAATGCAACGGCAGAGCACGCCCAGTCTTTCCAGTACTTCCGGGTGAGTCCGTGGTAACCTAGGTAGGATGCAATGTCAAAATTCACATGGATACTTTACAAAGAAGATACCAGGCATTCAAATCGGTTGCATTGTATCTTACCGGAAAAATCGACACACGAGGTAGATTTGCGCAGCCGTTCTCCAGGCTTCCGCCGTTAGCTCGGTAACTTTGGCCACGGTCTGCACATGGCTGCTGGAATCCAACGTGCACGAGTCAAACAGCTCCTCAGCAGATTGGTAGCCGTCTGAGATCTCTGACCACTGGCGAAGTCGCCCGAGCCTCTCGTGTATTACCTTGGCTGCCTCGAGGTAGACTTGCGAGTTGGGGTCCTGTACTGTCAGACCAAGGGCCTCGTTGAGAGCGCGTGTTGCTTCCAACTTGCCTCGACCGCCCGCGCGCAGAGTTGCGATATCTGGGCAAACATGTGCAGAAGCCTTGGGCATAAGCCCGTACCGCCAAATATCTTGTACGTTTCCCTCTTGTCGCCCTCGACCAGCCAACCGTTCAGGCGCGCTTGGCGGTTCACCGCCAGTGGCGAGACAGGCAGAGTGAGAATCTCGACAAAGGCAACCCTGTTCGCAAGGGCGATGCGTGCGGCGCCGGACTGAACGTTACTCGCCTTCCAATATCGATATCCGGGATCTGTATTATCCAAAATCGATGTTGCCATGCGAATCCCCTGTAGCCACTTCGGGTTGCAGTCACCTCTCCTTTGCGTCTCCCAGTGCACGATCTGGCGGAAAATGTCAGCACAGACCGAAACTGTACCGAGAGATACTGGGCACATACATCATCACAGACAAGAAACAAGAGTGCCGCGACAGCGGCCTCTTCCTTGCCAACTTGTCGTGTCGCATGCTGCTGTAGAGCGACGCCCAGCAGATTTGCAGCCCTCTTGTAATGGGAATTGGCACGCCTTCGCAGCATCTCGTTGGTGGGTTGATAATCGAGGATGTACGCTGCAGTGAAGGCTAAGAGAATTCTGTTGACGCATTCATTGCCGTCAGCGATGCCAAGCAGCTGAGTGACCCAGAAATTGCTCGTGGTGAGCAGAGTGCGTCCGGCACAAAACACATTCTTATCTTGACGGAATTAGTCACGTTAAAAGAGCTAGGATCGGGCCAGTGTATCGATCGCTTACAGAAGGAGAGCAGCCGAGCATCATAAGCAGCGAGTTTCGTCGTCCTACCAAAGTTTGGTAGAACGTAGGGTTGGTGTTCCCTTGGCACTTCTGGCGCGTACCGACCGCGTTTTCCCCTTGTCGCTGGGTAGAATGTCGTCTTTTGCCCTCTCGTGTCTGCATGGTCCTCAGTGCGACAAAGGCGGAACTTGATGTAGCCGTTGACCTCACCGCTCTCTGGAATCTTGAAAGAAAGTCTGCCTTTGAACTGGTACCGCTCTAGTGACTTGTCGAGGAACGGGTTCGGTTGGCCGGCGGGTATGATGGAAGGCGCACCAGGGGGCAGAGACGGGTTGAGAAGTGGAAGGATCTCACTCAAGGCCCCCGGCTGCGGAATGTCGAAGGCGAGCCCGTCGAATATACTGTCGGGATTACCCCAGTCAGTATATTCGAGAGCACTTTCATCTCCTTTAGTTTTGAATGAGTTGGGACTACAAGCTTGCGTGAACGGGGTGAAAGATCTCATACCAAAATGCTGGGTCTGCGGTCGGCGCATCTCAATGCCAGACACGGGTCGAAATGACCGCTGGTTGTCTGGAGATGCATCATTGCCGAGGGCAAACAACTCATAACCGGGCCAGACTGCATCTCCGATGTTTGGTTCATTGTCGAGTTGGTCGTCGATTTGATCATACACTGGGTCTTCGCGAGGCGAGAGCAGCTCATAGGCCCGCTTGCTTCTCTTTCCGCCCGCCCATCCAGGACAGAGATTGTGCTGCAACGCCATGATGAAGGACTCAAGCTGATTATGCCCATATGATGTGTGAACTTGGCTGTTGCGAGAGGGCAGAATCTTGCGGTGAAGCGAAGGCTTTACCAAGTTAGCCACGACACGTGCTCACTTGATCAATAAATGGGAGCCCAGGTCGAGGCTGAGCGGGAACAGGCCCGAGGAGGCGTCCAGAGTCTCCAGCCAGTTGCCGATGATGAGGTTATTAGCTGTCATGTAACACCAATGAAATGCGCCTCAGCCGTTAAGGCGTTCAAGCGGGGACCGGGACGCCTTCGTTTTCAGCCCGGCTGTTGCTGTCTCTCAATGTCCTCGGTCTTCCTCGGTCCCCTCGACCTCCTAAACCGTTTTAGCGTTGTTTCCTTCATCCTTTGTTTCCTTGTTTCCTTTTATCCCTCTCCTCCCCTCCGCCTAACTATCCTTGTTGTCTTGTTCTCTTTCGGTACTGTCAAAGGCTCTCTTTTCTGGTAATGGCAGCAGATTCGCTCGACAGTTTCCTTGGAGTCATGTACAGTGGCGGCTCCCAGCCGAGCCCCATAACAGCTATTTTCGACGCCCATATCGCAGATGCCGCCGCAACCTCGCACACCTTTGCGCCTTCAGAATGTATATTAGCAGATATCAGCCACTGTCTCCTACGAAATATTTCTTTTCTTTCGGAGCTCAGCAGTGGTATGGCACACGGTGAGCACGTCGACGTATACCTTTCACACAGAGTCAGACAGATGGAGGGTCTCGACGGGTTTGATGACCTGCAGCATCTGGATCAGCTGAATCAGAAAGAGAGGTTTTTGAAGTACATGAGATCGTCCCCTAGCCCCTCTGCTTCGCGGCATTTAACCAAGACGAAACCAGGTCCATTTCAGCCCATCTGCGCCGCCTTGAGGAAGACATCAAGCAAGAACTTATTGCGCACCCCTTCCTCTCCGAGACCTTTGCAGAATTTAAGCCTCAAGCAGCTCGAAAATCTTCGATGGCTGGGTACAGCGTTAACGACTCAGTTACTGGAGGTGTAGGGCCAACCGTAGCCTGGATGCCGACGGAACCAGTCGGTAACGCTTCCCCAGCAGCGGAGCAGAATGCTACATTCATACCCATAATCGCCGAGGAATCAAATTCGGAGAATACCGTCGTGGCAAAGATTCAGTCTTTACTGGGGTCTCTATCCAAGAGAGGAAAAGGTAGATACTACTGCCCCTATGAGCAGCGCTGCCAGCGAGGAGGAGTAGATTCCAACGGCGAAAGGATAGCTTTTGAACGAAACTCGGACTTTAGGTATGTCTCCTGTTGCACTGCTCTTCAAACGCAGTCAGTTTTCGCCTCGAAAACTGGGTTGCTTACAGCATATATTGCCAGGGCGCATTTATACAGACATTGTCGGCCGTACAAATGCCATCAACCAAACTGTACCAATACGAAGGGATTTGCGAGGCTAGATCAGCTTTTGAATCACCAGCAAGTAGTGCACAATAATATCACATGAGAGCGGCCGAAGTCCTGGAGAAACAGGTGAAATGATGGATTCCTCTATGACTAGCCATAGTAGTGGTCTACGAATGAGGCTCCCTCCCCTCACCAAGCTTTTTATGAGACCCAGACGTGTTGCTGGTTCACTAGGCGAAATTGGAAAGAACACAGAACCGTCCTATCGCTACGACCTCGGCATGGCATGGGAAGTGAGGCGCCGTAGAGAGTAGAAAACCAAAAAGGTAATGATGCCTTTTGCCTTACTCAGCGGTTGATTGCGTCTGCTTTGGCCTTCGAGTCCATTTACAGGTATCGCCTCTAGCCATGCCGCACCCCGTTCTAGCTGCACCTCGCCAGGCTGCAGCAGTGAGGCGGGTGATGCGTTACTGGCCGTTCAGCCCTCCGACATTGAGCTGAAAGCTATTCAGCAAAGAGGAGTCAAATTGACGTCGATTGTCTTGCGAAATTGGAAGATATAAAAACGGGAGAAAATCCCAAGATGACCTGCTGCTCTCTTTGTTGGAACGGTAAAGCTGCTTGTCTCACTTTGACTTCAGGCATACCACAGCGCTGTCGCTTAGTGTATTGGAAAACTTCCTCATCGTCATACTCGTTTATTTTGACTTGGTTCTTGTCATAAGACCGATACGCAATGGGAGACCTCCAGAGCACACAGTTGTACCGCCAGGCTACAGTCGACGGTGTCATTGACATTGGAGGTAGTAAGCTACCTGAGCGCTTGCAGGCAATCACGTTCAAACATCTGAATGAACCAGACCAGGATGGACGATACTTCCTGCCAGACATTTTGTTTTCCAATGATACAGGTCTGCAGCTCTGGCACCAGGTCAATCATCTACCTCACTACTACCAGACGGACATCGAGGTCAAGCTCCTAGAAGAGCACGCAGCGGATATTGCGCGTCTGATTCCTGCTGGATCCAGTGTCTTTGACCTGGGATGTGGGTAAGTACGGAGTACACGACAGGAGCAACAGCACACTGGCACCAGACCATGACGCCGTTGCTGGCTGAATTGACCAAGACTAATGCCTTTCTTTTTTAAGTGACGTGCGCAAAGTGCGTCCCGTTCTCGACGCTCTTGAAAAATTGGGCAAAGATGTTGACTACTATGGCCTTGATCTCTCTCATAAGACGCTGGCGGCGAATATGGAGAGTCTGCGATCGACCTATCAGTTTGTCCAGTGCTTCGGGCTCTGGGGCACCTTTGAAGACGGCTTCGAGTGGGCAAAGTCAATCTCCGGCCGCAGGCTCTTCCTCTCGCTCGGCTCGATATACAGCAACGATCGATTTGACCGAGCGGTCCGCTACCTCAAGACCTGTGTAGGGGCCATGCGCCCGCACGATCTCATGCTCATCGGCATCGACTGCAGCCCAGACCCGGACGCCGTCTGGGCCTCGTACCACGATTCAAGCGGTATTTTCGAAGCCTTTATCCGGAACGGGTTCCAGCACTCCAACGTCGTCGTCGGTGGGCAGTGGTACAATGACGAGGACTGGGAGGTGCGCGGGGTGATGGAGCAGCAGCCGCCGCCCCTGCGGCACAAGTTTGTCCTGCGCGCGGTGCGAGACGTGGAGCATCCGCCGACAGCCTTGTGCTTCAAGGCAGGCACTGAGATCGAGTGCTATGAAGGCATCAAACAGACGCCCGACTTGATGGCGAGGCAATTGTCCTCGGCTGGCTTGCACGAGTGGCGAGGTGGGCGCAGCCGACCAGGACAATTTGTAAGTCTCTTTCTTATTCATGTCGCGTCTCGCTCAACGGTGCATTGTCTATAGAAGCCATCTAACTATTTAACAGATGAGTATCTCGTCGAGCCAGACCTAGAAGGTAAGGGGCATTAGTTAGCTCAGTAAATTCTGTGATACCATACAAGGGCGCACCGTCCGGTCGGTCAGCCCCCATACAAGAAGGAGCAGAGCACACAGTTCAAAAAGAGTCGGTCCGGCTAGTAGGTCTCCTTTAGAGATGACACTATACCCCTCTGATGAAGTTTGACGGGCCCTTGAGAGTTGCAAGCTCGTAGGCCCAAGAATGTAGGGTACATAAGTACCTATCTCGAGCCCACAGAACCTCCACAATACATCATCATCATCTCCCCATTCTGCATCATCCAACCTACCTCCTGTGATTGCCAAATGGATGATTTCCAAATGGATGATAGCTGCGGGCTTTGTACGCTTGAGCTGGAGAGAAAATGCGCCATGGTCAGGAGTACGTGGGCGGACCCCTGGCTTCCCTAGCTCTCTTCACTCCCCAAATCCTGACTTTCAGCAGGCCCTCCTTGGTCCCATTGAGTTATATTTGATGCACGACTTGATTGGTGTCCTCGTCGAGGAAAGGAACTTGTACCAAGTGAAGTGACTTGGCGGGGTCATTGTTCGACGAGGACGAACAAAATGAGACATGTGCGATTTTGACATTCGATTACGTATATTTGAGTAAAGTACTCGGGCGTTCGTTCCAAAACTCCAGCATACCTCCCAGCGTTGTGAGAAACAAAGACGCTACCAACGAGCCGATCAAGTCACAGCTAAGCACAACTATAGTACAAGGAGAAAAGGGTTTCCCATCCAGCACGACCGTCTACCACCCCTCGACAACCTGAACGCACATTTCCATTCCGCCGTCGGGCTTGGCGACAATACTAGGGTTAATCTTGATGTTGCTCGGGTCCAGGAGCGACTTGTCCTTGAGCTCGAAACTGAAGCGACCAATCCAGGCGGCCGCCAGACACGCCAGCTCCGACTTTGCAAAGGCACCGCCGATGCAGCTGTGCGGGCCGTGCAGAAAGGTCATGAAGGCGTAGTTGCTCGTGGCACCGCCGCTCGCATAGTTGGCCGCGTTGGTGCCGCCGTTGTCGGGGCTCAGCCAGCGCTCCGGGTTGAACTCGTGAGCGTCGTCGCCCCATTGCTTGGGATCGGTATTGGTGGCCCAGGGGACGAGCACGAGCAGGGTGTCCTTGGGGATGAACTGGCCCTGGAGGGTGGTGTCGTGCATGGCGACGCGGACCGACTGGGCGACGGGGCTGTGGGCGCGCAGCACCTCGCTGCACACGGCGTTGAGGTACGGCATGGCGTCGATGACGGCGCTCGTCACCTCGACGTCGCTGTCGGGCGAGGGCAGCGCGTCGCGGATCTCCTTGCGCAGGCGCTCCTGCATGTGCGGGTACTTGGCCATGAAGTAGGTGACCCAGATGAGCGACGAGGCCGTCGTCTCGTGGCCGGCCGACAGAAACGTCATCATCTGGTCGATGAGGGCGTTTTCGGAAAAGAGCCGCCCGCCGAGCGCGACGGTGAGAATGTCCAGCCCCGCGTCCTGCTTGTTGTCCAGCAGGCGGCGCTTCTCCTGGATGAGGCCGTGGGCGACGCCGCGGATGTGCGCCGACGCCTTGTGGGCGTCGCGCACGCGGCGGAGCGGCAGGTTGTCCATGATGAGGTCGGGCAGGAAGGCGCGCATGCCGAGCAGCACCATGTCGGCCTCGTCGGGCTGCAGCAGCTCGTAGCTCTTGGCGAGCGGGTTATCGGGGTCCTTGATGGAGCCAAAGTCGACGCCGACGCCGGCGAGGCCGATGATGTCGAGGGCGCAGCGCGCGGTCCAGCCGGAAATCTCCGTCTCCATGTAGCCCTGGTCGTCGCAGCCGGCGGCCATTTCGCGCACCGCCTCGCACGACTTGCGCCAGAAGAGCGGGTACAGGTCCTTGACGTGGCGGAAGGAAAAGGCCGGCAGCATGTCGCGCCGCTGCTTCTTGTGCACGTCGCCCTCGACGGTGAGGAGCGCCCAGCCGATGATTTGCGCGAGGAACTTGCGCGCAAAGAGCGGCTTCTCGAAGCTGTAGCACTTGGTCACGAGGAGCTCCGAGAGCGCCTGCGGCGAGTTGACAATGACCATTTCCTGGTTGAAGTGCCACATGACACGGATCAGCCCGTCGTTGGGGCTCTCGCCGATCCTGCAAAGTGGCGCGTGTCAGTAGACGATTTCGGTTAGGGAGAAGCTTCTCACGTACCATTCCTTGGCCATGACGCCGACACCCTTCTTGCGCATGTTGATTCCGTGGCCAATTAGAGGCAGGCCGCCCTTGACCTGCGGCAGATGGCGGAGAGGCGACACGAAATAGGGATAGACGAACATGGCATACGCCGAGTAGAGGGTGATCTGGGCGGCAAAAAGGGCGACGAAAACAATGGCGGACTGTGTCTTGCTGTGAAACAAATGAAGCAACTTGATGAGGACACAGCCTAGGACACTGATGCCCGCCATGTGCTTGACCGGTATAAGGCGTATGGCAGCCATGATGCCGTTGGTGGGTGTTGGTGGGTGTTGGTGGGTGTTGGTCCGAGATGAGGTTGCTATTTTCCTGCCTCTTGATTTTTATTTTTATTTTTTTTGCTGCTTCTCAATTGATCGAGGAGAGTTGTGGGACAAAAAACACCAGCTTGTCAATCTTCAGCTCCCGTCAAGGGGCGTTGCATCTCTTTAAACCCCCAGTCCCGAGACTGCACCGCGGCAAGTCGGCCAAGTGGAGAAGATGCAGAGCCGATGGCGCGGGGTCGCAAAGAGGGGGACGGACGGGCATGGCAAATGGGTGCGGCCTGCCTCCGTTCCGCAGTCTCCTCTCCGGGGTCCAAGCTGAAGACATTCTATAACCAGTTATTCATGCCAAAAGCCAGGCTTAAATAGGCTAGCCCTCCCCCCTTGTCGAATCACCAGCCACGACTAGAATACCGTCTTGGTGGATTCTTGCTCTTTGCATCTCCCCGTACCCGAGTCAGCCATTACCGAGCATTGGCAAGGGGAAAAGTCAGGTGGGTTCTTATTTGTTTCTAATTTTGTTGGGAGCTTTATTTGGTGCCAGCGTTGCTCACTTGCCTGCCCCCTCTTGACACTTGCACATGTAACTACAACAGAAGCATGACGTATTCTTTTGGCATGTGATTGTGCCCGCCATGCCAAATTTTATACTCTCACGAGTCCAGACAATGAAAAAAAGCTTTGCATCTGGCGCACGCGGCCACGGACTGTTGTGAACACGTTATCAGAGTTCACAGTCGGGACAACTCTGCATGTCTTCTTCCTTGGCTCATGCGAGCGGCAGGGATCTATCCCTTGACAGGTGTTGATTTTCGATTTCTGCTTGTGTAGGTGTAAGCTGCCGCTTCATCACATGGCAGAGTTACGTGTCAATTGATGCTGTCAGTTGATGCTGTCAATTTTTTGGTAGCCTTGGGACCTCGTCTATGGGTTTTATCACACTCCCTACAATGTATGAATCCAAATCCAATTGGGCGCCGATGAGGGGGATCAAAGGTCGATCGATAGTCAACAGCTCCATGTACATATGCGTCTCTTCATACTGCTTCTGTGTGGCGCCTCCGTCATGCGAGCGCAACCTCGTCATTTGCCACCAGATTTTTGATCCAATCCTTCTCCCCCGAATTGATCGGTCCATCAAGCTCAAAGGTGCCAACATGCTGTCCATTTGTAAAGCGGGCGACGAATTCTTGGCTGAAGACCAGCATTAGCCAGTAATAGGTGGCACATGGGGTACCTTCCCTTAATACCCGAAGCGGGTAATAAGCTGAATAGAATATCCCGAAAATAATACACCAAAGGCAAATATCTTGCGACAGATGTAAGCAATGCAGCCGGTGCCTCTTTACCTGTACATTCTGGATGTGAAGCCATCGACATCCAGCATCCAGGGGGCGATGACAGACGGCCCGGAAGCCGGAGGAATAATCCCCCGTCGCCCAGTATATTTGGCACACTGTGTGCACCATCCCATCAGACAGAGATTTAATTCAACAGCATTATCTCTCTCATCCTATGTGTGCCCTGGTGGTCCCGAAAAAGGGCCCAACTGGTTTACCCAGCCAATCGAGCAGCCCATCGAGAACAAGCTTGGGCAGCGCTAGGAGGGCACCCAGGTCCAGAATTGACCAATACACAGTCCTGGTCGAGCATCCTCTTCTAGGCGCCTTACGCATTGTCTCCTTCAACCACAGCAGGGCCTTGGGCGCCGCCAGGATGGCGAGGCTGCCATGATGTGAATTTCGGTCGCGGTGGTACTGGATCGACGCGCCATCGCCGCAGTACGCGGCCACCAGCGCATCCGTCTCCGCCACTGGGCTGAATTCGTCGTCGACCGACTTGTACACAAACATGGGAATCTTTGGCGTGTCGCCGTGTCCCAGCGAAGTGTTCTTCAAGACGCGGTAGACCAGATCGCGGTCGTCAAACATGCCAATCACGTCCTGGTTCTTAAACGCCCTGGTATCGGCATCCATACACTGGCTGCGGACCGAAATGAACTTGTCCCGGAACTGGGCAAGAAGATGCCGCTCCACGTCGCGCTCAGCCTCGGCGTACTGGTTCGTCAGTCCCATGACACCAGCGGCGATGAAGCCCGCGTGCGACCCGCCGTTGATGGAAGTGACGACCGTGATAAGGTTGGGCACCGTGCCGCCCACGGCCGCGCCAGCAATCTCCAGCTCGGGCGCGTACCTCGGCTGCAGCTCCGCCGCCCACATGGAGGCCACGGCGCCGCCCGAGTACCCCCACATGGCCACCTTCGGGTGTCTACCGATGCCCGTAAACCGACTCGAGTGGAGCGCGGCGCGGATGCCGTCGAGGATGGCGTGGCCGGCCAGCTTGTTGGCGAGAAACGCGGCGTAGGGTCCGAGGTAATCGGGGACGATGACGACCCAGCCCTGCTCGAGGGCGGCCTCGACGAGCAGCAGCTCCAACTCGGTCGTCCCGGTGCCCCGATCCGGGTCAGCCGCGGGCCGCAACTGGAACACGTACGACGGCGCGCAGTTGATGTCGGCCGCGTCCTCGGCGACCTGGTAGGAGAGCACCTTGTTCATGTCGGCGTGGCGCGGCACGAGCACCGTCAGCACGGTGGCGGTGGCGTTGCCTAGGCTGTCCGTCGTGCGGTACAGGATCTGGTGCGTCGCGGCGAGGCGCAGCGGGGCGACCCCGAAAGCGGCAATCGGGGCGGGAGGAGGTCGGTGCCTCAAGATGGTGCCCGGCGCGACGTCTTGCAGACCGTCCGGGACGTGGTAGAATGGGTCATCGCTTGGTCGCATGGTGATTTTGTGGTCGCGGAGCGTGGCCGGAACGGACGGAGCTGCGGCGGCCAGGTAAGCCAATACTGCTGCGACGGCCAACGACGCCGTGTGCAAGATGTAGACCATTTTGCGAGTGAATGAAAAAGACACGGACCGTGTAATGGAATACCAAAAGAGCCCATGGCAATTTAATATGATGGAATATCAAAAGAGTCTATAGCAATTTCATAAATGCTTGACTGAGCTAGTATTTAACACGTCGAGAGCTGTCAAATACGTCATCGACTGTGGTCAACACCAAGCCATGCGTCGCCCGTCACTATCCTTAGCGGTGAGCCTATTAGCAATGAAATTCGTCCAATGTACGGATACAATTAGCCCGAAAGAGAATGTTACGTCAAAATGCCATTTGTGTTGATTGGCTGTGCGGACCTGCCTGGAAAAGTCACTGTTACTCCGTCATCATCCCGAAGAACACAGATGGCGGCCAGCCGATTGATTGTAGAAATCAAATGGTAAAAAACCCTATAGAAGTGAATAATGCATTCCTGTTTATCTATACTATTTTTATAATGTCCTTCTAGAAGATCATAGTGCCTGCTCTTCTGAGCGTCGCTTTTTACGGGCCGGCTCTCCCTCCATACACGATAAATTATTAATAATAATAGACAGATCTGGGTAGATTTCCACGGACACTTCGGCCGACAGCAAGCTAACACTTGTGGTACAAGCCAGAGATGGCTAGACCAGCACAAGTACACGTGGCATGCTGCATGACCTGAAGATCAACTATTGATGCCAAGACGAAGTCCCACCAAGAGGGAGAAAGCGGTGCCCAGCGATGTAGGAGACGTTGAGCTACCGTGCTCCCAGGCCTCTGTAGCTCAAATTGTGATCAAATTCAAGGGGCGAAATCGACTAATAAAGGCCGGATATAAGTCGCGCTAAACCTTCGAAAAACCAGCTGGGTTCTTTTAGTCAAGTATAACAGTGCACTTTAGGGTAGCCCAAGTGCCCTCTACCCTGCCAGCCTCAGTGGCAACCAAGAGGGCAAGATGGAAGAGAGGAAAAATTAAATTGCACTCGTGGCCCGTTTCGTGTTAGATGAAGCCAAATGGAATTTCCGGGAGGGTTTATTCTTCGCCCGCAATAGAGCATAAAGCTGGCGATGGTGTCAGCGAAGGAGCCTAGAGGTGACAACTTGCCACGCGTATCCCGGGTCGTTTCTAATCTGCAAATATCCGTGGAGTTCCGGTTAAGAACCAGTATCACCAATCATGCCGCGGCTTATTTTCTGAGGCTGAAGCATTTTCGAGGCGAAAGTAAAGGCAGGCGATGACCCCAGCGGTGGAGCGACGGACAAGGTATCGAACAAGGGTCAGAAATCAAGGCAAAAGTACAAAATGTCATCTCCCGGAAAGTCGTCATTTGCATATAAAAAGTTGCGAGCAAAAAGACAGCAGTATATAAAAACACAATGTCGGACCAGCTCCGACTGGCTGAAGTCCGACTGATACGCGGACGGATACGGCGAGGAGCGACTGCTCTTATCTGGCTCCCGGTGGTGACGGTGAGAGGCTTACGAGAAGAACAAGATTGGTATTGCTTGTTTGCAGTCACCGCGCATTAAATCCCACCAATAGACACTCACTATATGGACAGATGTCACTGTAAAGGGAATCCATGAGTTGCTCACACGGACCCCGAGTAGGCGACGCGTATCCTAAACCTTGGCGGATTGCAGGTGGATATCTCGCCGTAGCGAGGCAAAAAGAAAATGCAAAATGCTTGAATCCAAAGTTTGGTATCTTTCCGGTGACAATCAGTCCCTCCGCCGCGGGAGTGCTGTCTCGGGAAGCGGCCAAAAAGTCTTGAATATCCGGCCACGCCAATACTCCCTTGATAGCAGTCATGGCGTGGTTGACGCTTTCTCGCAAACCATAGGAACCATGTACTCCAAGAGGAAAATGTTGGACCGAAGTAGATTCTGTTAACGTGCACTGTTCTTTAAGAACCCAATAGTTTTACCGATACGACTGCCGGCCTTCCTTGAGACTATCCAACGTTTTATTTATACAATCTGTCGACTATTGGATAGCATGAGAACCTATGTGAGCGTCTATGATAGTATAGGCTTGCAAACACAGCAAGATTTATTACACTACAATGCTCGTGCGTAGCAGCACCGGAGTAAGATTCTTCTCATTCGGATGGGCTGGGTTCCACAGCAGCTGCCAAATATCCGCGTCATCTGTAACAGCGGCGTAAAACGGGTTCTTGTAGCTGCCGTTGACATGAGCAAAGACAGTCTCCCCGTAGAGCAGCAAGTCGGCCGACCCGGTTGCATTGCTGGTAACGGTGACATCGGGGTAGGTCGAGTTGTCATCACCCGGAAGCACGAGCTCGCCACCGCCAAAGGGCGGGTTCGGGGACCTGGTTGTGTTGGGGGAGACTGTCCACGGTGCGGACGGGAGGCTCCGGTCCCGAGTAACTAGAGATGAAGTATATTAGAGAGTGTTGTGCCGAGGCTCAATGACACTTTTGCCGGACATGCGAATGAACTAGGCTCTTGAGAACGAAGGGGAGGATGGCTGCCCTTACAATAGATTGAAGTCAAGTTGGAAGGAGCGGTAAGATTCGAAATCATAATCAGCCCTAGACTTTATCAGCATGCGGCTCTCTCTACCTCAGTTGGTCGAGGGGGACGTACCATCTTTGTAATAGAGCTCAGCACCTGCAAAGGAGCCGGTTGTCGTGTAGCAAAGCAAGTTGAAGCTTTCTTTGGCAGCAGAAGCTGCAGGAAGAACAGCCAGAATAAATGCAATGATTTTGGAGTCCAAAGAAAACTTCATCATGCCGTTTGAGATATCGTTCGATGTAGTATTGAGATGCTCAGAACAAAGCGCGGAGAGAAGTTGACCTGCTAGCGGATAGACAGATGTCAGTGCACAGTAGCTGAATGAACCGCAGGACATTCAACCCATATATACACACAATTCCTTGTACAAATTCGTCATCAACGTACGTCAACAGGAGGTTATCACGTTCGCTGCGCTTTGATGTTTAGAATGACACACTCCACCACCGCCCCGCTCCCGTTCCGCGGTCAGGAACCTGCGATGTCCACGTCAGCTCCGATGGAGTATCCGTGAACTCGTCGATAATGACAGCGGGAGTCGCTGAGACGGAGCTGAAATAAAAGCGTCGAGCGTCGGGCGTAGTGGGAAAGCCGGCATTGATGCAGCACTAGAGTCTGTGCGGGAGGCCGGGAATATGCCTGCAATAAGAGTGGTGGCGTTGAAAGCTGGGGATAGAGTTGCGGCGGCAGTTGGGAAAAGTCTAAAGTATTGCGTACGTCGGACAATGCATGATACGCTTGGTTGCTTATTTTTATGTTGGTCATCGTGTCATGTTGTCTGTCATATTGATATCGTGTTGTTGTCTGGTTGTATATATAGATGTTGTAATTGCATGTCTTGAAGTTTAAGAACTCAGCATCCAGCAACTTACACTATTCACAACAAAGCTTTTACAAACAGCTCTGCAAACTCTTTATCCATTGACTGAAGATGCGTTCCCCATTCTTTCTCTTCTTTCCACTGTTGACTGTTGCCAGCTGCAACAGTCTGCTTTCCCGTGCTGCCTGCTCCGGGAACACGGCGACCACCAGATCCCAATGGTGCGATTTCAGCATCGACACCAACTGGTATGATGAGGTCCCTGACACCGGCGTCGTGCGGGAGTACTTCTTCGACCTCGAGCAGGTCACCGCCTCGCCGGACGGATTCGCGCGCACCGTGTATGCCTTTAACGGTGTGGTGCCCGGACCGACTATCGAGGCCGACTGGGGCGACACTGTCGTGATCCACGTGTCCAACAACCTCACTCTGGCGCAGAACGGCACGTCCATCCACTTCCACGGCATCCGCCAAAACTACACCAACGAGATGGACGGTGTGACGGCGGTTACGCAGTGCCCCCTCCACGCGGGCGGGTCAATGACTTACACCTGGCGCGCCACGCAGTACGGCACGTCTTGGTATCACTCCCACATTGGCCTGCAGGCCTGGGATGGCGCCGCCGGTGCCATTCTGATCAACGGGCCGGCCACGGCCAATTATGACGTGGATGTCGGTACGATCTTGCTCGCGGACTGGACTCATCGGACTGCGGATGAGCTCTATACCTCGGCGTTGACGAGCGGCCCCCCGTTCCTGACCAACGGCCTCATCAACGGCACCAACACGTGGAACAACTCCGGAACGGTGGTGGGACATCGCTTCAATGCTTCCTTCACAGCGGGCAAAACGCACAGGTTGAGGCTGATTAATGGCGCCTTGGATACGCACTTTAAATTCACAATTGACAATCATACCATGACGGTCATTGCGGCCGACTTTGTCCCCATTGTGCCATACCAGACCACGGTCTTGGACATTGGCATGGGTACGTCACAACTTAGGCAGCTGACTGCCAATGAAACGCCCGCTAATGATGTTATACAACTAGGTCAAAGATACGATGTCGTTGTCAGCGCAGACCAGGAATCCGTAGCCGAGAACTTCTGGCTGCGTGCTCTGCCGCAGGTGGCTTGCTCCAACAGCGACAACCCCGATGACATCCGCGGCATCATCTACTACGGCAGCGAGCCCTCGACCCCCAGCACCTCTGTCTGGTCGTACGTCGACGGCTGCATCGACGAGCCGGTGGCGAGCCTGGTGCCGCACGTGGCGCTCAGCGCCGGCGTGCAGGACCAGTCGGACCTCGAGCAAGTCAGTCTGCTGCCGACGGACAATGTCGTGCTGTGGGCGCTCAACAACACGTCCTTTTACGCCGACTGGCAGAACCCGACGCTGCTGCAGCTCTACAACAACGCGACCAACTACACCACGCGCAGCCACGTCATCTCGCTCGACGAGGCCGACAAGTGGGTGTACGTCATCATCGAGGCCCAAAACGCCGTCCCGCACCCGATCCATCTGCACGGCCACGACTTCTCCCTCGTCGCGCAGGGCTCGGGCAGCTTTGACGCGGCGACGGATCTGTTCGACCTGACGAACCCGATGCGCCGCGACGTCGCCATGCTGCCCGGCTCGGGCCACTTGGTGCTCGCGTTCAAGACGGACAACCCCGGCGCGTGGCTCATGCATTGCCACATTGGATGGCACACCAACATGGGCCTGGCGCTTCAGTTTGTAGAGCGCCTCGAGGAGGCGCGCGGGCTGATCAACTATGAGTTTCTCAACAATACGTGCGCCAACTGGGGCGAGTATACTGCGCTGGCTACCCTTGAGCAGGGGATTTATGATGATGGTATCTAGTAAGCGGTGCGTATATAGTCGGGAAAGTTGATGATAGTCACATAGTGCATGAATAAATGTGATAGTGGATTTTGAGAGAGTTCCTTGCTGCACGGGTTCTTAATTTCCCTCTTTATTCGGCTGAGATCACAGTTCTGTAAACTCGCGTACGAGCTGTCCTTGGACTCGACGCGGACTCTTTCGACAATATTCCGCTGTTACCACGGTGGTACGGATCTGCAGCTCCGGCGACTTCGGCGCCGCAAAAGTGGGCACAAGTCTCTCAGCTGCATTATTTCAGGGGGGTGGCCTATACTCTTACCAAGTACCTCTATGTATCTACTTCTTGGCAGGTCCCGTGACCTACTTGCCTTTATGATAGGTCAAAGGGATAGGGTGATGACTTCCGTAGCGTGTCTTTCGGTCTCGAGGCCGGTCACACACAAGACAGCGAATAGCAATGGCAGAACGCGATGGCAAGTTCGCCATTGCCATCATATGCGCTCTTGCGCTCGAACTAGACGCCGTCATCAAGCTTCTTGATGGGCTGCCGGAGATTGTGCCGCACGAGAGGCGGGATACCATCTTTCTGTCCGCGATGTTTGCTGGCCACCCGGTGCTGCTCGTGAAACCCCAGCAATACGGAAAGCTCGATGCGGCCTTGGCAATGCAGTGCTTACAACAGCGATTTGGTGAAATGGAGCTGACTATCCTGGTCGGCGTGTGCGGCGGCGTGGCTCAACCGTACGGCGATGGTCCCTCTGCGCCTGCGCCCATCTTCCTCGGCGATGTCGTCATCGGAAATTCCATTGTTCACTACATACACGCGGCTGGGATAAGCCCGCAGGGCCTTCAGATGAAAAGCGCCGCCCCGCAAGTTGCAGGAACAAAGCTGCGTCAGCTTCTGGGCTACCTCGAAACGGAATATTACATGCAGCAAGTGACGGCCCAGTCGGCAGCCATCTTGGAGCAGCACTTTCACGACGCCGAATACCGCTGCCCGGGAGAATCGGAGGATCTGGCGTTTTCTTCTTCTTACCACCACCTCCACCGCCGTTGCTGCCCCACGGGCTGCTGTACATCCAACCCGCCCATGTTTTGCAGCATTGCCAAGGCAACACCCTGCTCCGATCTTGACTGCGACCTTGAACAGGCCCGTCGGCGTCCCACGTACTCGCAGGTGCCGCGAAGGATCCACGTCGGAACCTATGCTTCGGATGACGTTGTTATGCGTGATCCGCAAGTCCGAGACTCGTTGGCCAAGAACAGCAATGTGATTGCGTTTGAGATGGAGGCATCTGGAATCTGGCAGCTCAATACTACCTGCTTGGTGATCAAGTCGGTGAGTGACTATGGAGATAGCCATAAGCATAAGCACTGGCAAAATTACGCCGCAGCTTGTGCGGCAGCAACAACCAAAGCCGTTGTTGAACACTTTTATCCAAGAGGTAAGAGACAAGTGTATCGTGAATTGCCCCTTTCGAACCTCCACCGGTGGCTATAGTAGCAACTTGAACAGTCTGAAAAAAGGAAATCGGTTTATGCTTGCGTCACTTGCAGCCAACAGTGTAGATGGCAGATGCGCGCAGATTCAACCAACAATTGGTCAACTAACTCCTTGAGCTGACGATGCTAATCGATTCTGCTCTGCCTAGATTCATTGCATCGTGAGTTTTGTTGCCCTCTCCGTTCTCAAAGAGACACCTTCCGCCGCACTTTAGTCCCTGAACTCTCCTACACAACCCGTCAGGATTCCATGTCGAGCTTACCGACCTTCTTGCAGTGCACAATGATCCCTTATCAAGCCCGCCGCATCTCGGTGAATGTACGCTCTACTCCTTTTGGCTACATGCCGCGGAAAGAAGGAAGCTGAAGGCGCTACGCCTGTTTGCTGACCAATACGATAGGGGCTCGGGCTGCCATACAGAAGATCAACTCCCAGAGGCACGCTCCGTCAACGGTGGCAATGCTGGAATCCGGCAATACGGACCTGCCAAGTGACGTGATGCAGAGCTTCGTGCACACAAAGGCTTTTCAGAATTGGCTTCAAGGCCAGAAGAGCATGCTCGTGGCCACGTTTTGCCATGGAGCGAGCGCGGCGGAGACCGATAACCAGCGACAGCTCCCAGGCAACTCTACCGCGATTTCCTTAGCAAGGCACGCCGCGCAATCTAGACGGGGTTGTCGCGTCTTTTACGTCGACTGCGCAGGGACGTTCGAAAAACGGCCTCTGACAAGACTTCACAAGCTCACAAAAGTACAGCAGCTTCCACCTGATCCGTCGGAGATAGACTCAAGCCTCGCCGCTGCTAACGCGGCCTTGGGTCTCCTGTTCCTGCAAATATTCTGCAGTCAGCCGCGGCAAGAACAGCTTTTGCTCGAGTACATGGCGGAACTGCCGCAAAGCGCCGTCGCAGAGCTGCAGTCTGCGTTGCTAGACACCGGACAGCCTCCCACAGAAGCCATGATTCCAGTCATTCTCTACATGCTGGGCAGGGCAAATTGGACAGAGTCATTGCTGGCCATAGACAACATGGAGCTGATCGAGGTCGCTGGTCAAAGAAGACTGCTTGCCGATATTGAACTGCTTTGCACTGCACTAAACACCCGAGCGTGTGTCGCGGCTTCCTCGGATCTCAAGGGCATCATCAAGGAAGTCGCGCATCTCTATGTCTCCGAGGATACAGAATACAAAGGTGCGAAAGACTGCATCGGGCAAGAGAAGCATAGATCTCCTCCCTGGCCAGCCTCTAACATTTGAACAGAATTTCTGGCATCGTTACAATTTCCGGACATGGAGGCTCGGAGGATGCATGTATCCGCGGCCACGGCGGAGACAAACTCGTGGATCTGGAGCAACCCTGAATACGTTGCGTTCTCACGACAGCAGTCCGGGATCCTCTGGATTCGCGGAAAGCCCGGCAGCGGTAAGTCTGTGCTGGCCAAGTTTATCAAGGAAACGCTTCTCGAGCGGCTGCGGTCGACACAAGGGACCACCGGCTGCGGCTTCCTAGTCGGTGACTGGTTCTACCATCGTCGCGGGGGCGGCCCTCACGTTCAGCACTATTCTCTTCTGCGCTCCATACTTTACCACTTGTCTAAGCAATCACGGGATGTCTTCACATCCTTTTGCCTCGCGGCGTATCGCTCAATGGATCCACGCAATATATCGTGGTCCGGCGATACCCTGAAGCAGATGATTCTCCGTGTTTGCCACGGCCCCATGCCTGTCATCTGTGTAGTAGATGCTGTCGACGAAGCCGAGAATGCAGAAGTTCTGTCGGTCATCAGGGCATTTGCTGAGGACACTAGTAGCTCCAACGCCAAATTCATCATACTCAGCCGGCCCGCCGTCGCGATAGAGCAGCAGGTCGCTGGCTACCACAGCATCGTCATGGAGAGGGAAAACCACGACGACATTGAAAAGATCGTATGCAAAGGGCTTGAGTCGCTGCGGCAGGCGCTTCATGCGCTTGACCTGGGCGCTCTGCCATCTGCCGAGTGTGCCCCTCGGACGCGTGGCCAGCCTCGCGGTTCCCGGATGAAGCAACCCAGGTCGAGATCGGTGGGTGTTGCCAAGTTGCACGAGCAACTCGCGCTACAAGAGATACAGAACACCCTTATAGAAAACGCGCAAGGGTCAGTCTTGTGGGTGAAGCTAGTGCTGGACCAACTCATTCGGCAGGCTAGCTCACCCTGGACATGTACCCTGGACGGCCTGCGGCAAGCTGTGAAGCGGATTCCGCACGAACTTGAGGAGTACTACACGCAGATTGTGGTGGAGATGCAGAGGCAACAGCCGGCTGGGGACATCGAAGCTATCCGGAGGATGCTCATGTGGATATGCGCCGCGGGCGAGATTGGCGAGGTGACGCTGGAGATGCTCTCAGAGGTCATGGCCATCATCAAGGACAACTTTTCCTCGTTCACCGTGGACGACATACGGAGTAGCCGACCGCTTTTTGAGTCGTGGGATGAGCTTTGGCGCAAGATGCATCTCACATGCGGGGTGTTCATTGAAATCTACAACCCGGGCCTCTCGGTCGAGGAATCTCGCGACTACAACTACGGCGCCGCGTCAGTTGTCCAGCTCATGCACCAGTCGGTCCGCGATTTCCTCACCGAAAGCCCCGCCGCCGCACAGTTGTCCTTTACCCTTGCGGAGGCTCGAGATTTTGTCCAGAGCCATCTGTCCGACTATTTGCGGATCACGGGCCAGTGTCTGCGAAGCAGAGACTCTGGCGGTGGATCATTTCGCTGCATAGAGCTACTGGAATACCTTGACGACTGGAAACTCTTGGAACTTGCGCTCGGTCCCCGGCAGCAGCACAGCGCCGCTGCCGCCTCCGACTTTCGGGTTCCGCCCCTACAGGAGCCGACGCCTCAGTCTCCCGATTCCTATCTGTGCGCCGCGCTGCTTTCAGATGTGCACACTTTCGAAGATTTGTCGGGTGTTGTCAATGGCGCCAGCCAGCCCGGTGTCAAGAACACCTCTAACTGCATGGAATTGTATCTCCCAGCGAACCGCCTCTTCTACAGGGCATGCAAGGACGGCTTAGTAACAGCCGTACTCAACATGTTGGCTTTGGGATGGCATAGAGATATTATGGCTTACATGGACAGTGGGCCTGTCGTCATGTACGGCGTCATCCTGGCGGCTTCGACATGCAAGTGCCGGAGAGTACATGTCGACTGCGTTGGAAAGGGAATCAGTAACGACACGAACATAGATGGTAAGTCGGGTATACATACCACATCGGGCGTGCATCGCCAGTCAGACATACTTGGTATACATGATGCCTCCGCCCCCCAAGATTTCTGGAAATTTGCAATGCCAGGAGAAGATTTCTGGACACCTGGAATGCGACTGCCAGGAGAAAAGGATATGCAAAACGCCTTCACCGCCAAGAATTTCTGGGCATCTGCAATGTCACTGCCAGAAAAGGATATACAAGACGCCTTCGCTGCCGAGAATTTCTGGACACTTGGAATGCCACCGCCAGGAGAAAAGGGAAAAAGTAAGAAACCGCCAGGAGAAAAGGGAAAAAGTAAGAAACCCGAATCCAGCCAAGGTACCATGACAGCAAGTCCTGCAGGGTACCAACAGACAATGGAGGTGAGTCGGGTCGGACGCGCTCTGTCGGCTGTCGAGCTGGGCCTTAAGGAGGAGGAGGAGCGACGACGCGAAACAGAGCAAGAGGGTGGAGAGGCGCGACGGCGCGAAGAGAGCCGCTTTGACGTTGACGATCAATGGGTCGCGCAGCGGTGGCGTGTGACGGTCCGGGTCGACGGCGATGACTCGCTCCTGCCGTGGGGAGCCACGTCGAAGTCCTCGGGTTGGACAAGCCGCTTCCGGGAGTGGTCCGGCTTCCTCGACCTGACCTGTGGCACAATGGCGCGCGTCCTGCAACTGCAGGGCAAATGGGGAGACGACGATGACGGATGCGACGGCCCCCTTCCAGAGGATGTCGAGCAGGCAATCACCGTGGCGATTCGAGGGGCAAAGAGAACAGACGATCAAGCGTTCAAATGAAAGCCCATGGGATTTGTACCTTGCGAGTTGAAACAGGCGACCTCGGCGTAGGGGAATCTTTCGACTACTTCAACTTCCGACTGTCAGCTTGTCACAGGTAGCAGTGGTATAGGCAGGTAAGAATAAGCAGATTTATTATTATAAGGCCAAGCCTTGTTCCTCATTTTCTAGGAATCTGGACTTTGCGCTATACTAATGAATTGACATTTAAAAGGATAGTAACAAGGTCGGAAAGTCATCAAATAGCATCGCATTTACTGTACTTGTATGAGTGCATAAATTGCCAAGCTAAGAAGACATTTTTACAATGTTTACCTGTCGCCATCGCCTTAGAAGACGTCTTGTCAAGAAACCTGTCAGGTGTGATGGAAGATGATGTGTTGTGTACAGGCAATCATAGATTTAGGGTTGGGATATTTGACGACCTCAATCCGCTAAAATTAACGACCTAAATGTGGCTAGAACCACGCCTAATAGCGCGAAAAAAACAACACATCTATAGTACTAAACGTAGTATTTTTAGAATTATATATCTAACTCTTAAAAAGAGATATAAAGAAATAGAGAAAGCCTTAAGATAGAATAAAGGTAGGGCTTATTTCTTAATATTACCTTAGAATATTACCTACTTTTCTAAGTACTTACTTTCTTTAAACGAAGTAGATGGATTAAAGGAGGGTGTGGCTGCGATGTGGAGCCTTGACTCTGAATTTAGGTGCGTGCGCCACGTTTCGGTCGTCAAGGTCGTCAAATATCCCAACCCTAGATTTATTCTAGTTGCAAAAATGATTTACGTACCCGAGCAGCTGCGAGGCTTTGTGCACGTGGATCCATCATGATAACCTCAATAATAAAGCATCTGTTGAACAGTACCTAATTATTAAGGTCAAATTCATGCCAGCAAGGTGTGGATCCCACTTTTGCTGCTACGCGACAGCATCAGCTCCACAAAATTTTCCTGCTCTCTTTGCTACGTTTTAGGCGTTCTGCAATCTAAAGTTAACGCCTATTGGCCGGATTGATGCCACTGGTTCTACCATAAATCTCTACGGAATCATCATCCTGTTCTCAAATTCCACGCTTCATCAACTTCCACCGTGCAACACGTCAGATGGCACCGCCTCACCTCCAAGACAAAGGGCTCATTGCCGAGTCTGACGGGGTGTTGAAAACTGCTTATGAGGATCTCCGAACCACCAATGAGCAGCTTGAAGATCTTGAGCGCGAGATCTGCCGCCTAATTGTCGCCAAGATAACGTGGTTTCCTGATCAATCTAGATCGCTGCATCGCCCCCCGCAGTACATTTCTGAAGCTTTCCAAGACCAAAACCTCATGACAGCACAATGGTTGGAATGGGCAGCCTGTAATGATCTTCTCGAATCGGCAGCGAATCTGGACCGCGAACTAGAAAAGGCGAACGCCTCGAAGACGATATTCGAGGGTCTCCAAAACGCCCTTCGACGCCGCATTGACAAGTTGTCACGTCCGACTCTGAGAAGCCTCAACATCCTGGACTTGCCAAACGAGATGCTCCTTAGGATCTTTGAGCTGGTGGAAGAATTTGTCCCTCACCTCGCATACAGCGCCTACTACTACGGCGGCGCTGGCAGAAAGGCCATTGCCAACACCCGCCTGGTCTGTCGACAGTTTTGTAATGTGAGCTCACAGCTGCTCGTCCGTATGGTGCGCGTCAACTTCAACGAGCCATCGCTTGCACGCTTAGACGAAATTTCTCGCCATCCCACCATCGCCAAGGGTGTACGCGCAGTTCGAGTCGTCCTTCATTTTCACAACTCTTCCTTCAATGACCTGGACACATTCATTTCATATCAAACCGACCGACTTGCGAAAGCAGTTGACGTGTTCGAAGACTCGTGGAAGTGGGGGCACTCTGCCATCCCCGAGCAGACAGCATCAGAGATGATTACAAACGGAAGGGTGGTTGTGTCTACACTGCGTCGGATGGTGTCGGCAGATACTGATAGCGACGGCGGATATCTCGAGGACGACCGAAGTCGTCGAGCACACCTAGAGGGGATCCATCGAGAGTATCTGACCCTCCTTGAGAAACAGGCATCACGAAAAAAGACTGGAGAGTTCTGCCGACTTGTTGGCTCCGCAATTGCAAGGATGCCCAGCGCGCGGAGACTGGAATTTACAGATACTGATTTTGAATCCTTAGAGGGGCCGCGACTGATACCCGGGACCGATGTCTGGAGTGCACTATATCCTGTCATGCTCCAGCCGATGACCGGTTATCATACGAGAGCATACGGATTCGAGTTGCCTGACTACGAATGCATTATAAATGTCATAGAGGCTGTCCGAAACGCCGGCACATTACTCAGCAGCCTCGATATTCAACTTTCGACTTTGGCTTGTCCTACGGGCTTGGTTCCGGCCCCGGATATTCGACGAGAGTTCTCGTCCGGGATGCAGCAGTTGGAGGCGTTTTCATTCAAGTATAGTGGCAACGCTGACGACCAAGACGTGAGCGACCTCCACGAATTTCTGTCTACATGCTTGGACACGGCTAGTCTACAGCGCCTCACCTTGGATATGAGAGGCTCCGAGGCCGAATCGCCGACAATAGATCTGGGGCAAATCATGGGGTCAATGTCCCGGCATAAACTGACCCACATCTTTCTGCGCTACGTAGCTGTGGATGTTTCCAAGTTGAAGCTCCTTCTTGAACGACTGCCTCCATCAATGAATTGCATTCTCCAGATGAACCTCTGTCTGCTAAGCGGTACGTGGAAAGTTGCTCTGGATGTGCTTCGGAGGAAGGCTCGTGTTATTACGTTCTTAACCGATCCGCGGGGTGCCGAATGTGACAGCATGTCACAAGAAGATTACGAGAGGATATTCGGCCACGAGGACTACGCACGTTCCAGCGAGGCTGAGATGTACGTAAATCACTACCTCATGCCCAATCCCCCCAATCCCATACAAGTCCTTGAAGACGAGCTTTTCACTGCGCATTGACCGCTGGTGGTACATTGCAAGTGTACATGTCACGAGCAAGGTCGAGTGCGGCCCGGATGAGGTGATTTGTGTCCAGAAAAAGGCGCGAAGAGGGAGGCGAGGAACCATGCGAGCACGGCTGTGTGATGTTATCACGCTATGAGAGGCAGTTAGCTGTATCTTGTACGGATGCATGTAGACAATTGCTATTACGACCGCAATTAACGCACCATTCACACGAACCGCCAAACTTGATGCTGCCCCGCCACAAACTTTGCAGAGGTCAAATAGAGTAAAGACGAAACTTATTCAAAATGCATTACTGGTTTCAGCTACCACCCGGAGAAGAAAGCAAGCTGCATTATTTTCAGCTGGCTCTTGCCAATTACCATCCACTTGTCCCCTTCTCGTAAGTGTTTCCCACCTCCTGCTTCAAAGGCCTTGTATACACTCGTTCCCGCACAGTCTTCAAGCAAACACGTCCCATTTACCCAGTCTTCAGGGGGCAAGCTGCTGTCAAACAAATAAACTATAAACTCAGCAAGCTCGGGAAATATGGTCTTGAAGATCATTCTGATGGAGCTGCCCGCACCTCCATGCGATGTCCATCGGGCGCTGACAGCAAGACGCTTGAGGCCGATACCTGCGGGGTCGCGATGACGAATGTCGGATAAAAACGACGACAGGCGATAAAAGTCGAGATCGCCCAGCATGGCCACGGTATCGACGGCCGGATTCAAGTAGAGCACGCGCCCTCTGTGCGTCACCGTGTCGCCTGGCCGCTGGCAGGACACGGCGAGCGCGAGCGGGATCTGGATGCGGTAATAGCGGAGAGCCGCCGCACGCGCCTCGGTGTTGACGGCGAGCGCGGCGGGATTGTTGGAGGCGCTCTGCCAGCCGGGCGTGCTGCCGCCGTGCCGAAAGGCGTCGGCGTAGTGCGCCCGCCGGCCGTGCAGCTCCACGACGCGCGGCTGGAAGGAGTAGTGCCAGATCTTGAGTCGGAGCTCGAGGGGCAGATGGCCGAAGTGCCGAAATCCCTCCGGGAGAGGGCGCAGGGTCGCCATGGTCATGGATGGGGGGCGGATGGAATCTGGCTGGACGCCAAGGGATGGGGACTGGAATCCTGGAAACTTTTTTTTGCAGCGACAGCCAAGGGAAGTGGAGTTGTCACGACTCGGTTGAGAAAGGGCGCAGTAAAAACAGCGAGGATTGGACGGAAATTTCCGAGCCTCGTTGGGCTGTCCAGTGGAAGGCTGCGGTTGAGGCTGGGTGAAGGCGGCTCGGCCGGTGCCGACGACAAAAGACTATCACTGATTCACTGACATTCCCTGACCATGGAAAGCAAAAGTCAACTGCTACATAATACTACTCAAGACGAATGATTCCGACCGTTGTCGACTTGCATCTACGCTCAACCCCGTTACTTACTTGACACGATTCGCAAGGGAAACCACACTCAATCATGCTGGAAGAACCTGACCAAAGTATTGTTGGATCCGGATTACTTGGGCCTTGTTCAATTTGCATGACACAGCCTGGAGGTGTTTCGGGGTAGCCCAGATAATACAGTGGAACCGGAGGTTTACAGAAAATACAACCCACCTGCTAATTTGCGACGAATATAGTGGTGTATTCCCTGTGGCATTGGCGATCACTGGACCTCTCTTCAACCCTATCATATGAACCAGTCAGTGGACGGAGCAATCTGTACTTGTTACAGATACCTGGTGATTATCAGCGCTGCTTCGGATCGTCCGGTTAGCATGTGCAGTCGTTGAAGTCCTGCCATGTCGTGCAAATTGACAGACTGACTCTTCCTTCTCATGCGGGAAGAGTCGTGATAAGCAGTTCCTGGTGCCTTGCTACTCGAAAGCCATGGCAACGATCGCTGCGTGTCGTCTGTCATTGTCGGACACGTACAAATTACACTCGACCACGCTACCAAGTGCCAAGGACAAAATTGGAGAGGCAGTCGTCCCAAGCTGAGCCTCATAAGAGCTCTGCACTGATCAGCAGCGCATGCAGAGGTTAATCGCCAGGCAACGAGGTTCCGGACCTTGGGGTATGATTGGCCCAGGGATCACGGCCCAGTGCAGTTGTCGCGCAACCTTGTTGCCCAGCCTTTCCGATCCGCTCGGATTCACTGCAACAACCAAGATTGTGGCCAATATAGTGTCACTGTGGAGTTGGCGTGACTGAGGTGGCTAGTGAGCATTGATCGTTTCATCCTGCCACCACCGGAAAGACCATACCGACATGCCAGTCTTGGAACTTGCGCGCCCAGCATCACTAGGCCGCATCAGACGAAACATGGGTTGAGAAGCCACAGAAAATCACAGAAACAGTCTTACCAGCCAACTGCCAAGCATGGGCTGTGCAAAGCTTTCGTCAGCCCGACGCCGGGAGCAAATGAACAAGACGCCGCCTGTCAAGGCTTCCATAGGGCATTTCTACTGCCCTCGTGGGGCAAATTAAGGTTCATGCTACGCTTATGGCCTGACGAGGATTTGACTCGACAAAATACCCACCGCTAACACCGCAGGACAACCTGTTGGCTTCACGTCAACAGGCACTAGAGTCGGCAAAGGCCGTTACTAGTCGCCCATCGGCCTCCCACATCGGCCTCCCACCTTGGCTAAGCAATTGGCGATGGTCATTAAGCTTTGCCATGCGCTGCGGCCAGCATGAAGACAGGTGTCGATCGCAGTCTTCAGTACAAGTACAGCCGACCTGCCCAGTGGTTTCCTCCATCACTTCTTTGGACATTCACTGGCTTCTTTGGACATTCACTGGCTTCTTTGGACATTCACTGGCTTCTTTGGACATTCACTGGCTTCTTTGGACATTCACTTGCTACATACTAGGAGTCAAACTCATCTCATACTAGTGCGAAGTCGTCCTCTTAACCTACCCGACTCCTCTCCCGTATACCCAACACAGACAGACACAGACAGACACAGACAGACACACACACACACACACACACGCACGCACACACACACGCAGCTTCAGTATGCTCCCTCTCGGTGTGCTCGTGGCGACGCTTGCGAGCGTCGCGCTTGGCGCAAACAACAGCTGTAAAGCGCCGCCCGCCAGCGGCTCGTCCGGTCCCGAGACCAGATCCCTGGATGACATGCACAAGGCGCTTATCGAGAAGAAGGCCACTACCGTCACGGTCTGGCACGGCGGCGACGAGAAGAACCAGCAGGACTTCCTCAAGACGGAGTTTGAGAAGCGCTTCCCCGGCATGACGCTCAACATCACGGTCGACTTGTCCAAGTACCACGACGTGCGGCTCGACGAGCAGCTCGCGGCCGGCCCCGGCGGCGTCTTCATCGACAGCATCATCCTGCAGACGCTGAACGACTACCCGCGCTGGGCGTCCGAGGGCGCGCTCCTCAAGTACGCGCCGGCCGGCTTCGACCAGGTCGAGACGCCCTTCAAGGCCCCCGACGCGGCCTGGTACGGCGTCTACATCTTCTTCTGGTCCAACGGCTGGAACACGGAGAAGCTGCCGGGCATCGCGGCCCCGGCCGAGTACACTGACTGGCTCCGCCCCGAGTTCAAGAACAAGCTGGTCCTGACGTACCCCCACGACGACGATGCCGTGCTGTTTGCTTTTGACCTCATGTAAGTCCTCCCGTCTTGGCGCAAAGGGTGCCATTTTCACTAACACGAAGATTTTGCAGTATGAAGCAGTATGGCGACTCGTGGCTCGACGACCTGCTGAAGCAGAACCCGCGCTGGGTGCGCGGAACCGCCACGCCCGCCATCCTGGCCGCACAGGCGGACGCCAAGGACGCCGCTGCCTTCTTCGCCACCGGCGGCGGCTTCGGCTCCGCGCCGCCCCTCAACTTTTCGCAACCGACCGAGGGCCAGTACGTGTCCTGGGCGCAGTACGCCGGCATCCTCAAGGACGCGCCCAACGTGGAGGGCGCCAAGCTGCTGCACAACTTCATCCTCAGCCCCGAGTACCAAAAGGCCATGGGCACCTGGTCCGTTCGCGGCGACATGCCCACGCCCGAGGGCTTCCCCGACATCAAGAAGCAGAACGCGACCGATCCCACCATCTTTGCCAAGTTCATGGAGGACCGCGACACGATCGAGAAGCTTAAGCTCAAGTTCCAGGCCGCTATTGGCCCGGTCGAGGGATTGAACCCTATTGATGACGACGTCAACCTAACGAGCTAGAAGCGACGTGGTGATGTCGCACTAGAGCAACCCCTCAACCAATATTGAGGCTTCTCTAGTTGCTATTGTTACTAGTTTTAGACATATATAGTATAGCAATTGATTCAATTCACGACTGAAACATGAAATGTTTGGCTGATTTTTGCCGCTCACGATGCATTGTTTGGGCCGCTTGCCAAGGACAAGGTCTGGAGCATCACCAGGAAGTGAAGACCCCAAAGCTGCTTGTTGGTCCTTGATGTTGGATGCTTTTGCCACGAAAAGAAACGCCGTTAAGAATTTTCAGCGTTTGATTGCAAAAAGACTGGCAGTATTATATTCCGGTGAAGGTGTGCATGTGGAACCCCTTCGAAGCGTGACGACCCTCCGATCGATGCGCGTTGATAGCCATGCAATGACAGTCAATAAAGTCCAAGTATACGGCCTTTGTGAAGGATCAATGAGCTTGGACAATCCACATTAAAGCTCGCGGACCGCCTGTTCGTTGGCCCGCCGTGTCTCGAACATGTTTGCCAGCTACGGCAACGCCACGATGACGATCGATCATCGGCGCGATCCCGTCCGCGGCTGTTGGCTTATTTAGGCGCCCATCTGTCGGTTTCTTGTACTACCTGACATGCGCTGCTGCCCTAGGAGAAGTCTCGGCAGCTGAGATGCGGCCCAAAGGCAGAGTTGCCTGCGGGCGCGGCTGGGATTGGAGGGAAGTGAGAGCCGCGAATCATCTAGTCGAAAACCCCATGTGTCCAGGCTGTGTGTATTTTCTCGTCTATTGACCCCAGTTTGATCGGATCTCGCTGTTTGCTATTCCGTCCCGCCAAGAAGCTCCCCCGATCCTTTACGACCGAGGTCCTACACAAGGTCTTTGCGCCTTGCTTGCCGTGCCTGACGATCCGAATCCACGGCGCCGACGCTCCTTCATCATGGCCACGCCCAAATTTCCAACATTTCCGCCGCCGGGCTTCCGCGGCACGGTGCTCCGCGCCGGCGACGCTGGCTACGACGACGCGCGGCGGCTTCCCAACGCGCGCGTGGGCGGCCGCCCTGCTCTCATCGCGCGCTGCACCACAGAAGACGACGTCGTGCTGGCCGTCCGGTTCTGCTCCGCGCACGGGGAACCAATGGCTGTTCGCGGCGGCGGCCACTCCCTCGACGGCCACGCCATGCCCGACGGCGCGTTTGTCATTGACCTCTCGCTCATGAACGGCGTCGAGGTCGACCCGCACACGCGCCGGGCCACGGTCGAGGCTGGCGCGCTCATCAGGGACATGGACGCCGCCACGCAGCGGCACGGGCTGGCCGTGCCGTCGGGCACCGTCTCGCACACGGGCGTGGCGGGACTGACGCTGGGCGGGGGCTTGGGCTTCCTGGCACGGCTGCACGGCATGGCGGTAGACAATGTCATCTCTGTGGATGTCGTCACAGTCTACGGCCTGCAGCTGACGGCATCCAAGACGAGAAACAGCGACCTGTTCTGGGGCATCCGCGGTGCCGGCCACAACCTGGCCATTGTCACCAGCTTCGTCTTCCAGGCCCATCCCATCGGCCCGGCCGTCATGAACGGGCACATCATCTATCCGATCGAGGCGGCGCCGCAGATCCTCAGCCAGCTGCACCTCGATCTGCAAAACGCGCCGCGCGAGCTGGCGATGTACCCCGTCCTGCTGCCCGCCCCCGAGTTTCCCGGCGTGCCGAAAGCGCTGGCGGGAACGCCCATTCTGGTCTTCGTCACCGTGTACGTAGGCCGGCTAGAAAACTTCCAGGCCACCATGGACGCGGTGCTGCCGTCGACAGCACCGCTGGCGAACGCGGTGCACGCGTCGACGTGGACAGCAGCCAACTCGATGCTCGACGTGCTGACACCGCCAGGCCGTCGGCAGCACCACTGTGGCGGATACCTCGCCGCGCTGACTCCTGAAATCGTGGACAAGGCCGTTGCGCTCGTCCGCAGCGCGCCGACGATGCCCACGGCAGGCATCGCGATCGCGTTCCCGTGTCTCGGCGGGGCCGCGGCCGACGCGGACGAGGAGTCGATGGCGTACTCGCGCGCGAATGCGTCTTGGCTGTACGAGAGCTACGCCTCGTACGCGGATGAGGGCGAGGACGCCGTGTTCGGGGAGTGGGTAGAGCAGGGCAAGGAGCAGCTCGGCGCGTTCTCGCTCAGCAATTCGTATGTCAACCTGTCGAGCGACGACAGCCCGGGCTGGCTGGGCAAGGTGTACGGGGCGCAGGGGAAGTGGGAGAGGCTGTGCAGGCTCAAGACGGAGTACGACCCGGAGAACCGCCTTTGCTACAATAAGAACATTACCAGGGCGCGGTTAGCCCTCGCTAGAGGGTTCGCGGAGATGACGCCTGCCTAGATGACGCCTGCTCCGGGTTTGGACCAGGCGCAAAGCAGATGGCACAAGTTGAATAAAAGGTTATTAAATTTGGCAAAGCTGTTCTATTTGTTTATTTTTTAAATTCAAGTCGTTACATTGAAGATTGTTCCCAACCTTGTCGGGGCTATCCTCTTCAGTCCCGCCTAGTATAAGACTACTACCGCTAGGTGGTCGATAACTGGCGATTAAAAAAAATACAGATTAAGTTTAATAAAGATCAAGTTTACGAGAGTGGATTTCATCCAGCCGCAAGGTACGGAATGGTTCGCGGCTCTAAGACCTGTGTGATTGTTGACATGGGTAGCAAAGCAGACTCGTATGCGAGCAGTCGCACTACTAGAACTGATGAATTTATTCCCCGTCATCCTTGTTTCCTCCACAAAACCCCAGGATTCTCTCGTTCGGCGTTAGGCATGGTTCGTGTCCGTCCTCTGCGCGGTCCGCTCCCGACCATCCGGCCCGTCTGACGTCTGGCAGGAGCTGAATCGGCGATTTGTGTCTCCATCGTTGGTAGAAGATGACCTCGTCTCTTGGCCTTGCCGACGCCACTCCCGTTCCTTCCGGTGAGCTAGTGTTCATCCCGCCGTGGGGTTAGGCAAATGAGGCGTATCGCCGCCCCGCCGCCAATCATAATATCCCTGTATTTTCTTAGTCGTGGTTGGCCCAGCTAGATTCAGAATACACAACAGTACTCCGTACACACTACTGTACTTGGCGGTGAACGCGTCCTCATGCGTTGTTCCAAGAAAAGAAACAGATGCGTCCCGACTCTGTATACATACAGCCACGACGATCCAGAGCCTTTTCGATAAACAGATTTGACAGGTCACTCACCGGCTGCTGTGCACCACGCTTTGTACGCCGTCCAGGGTTGCACCAACACTCCTTACCAGGGTCTCCTATTCACCCACCAAGAGCCCTCATGTGTGCCACGGCTACGCAGACGTAACCGCCTGCATAAAATATCTGCATCAACACATTTCCAAGATTCTCTTCGCAAAACTCCTAGCCCACCTTTGCACAAGTCACCAGCGGGTGGCGAACGGTCCGACTATGACGGCGTGGGGAAATCGCCGCGGGGGCCGTGCTTTAGGGTTACATCGCACAGCCATTAGCACTTCACTCCGCGGACTCGATGATTCTTTTGTACCGGATTGGTGGGATCAATACAATGGCACTAGGGTACGAGGGCCTTAACTCCATCGCCAATGCCACCTTGGTCACCGGATGGGTGAATATGCCCGCGGCATTACAGGCTCGGAGCCGGCAGTAAAGCAAGACTCCGTGCTGCCTCGTTACTTGTTGTTCGCTTTCTAAGGGGATCGTGTATATATAAACGTGGATGTTTGCGCTAGCTTAGCCAATCAAGCAAGAACCAATTCGCAAAGTAAAACTGTCTTGATTTGTTGATACCTCGTGCCTCTCAGCATGTCTGCTGCCCAGTACCTACAGTCCGGCTTCAGCTCGGATGGGCTGCTCAGGAGCCCTACCCTGGCCTTTTCCGTGTTGCGACTTGGTTCCGTTCTGCTTGCATTGGTACGTGCGCTGTCAATGCTGTATGGGAACCTTATCTAACTGACGCTGCGACAGTTGGTTCTATACTATGCACTCGTCATCGTGTACAGGATCTCATTCCATCCTCTTGCCAAAGTGCCCGGGCCCAAGCTGTACGCCGCTTCCTGGTTCCCCTTTCTCTACCAGACCAACATCGAGGCCTCGGCGCCCAAGAAAATTGCGGCCATGCACCGCCAGTACGGCCCGGTCGTGCGCGTGAGCCCCAACCAGATCGCCGTCGACGGCTCCATCGGGTGGCCCGACGTCTTCTCGCACGCGACGAGCAAGAAGCCGGAGTTCGGCAAGCCCTTTGAGCAGTACTTCCCCGGGGACGCGACCAGCCTCATCGGCGCGCCCAAGGACCGCCACCGCCGCATCCGGCGCCAGCTCGCGCATGCCTTCAGCGCGAGCGCCCTCACCGCGCAGGAGGCCACGGTGACGCGCTACGTCGACATGCTGATGGAACGCTTCCGCACGCTCGAGAGCGCCGGCCGCCCGTTTGACGTGATCCCGTGGCTCAACTTTGCCACGTTTGACATCATCGGCGACCTGGCCTTTAGCGACTCCTTTGGCAGCCTCGCCGGCAGCGCCTACAACCCCTGGGTGCTGTCCATCTTCCAGGGCATCCGCGGCAACGCCCTGCGCCGCTTCTTCCGCCACTATCCCAGCATCGGCTTCCTAGCCCGTCGGATGGGCTGGGCTGATGACTACTATGTCGGCGAGCGGGTCAGGCACACGGCGAGGGACAAGTCGGCGGAGCGCATGCGGCTCGGCGAGGACGGGCCTGCGGGCAGACACGACTTCATGACGTATATGTTGCGCAAGAACAAGGACGGGGAGACGGCCATGGATGAGGAGGAAATTCTGTCCACGTCCCCCATCCTGGTCATTGCAGGGAGCGAGACGACGGCGACGGCACTGTCGGGGTTCTTCTTCTTGCTGTCTCAGAACCCGGCGAAGCGCCATCTTGTTGTCGAGGGAGTCTTGACTGCCTACCCAGACGAGTCCGAAATCAACATGCGCAACACTGCCCAGTTAGAATATCTTCATGCGACACTGGAAGAAACCCTTCGTCTCTACCCACCAGTTACGGTAACACCGCCGCGAGTGTCCCCTGGTGCCGAGCTTGGTGGATATTACATTCCCAAAGATGTGAGTCGGCTTACGCGTCCACAGTCCTTCCGCCTCTGCTAACGTTTCTTCTTCGAATTAGACTTTGATTTCGGTGCATCAGTGGGCAACATTCCGCAATCCCGACAACTTTCTGCTGCCTGATCAATTTCTGCCAGAACGCTGGCTGCCCGCATCGCATCCAAAGTACGATGGCCGGTTTGCAAATGATAACAAGTCTGTCTTCAAGCCATTCAGTCATGGCCCGCGCGACTGCATCGGGAAGAATCTGGCGTATGCTGAAATGCGCCTGTTCGCGGCGCGTATCCTGCGCGCCTTTGATGTCCGTATTGAAGGTCAGGAAGACTGGCAGGACAAACAACGCATGTTTGGCCTATGGGAAAAGGTTCCACTGAACGTGCAGATGAAGTCGCGCTCAAGTTGCATTTGAGGGTGCCATTAGCACTGGTAGAGTCCCATTGGGGGCCAGAGGAGGATGTACTCTACTATGTACGAAGAAATGATATGCTTTAATGATTTCTCACGAGCACTATTTTCTATCATGTCAATATGAATCAATTTTCAAGCAGCAGAAGAGCTCTTTTTTAACAAAGTTGAGACCCATGTCTCGTCATATCTTACACCGGAGTGCGGGACTGCGTGGCAAGAGAGAGACCCGTGTATTAGCAGTTGAGCAAGTCATGTAAGATGACAGCATTTTAAACTTTAAAAATACTGACAGATATCGCCTCAAATAGACTATATATCCCTATTATTCCTCAGATACTTGCGAAATACTTGGACATGGCAGGATAGTTGGGGGTTCCAAGGCCGGTAACCGGGTCCCAACCGGGCGCCGCGTCCCAGCTCTTGCCACCACAGCTGCCGTCGCTGTCCTTGCCCATTCCTCCAATAGTAATATCGTGAAACATGGCCGGGTTCATATAGAGCGCGGGGTTAACGAAACCCAACACGCTCTTGCCCGCCGCCAGGCGCTCCTCATTCAGGCGCGTGAAGATGGCGGCCACGATGGGCGCCGCCTGGGACGTGCCGCCGCTCGTGCCGACGCGGCCGTTGAAGGCGACGACGCCGTTGAGCCCGTTGGCGGCCAAGTCCGGGAACCCGCGGCCGTTGCGGTTGTAAATGCCGTCGGTAATGTTCGCCGGCGGCGTCGCGGTGCCGGACGTGTTGTAGCTCGGGAACCCCGGGTCGTGGTAAGCGAAGAAGCGCTCCACGGCGCTCTGCTGGTACGCCGGCTGCGCAAACACGTTGGAGAAGCCGCCGCCGGGCGAGAACTGGTCCGCGACGTGCTCTGGGTCGCGCACGCCGCGGCCCGGCGCCACCATGGTCGCGCCCACCGAGGTCGTGTACGGGCAGCCAGACGCCGCAATCGCAGTGAAGATGCTGTCGTCGCTGCCCTGGCATGTCCCGCCGTGGTTCCCCGCGACGCCGCCGTCGCCCGACGCGAACACGACTGTTGTGCCCTGCAGACCGAGCTTCATCCACTCGCTGCATTGACGCTACGGGCGAATCAGTACGAGGGAGGAGTGTGAAGCTTGAGGAGGATGAATGTACTTACTTCGAGGTACTTTGCGGGAAAGGCCTGCTCCTGCCAGCCGTAGGAAAAGGAGATGACGGGCGCCGGCTCAAACTTGCCGCACATCTCGTCGGGGGTGATGCCGTCAATGACGGGGTCGTCGCCGCCGTCCCGTGTGCAGTACGACCCGTCGACGGCGTCGAGGAACTGGTTGAGGAAGCCCTCGCGGCCCTGCGTCCTGGTCTGGTAGAGTTCCGTGGTCTGCGGGTAGATGATAGGATAGACCATGTCAAAGTCCAGGGCGGCCTCGCCCTCGGCGTTGTCCGGGTTGGGCGAGTCGGTGCCCCAGTCGATGAGGTCGATCTTGGGGCCGGTCCCGGCGGGGATGTGGGTGGCGACGCGGCTGAAGAAGAGATCAAGGTCCGACTGCTTGTGCTCCTCGTCGTCCGTCTCGAAAATGCCCAGCCGGTTCTTGGGGTTGGTGGTATTGGGCGCGTGGGGGATGCGGTACAGGTCCTTGATGCAGGCGGGTGTCACTCGCCTGTCACATCCCCGGGCCAAACCAAGGCTTCTTGTCATGTTTTGGATCTGCTGTGAGGACATGGGCTGGAAGATCCGCCTCCTCTTTCGCGGTTCGTCTCTTGCCACCACTTGGCTCATGGACACGGCCGGATGAACAAAGTCGACCACGTTGGAAATGTCTCGGGGGAGGCTGTACCTATCTGCTCCCAAGTACCGCGCACCAGATCGCTTCCCGTGGTAGACATGGTAGGACGTCTTCAAGAGAGACTCGAGGTTGCCGACAGTTGTCCGAAAGTCGACCCAACCTCTGCTCTTGGGCTGCGTGATGCTGGCTTCCGGGATGCCGGCCTCGACAAGCCACTTTTTGACAGCGGCAAACGAGCTCTCGTCCGGAGCAAAGGTGTCGACAACCTGCTCTGGGGAGTAGTGCTGGCCGTACTTTGCCGAGGACGGGTCAGACACCTCCATCAGCAGATCCATTCCCCTTTCAAGGTTGCGCTGCTTCAAGGCAATGCGCACCGGAACCTCGACAGAGGACCGGGCCGCAGCGCGCTTGACAACAGTTTGGTAGGATCTCCTTTCATGCTGGACATGCTGTGATGGCATGCCGAGAGAGGTAGCAATAAATGCATTGACGAAAAGAGCGGTGACTCTCATGTTGGCTGCGGGTCAGAGAGCTACTGACGGCGATAGTAGGATGAGGGGAGTGTTCCAATAGGGAAAGGGTATGGGTTCTTATATAAACACAGATATTGCATTCAATTTATTTTCTTTCTCCTATCCCATCATAACAGACGCCGACTACATTCTCCTCCAACCAAGAGTAGGTCAACATCCTCGCGTATTTGCAGCCTGCTGTGTCTGGCCACGTCAACACACTCTTGTACTTGTCAACATGCTCGCACTTGTAGCTTGCTGCACCTCGCCAATTTGGCCGTGTCATGATATCTTGCAATAGTTAGTCATCATGTAACGACCACCCTCAATCCTCACTGCCACGGAAAGAGAGCCCTCGAGACTTGCTGCCAAATGATCTTCATAGTGTATTTTCCGCCTTCATCGGCACTGTCGTAATGACGCGTTGACTTGATACGATAATTCATCTACACATCGCCAGTGGGTCTGAGGGACCAACACGATCCGGCCATCGTTGCCGTGGAAATCGACGCCGAAGGGGTGCCAGCACATCACGGAACTACCAACTCCAAACGGATGTACCGTCGGGAAATACCGGCGCAGATCCGGGATTAAGATGGAAATGGTAGCAGGTATAACAGTACATTTCTGTAAACCGCGATGGGTGACTATTGTATTGACAAGAGTTAAAGTAAAACATGACCACAGGAGCGCGCTGCGCCAACGCGTAGTAAAGGGCTAGCTTAGTTGTCATGACGATGCTGTGTTGAACTCCGGGCCCAAGTCGCGGTCGGTTGATAATAGTAAGAATAATAATTTGGCACCGTCTGCAAGGACAAGCCTGCATGGCAATGTCATCATCTTCATTCGGGTTTTACGACTGACAACCAGAACTGAGACAGATAAATTCGACTAATCAAGATCTTATCTAAATCTGGATTCAATTAGTAAAATCTCAAAGGCCGTTTTTCGTCTGCCAGAGCTAGCAAACTACCCCGGACTCTAGAAGTTGCCAGGTGGAGAGCGGTGCCATTCAGAACCTTATGAGAGCCGATTTTGTGCTGTAAACTGTTCCCTATTAATAACGTTGTCTTCCGAAGCACCCAAAACCCGCTATCTAGTACATTGTTGCCCAGGAAGTTAGTGTTATTAGTCGTGGAAAAGCCTGTTGAGACCACTTGGCGCCACGCGATCTGCGCCAGCAAAAGAAAACGCTACTCGAGTATTCACGACAGATGCTGTCTACTAATTCGAGTTTTGGCCTGCTAAAATCCGACGGCCAGGTAAGATTGCCACATCTTGAAGCCTAACGGGAGCCTCCGAGTCTCAATCTCATGGACGAGCCTTGCAATGCCCAGCTCCCAGCCATTTGCGATGATGAATGCTGAATGATGAACTAGGACACGAAAACTCTTGTAAAAGCAAGTAAAGAACAATCTTTCTTTTTTCCATGCTTTTAAATCAACCCACCCTACACAATTTATCCGTAATTATTGTCTGACCACTCCCTCACCACCCCAAGGATATGCGACTTAAAGTCGTCCTTCTTCTGCGTTGACGCAAACGAGTCGACCAGAATCTGGACAATACTGGCAGCGTACTCATCGAGCTCCTCTTTCGACGGGCGATCCGCGCCAGCCTCGCTCGCACCCACCGGGCTGACGGCACCAAGATCCTCGCCGCGGGTGATCTTGCCCACGGCGCCCATAACCATGTCGATGCCGAGCGCGTACACGTCATCCATGCAGGCCAGGGTCGACTTGGCGTAGTCGATTGCATGCTTGCGAATATCAATTATATACCCCAGGGGCGCGCCCTCTCTCATCTCCCGGAGCGAGTAGATGAAGTGGCTTTCCTTGCTCTTCATCGCCCGCGCCGCCGACATGATGCCGCGGTAGGATGGCAGGTTCTCCGCGTGCAGGTGCAGGAGCGTCTTGCCGAGGGAGAAGTAGGCGAGCACGCTGTCGCTGGAGATATCCGTGGAAAGTAGCGACAGGCCCACGTCAATGTAATGGCTGCCCATGGTCGCGGAAAACGACCCGTCGCTCAGCGCGGGCAGCTGCTGCACCAGGATGCCGTATTTCGACGCCAACTGGCGGACCGTCGGGCTCTTGGCGTCGTTCGCGCCCGTGTCCTTGAAGTAGGGAATGACGTGCTCCTGCAGCAGCTCGTTTTCGAAAAAGGCCAGTTCCGGGACCGCGCCCTTTTGCTTCTTCGAGAGGAACAGGTACGGCACGTGGCCCGCTCGGATGAGCTCGGGCACCAGCTTGCTGGCCATCAGATGGGACACGAGATCGCCGCTGACAAACACGGCGACGTGCAGGGGCGACGCAAAGGGCTCCCGCGTCAGCGACTGGGCAATGCGCGAGGCGTGCGCCGCCACGCGATCCGTGGCGCTGACGTAAAAGTGCGTGCCGCGCGTCAGGGATCCCATCACGTACAGTCCCCTCGTCGCCTGGAGGCTCTGGAAGTCGACGACGACGCCCCCGGCGGCGTGCGGCGTCAGGAGGCCCTTGGCCACGGCGGACTGCAGCAGCGGCGAATTGATGCGCTCAAGGCGGCATTCCTGCCCCGTCGCCTCGACGACGTACGCAGCCTCGACGACGCCCGCCGAGGTCTTGGCCGTGAACATGCCGTCCCAGGCCACCCAGTCCCCGCGGACGACCTGCAGCTGGGCCGTCTCGAGCAAGCGCAGAACCCGCTGCGCATTCGGCACCGGCATGGCATGGCGGTACGTCATCCACGCGCTGTTGAACTTTTCCATAAACAGCTGCTGGCTCGCCGGCGAGAGCGAGTGCCAGTACCGCTCCATGACGGGGGCGGTGCCGCTGAGCACCGACTGCCAGCGGACGCGCTGCTGCTGCGCGGCCGCCAGGTCCGTCGCGAGCTGCTCTAGCGGGGCGTCCCTGTCCAGCATCCAGCTCCAGTCGCCGACGGTGGCCGTAGATATCTCGTCGGCTAGAGCGCTCGCGAGCCGCAGGAGGCCGTCGTCGGGGCCGCTGCGGCCCTCGACTTGCCGCGCGAGCTCGTGCAGCACGTAGCGGCGCGGGTTCGGCACCGGGTCGGCGGCCTGCACCCGGGGCAGCCGGCCGCTGCGCGACATGAACGTGATGGGGCCCTGGTGGCCGTTGTCGGACAGGTACAGCGCCGCGTCGACGGCGGACAGTCGCGAGCCGACGACGAGCACGTGGGCCGTGGGCGGGATGCTCTGCAGCTGCGTCGTCGGCCACGGGTTGGGGAAGTAGCCGGGCTTGCCGATGAGATGTGCGTTGGCCGATCCCGTAAAGTTGCCGAGCGCGAGGACGACGGAGTGGGCCGTCAGCGTGGACTGGTTGTCGAGCGTGATTGTGAATGCCGAGTCGCCCGCCCGGTCAATATCGGTTGCGGCCGCCTGCACGGCGGCAATGGTAATGCCAAGCGCACGCGCCTCCTCTAGGGCCTTGAGCCAGCGCTCTTTTAAATACTGGCCGTAGTCCAGCCGCGAAGGAAAGGGTCCGTCCTCCAAGTTCTTCCGCCACTGGGTATAGTCCCGAGGGTTATCGTGGAAGATGCCCATCGTGTCCGAGTGCATGTTGAGGATCGTGCCGTGGCAGTCTGTCGAAAAGGCCAGCCCCGGTCCGAGGACATCTCGCTTCTCGACAATCACAATCTCGGCAAGCACTCTGCCCTTCTTTGCTTGCTCGACAAGGTGCAGCACGACGGCGATACCCCCGGCACCACCACCAACAATGGCCACATCGGGCTTGGTCACGGTGATTGGTTGCGCCAGCTTTTTGCCCATGGTGTAAAGTAAAAGACTGATACTCAATGATAGGGTATCTTGATAAGGGACACCATAATTTGAGTGGTCGGATAAGCTCTCCTTATATGCTTGGCCGGGGAACTGTACGCGGAACCCGGCATGGCTCACACTACCATCCAAGGCAAGTAGTCCAATGCGACGTGTTGAGAGAATGGGGCTGAGCCTTCCTCCCTCGAGTCAACGCCGAAAAGTACTAACATCATTTACGCAATCGTGTCGTCTTTCTTTACCTCGGGGCCAGAACACGCCTTCTCAGCGGCTGCCATTTCATTGGCTTATGTCGACCGCATCCCAGATCTAATCTCAACACAGGCAAGCGTACCCGGAGAATCTGGAAGTTGTCCCATATTCTCTCGCTGAGCCTTGTTCCCCGGGGATACTCTGGAGTTGAGATCCTTCCCAGATTGTTGAAACCCGAGCTATGTCCTTGCCTGCATCCGATGGCTCCTTTGCGGTTATACCAGTGCGTAACCTTTCTTACTAGCTTGGCTTGTGACTCTCAGTATTACTATATCTACATGCTTACATCTCTAAATCACCTATATCTCAAGGATAAGGAAGCTCCTACGAGATGCAGGGTCAACACTCTGTGCCGCCACTGAGGCGGTCAGTCGGTGGCGCGGCGGCTTCCTGCAAGACAGGCACCCATTTTCTTCAAGCCTCCAAGTACGGTACTCGAGTCTTGGCCTTGTCATTGGCTGGATGATCTTGCGCCTCATCCATGGCGAAGTCCGGTTCGATGAAGCTGCATCTCACAGGTGGGGCGTAAGCCCTGCTAACCAAGACGATATTAGATATTACTCTCCTAAATCTTAGATATTAATAATATTCCAGGTTCGTTGGATGAGTATTCCCAATCCTCCATGCATTCCTGGAGGACTGTCACAATTCTATTTTCGGGTCCTGTTGCTTCCGCAGCAAAACTGTGACCTCGGCCATGTAACGAGCATTTAACCCACATCAGATTAGATGCAGGATGAGGCAGGGGGCCAATGGGCCATGGACTGTTGCTGCTTTGGAGTGTTTGCTGTTTATCCTAGCCGGCAACAGCTGTTCGACATGAGGCTCATCCACATGCACAGATGCTCTAGAATCTGACACGGCTCGCAGCATATTTTAATGCCTTGCACCCGGGTGGCTACGCGAAGTCTGACTTGTTTCAACTGAAGGAATGCAATTTATATCAGGCCGTGCCTTTTCTCAGTCATTTTAGCCAGGGCCGGTTAGTTATTCTTTGGCATTGAGCGGTTCCTCGTGACTGTCACTGAGTGGCCTCTTGGCTGTCTATACTGTTGTCGTTTCTCTCACTCTCCAAGTGATAAGAGATCTCACGCCAATCAATTGTGGCATATGGATGACAGCTGTCTAGAAAGAATGCCCCATCCAAACTCCTCTGTATCTGTACGCTAAAGAGATTTTCCTGGGCGATCGCATGCCAAGGATGCTCCCCTCTGACATGGTTCTCGAGGGACGAATACAGAAGTTGAGCAGTAGGACAGGACCACATAATATTTATCGTACAGGTATCTGTATGGTCATGTCTACTAAGAGCCATGGCTGGCTGTTGCAAGTAGAACGAGACTGTCAACACTGGAAAAGATGCATCCGCATACCTGCAGGAACAGATCACTTGGCAATTTGCTCGTCTGTTGTTTCACCTATAACCAGATGAAGAGCGTGCATGCGCCGCCCAAACCTTCTTCTTTTAGACGTTGCCTTCAGCGGCAGGCAAAAAGGACGTGGTCCAGCCAGCGCCACGCGGGACCTGCAAGTCGCCTCCCGCAGCATTGTAGTATCGAGGAGTCATGGCAACTCTGTCCTTGTACAACTCCCCTCAAGCCGTCCGTGAGCCTTTCCCGTTACGATCAGTTCCCGACCGCTAGGGCTTGTCAACAACACGTTTTCTTGAGTAAGCTTGCATGAGGGCTTCAGTAACTGGCGAATAGCCTGCGCTGGTGGTCGGGTGGCGTTTCTGCCTTGCCGCTCTGCCGATTCTTGGCGCCATAAATAACCTTAATGACCTTGTTCGTTTCCTGCGGAGCTCAAAGTAAGTAGCTGTTATTATAAGCAATTTGCACAGTCGCTCTATTTACGAATTTTTTTGGCAGCACGATTCGTAGAAATAGAGCTACCACGCAACATCGTGCAGGCGCCACCCGTCGGATGCAAGTTACTATCCGTAATTTGTATAGTGCTTGCTTTTCCTGTAAACCCAAGCACAAGCTAGTAATAATAGGCCATTTTTGACATTTCTCTTACTACTGCGAAGCAGGACAGTGAACACGCTTAGGAGGTGCCGCGGCAATTGGTCCTGCTGGCTCATAGAGCCGGTCGGCAGCACCAATTTTCTTCGTGGTCTGTAATCGGGAAAGCAATTTGTACGGATAGTAGGACGGCAATTTTTCTTGGCAGCGAATCGCCATCGGCATGATCGGGTCGGATGGGGGCGGTGGGCCGTATCTGCAGGTCTCGGATATCTCAGCTGGCATGAAACACTGCGATCGCAACGATTTGGCTTCCTCAGGGCTCGCATGTCTGTCCCTTGATACAGCCCTTGATACAGTGTCTCTTGATCCAGTGCGTAACATCTGGGTTCCTATTCGCTTTCCAGGCGTCACGAACAGGGCAGTTATATAGACCCGAGACACCTCAACCAAGATTTAGAAACTGTCTAATTTATATAAATTATGCTGTAAGACATCGATGTTCAGCTCATCCCCGTGCGCACGCTCTGAAATCACCTGTAAATAGTCAGTCTGCCCCGTGTTTCCCATCCTCACTTTTTCAACATTCAGCCTCCCTGGTCTGAACACCACATACAATGCGTCCTACTATCGCAGTTGGTCTCATCCTTGCTTCATGGTCCAGCGTCGCTGCGGCTGACGACAGCAATGTCAGGGTGCGGACTCTCCTTTCGCCTTACTCCATCACTTCCTGACGTCTACAGGGTATCATCTACACCGAGGAGAATGGCGGCGGAACTTCGTTCAAAATCCGCTCATCGAACTGCATTCGACTCAGAAGTCCCTTGTAAGTACTGTGGCCGAGAGCCATTTGATTCAATACGCTGAGGCCGAATTAGAACTGGGAATGTCCGGTCCCTCGACGTGACGCTGTTCCAGGAGTGCACACTCTACTAGTAAGTCTTGCCTGGTCAATCAACAAGAAAGGTTTGCTAATTAAGCACCGTCCAGTGAGCGCCGATGTGATAGCGACGTCAAGCATGTCGAGTTCCTAGACGACCAAGAGAAAATTCAGGATCCGGCAGTCGAGGCAATCAGATGCACCAATGTCGATGCCGACTGTGTTGGAGGGCGCGGACAGGAACTCTAAATCGCTGCCTCGCAAGGTGCCGGAGAGGGCCAGTATTCAGTGTCAATGTCCAGGGAATTGTTAAGGGTGGCTCCGGCCACATTTAGGACCGCAATTAGCTAATTAAGTCGTCAGATATCGTAACTGCCAGGTGTGATGGAACATGATGAATTGTGGAAGTTGTGGGTGTGCTAGCTAGAGGTGGTGCCGGAGCCTAACTAGGTACCTGACACAACCCTTCCAAAATAACAGAAATATTAAAAAAAAATCAGTAAATGAGCCTCAGATTAGAAGAGGTAAAACTTTATATTTGAATTGTATAGATTAGTTCTTAAACTGGGTATTTACTGAATCAGCTACATATCCTCTGGTTGGCGACGTGGCTGATCGCTTACACCGCTCTCCAGCTTGCCCTGGTCATGTCGCATGACAAGACTGTATATCGGAACGAGTGACTGGTGACCAACACTTTGGAAATAAATGTGCCCAGGGTCCGTCTGCCAGGTCTCTATCAGGTGCAGGGCAAGTGTGCAGTTCTCGTGACAGTGCCTCGTTAATCCCGCCTTGAGTAAGAGTTGGGGATCCATGTCTTGCGTGATGTGGTCCCAGAGCGCCGTCCATCTTGCAATGGCGCGTACAATCGATGAATACGCTCCGGCCAGCATGTTCATTTGGCATGCAGAAATGGTCAACGCCGTGATTGCTGTGATGGGCTAATCAGCATGTCGGATGAAGGGGTAGATGAAGGTGCGCGCCTGCCATACCTAAACTCACTGCGCTAAGTGACTCTAGAGTCACGTTCCAATGGCATATTTCAGCATCCATGAAGAAATTATTAGCCATCAGCGCAGATACAAGCTCTGCAATAGATGTACCAAGGCGTTGTGTTGATGCTAGACGTGCCAGGTCTGCCATTTCCTTGGCGACAATGTATGCAGTTGCATTCGGGGCATCCCAAAGCTCGCGATGGCTTGGGAGACTGCATTTCATTTCCCCTATCGTCAGGGCTGGCGGACAGTAAAATACCCGTGCTTGGTTCCAGTCAATCGCGGCCGTCATGCTGGCGACACTTTGTGCCCAAGTTAGCCACGACACGAATTGCTTGGGGCTGACTCGATGGGACTTACCGGACAGCCGTCTCGTGGAATATAAACTGGTGCCAATCCAAAGTTGGCTTACAAATGACCGACGTCAGTCCAAACCGGCGTACCGAACGTATGAGTGTCGGCAGCCTCTTCAGCCGCGCCCTTTCCCGAAGACTCCAGTCGTTGTGGTTCATCATAAAGTTGGTCATGGCCACGGCTGCCTGCAGCGTCTGGAGCTGTGCAAGGGTCAGATGATTGATGTAGCTCTGATTCAGTCTTTCCACCTCTCGATAAATGTACTCGTCTGCTACTTTTGTAAATCTCTGTGCATGTATTGTGTGCTTGAACGCGGCGCAGCGAGAGGAGCCGAATATGGTGACGGCAAGGATTAAGAATGTAGACGTCTCTGGGGTCCCAAAAGAGGCACAATGCACCAAAGGAAAGTGTATATGCGTCAAGCGGAAAAATGCGGCGACAAAAAATCGCATCTTTTCCGCACAAAAGACTTGAGCGACTTGGTTGATGTCGTGAGTCGCGGTATATGTGGCACCATCAGCCTCGAGCTGGTAATGAAGCTCTCGCAGACCTGTCACGATCGAGGCCGCTTTTACGGCGAGTATTTCATATCCCTCGTCTGTCAGGGCAGGGATTGGAGACGGCGTCGAGATGGAAAGAGCCGTCAAGTCCTCGTGTGTCGGGAGCGTTGAAAGAGCATCGTCCAGCATCGCGGTGTGGCAGGGAGGGAGCAGTGCGATGATGTCGCTAATATCTTGGGGCGACGCGGATGAGTTTTCCGAGAGTCTACTCGCGTCGGGGACATTTTCATTAAAGGAACCGTCATTGTTGGCGACATTGAGGTACTGCTGCATCGTGACTGTGTTGGGGTTGAAAATCTGCCGCAGAAACGGCATGCCCTTGGCCACGTGCGCATTTTGAGCATGATTGGCGTTTCCAGTGGGAGTAGCTTCTGGCTTTTTTGGACACGACAAAGAATGCTTTTTATAGACGTCGCTTTTGTCTAATTAGCAATGGAACGTTGGATGCAGGAAGCCTTCCCCCACACCTTCTAGAGAACTCTTTGTGGCAGAAACAACACTTGAACCTATTGGGCCGCGAATCTGGCCTTGGGTATCAGCTTCAATTTGGCAGTGACGGTCGGCGAGAAGCAACATGGCGGCTCGGCTTACGTGTTGCTTCATGTCTTCGGAGATGGGTGTTGCGCTGGTACTGCCGACCACATGTGTCGCAGCTGTAATTTTTCGCGGCCGGGGCAGACATTTCTCGGTCTCCAAATACGCCGCGTTTGCGTCTTGTTGCGTGAGAATAAATGACAAAGATGAGAGGCTAACCGGTCGAGAATGTGGTCCTCAGTCTGCTAAATGTTGAAGTCTAGACTTGCTAGTGACGCATTGCTAGTAGCTCCCGCTCACTGTGGTGTACTCTGTAGTTTTGAGGAGTATGCTATGGACGCTGGAAAGACATGTACAATCGCGACGGTCCATCGCTGATTGTGCAGGCATTCCAAGTGCAGAGAGAGGGCTTGCCCCAATGCGACATTGTGGCAATGCCTCTGGTAGGCGGATGGTGATAGGCGAGAAACCACCAGGCGCATGACAGACTGAGACAAGCAAGAACAACAATACGCAGCCAGAATGGGATGCATTTTACTACAAAGTACAAAACCAGGAAAAAAGACTAAAAAAATCGCCACCTGTCACACATCAATACTATTCCAGGCAGGTGCTTCCTTTCCGCTTTGCATCAGGGCCTTTCTAAACTCGGCTGCTTGGCGGAAGGAGTTTAGTCAAAGCCCGGCGCCATCGTTTATGCGATGGCAGCGGGGAAGGTATCGAATCATATGATGCGATCAGGTATTTTGTACTTTTACGGATACCCACGGATGTGATAATGGTTGCAGGCAGTCACCTTTGGGCTTTCATGGCGCCTTCCTTGGCATCGAGATGCGACCCGACAAAGTCGCTAGAGAAGGCTATAGACAAGAACCTGTCAAGAATAAAAAATCTACTAAATAGCTTCTTATCCGCATATTTATATCCAAGTATAATCTAGACGCGACTCTCCGAACACATTCACGGGACTGGCCGACTCTCCGCATCATCTCCCCGCACAGAGCTCGCGACCACCCCTCCCATCGTCCATTTGTCAGACCATTCAGAGCAGCAGTTATGAAGTCTGTATTCGGATAACTAACTAGCAGATCCCGAAGCCACCAACGAAAGGCCCGTTCCCCCGCACGTTAGAGTAGTGCGACACTTTGATCCCCCCACGTTTCCCACCAAGGTCCCTCCCGGCAAAGCGCGCCGCCACGAGCCTTACCGGGCAGACCATCTACATGACCCAGTCATCGGCAGCCACAAGGTACAATCGGGTCGCACCAAACAAGCTACTATAACGGTGTCTTGTTCATCGCCGACATAAGGCCGGAATAGACGGTGAGCGGCGCACTCTGCTGCTCCGTCGGTCATTTGACGAGTCCCGCCAAGGTGAGGGGGTTCACAGGGCCCGGAAAGGTGCAGACTGGAGGGCAACACGGACGACGCCAAGCTTCTGGCAGCCCTTATTCCCTCGTTTCTTGGGATTGACTGCAGACGCCGCATTTGCTGTACTTGTTGGCCTATATAAGGACGGTACCCGAGCTGTCGCTGCTCCTGATCGCGTCGTCGTTTCACCAACAGTTTGAGGACTTTGCGCACTCATCCAGTTGCCTACGTCATCAGGATGAAGCTCACTCTTTCCGCCCTGGGCGGCATGCTCGCGATGCTACCTGCGGTGCTCGCGGCGACCGTGGACAAGCGAGGCCCCGTGCCCTACAAGGTGCAAACCCCGCCTCTCGATACCGACTGGACGTACAAGGTCGGAACCAATCCCTGGCCGGAGCATCCACGACCGCTGCTGCACCGCGACAACTGGCAGAGCCTGAATGGCATCTGGACATATGAGAGCGCCGACGGCAGCTCCCCTGCGCAGGCGCTCGCCAGCCCTCCGGACCGCCAGCTCGGAAAAGAAATCATGATTCCCTCGTGCGTCGAGAGCGGCCTCTCCGGCGTGCAGGAATACCCCGTCACAAACATGTGGTTCACCAGGACATTCAAGGTGCCGGACTCGTGGCGCGGCCAGAACGTGCTGCTCAACTTTGAGGCCGTCGACTACGAGGCCACCGTCTTTCTCAACGGCGTCAAGGTCGGACACAATGTGGGTGGCTACTTTCGCTTTACAATTGACGTGACGAGCCAAATCAAACATGGTCAAGATAATACGCTGTACGTTGATCCTGGTCAGCTTATAACACACCATACTCACACGTACTACTAGGCTCGTATTTGTCTATGATCCCACCGATCTGGAGATGGGGCCAATTGGCAAACAAACCAGACGGCCAAGCCACATCTTTTACAGGTCCTGTTCCGGCATCTGGCAGACGGTCTGGCTGGAAAGTGTGCCGCAAAACCACATCACTGGTGTTGACGTCACTGCCGACATGGACGGCAACGGTACGCACGCTGTCATGTCGTACTATATGACGATGATGCTGACAGATTATAGTCGCTTTCACTGTCCACAGTTCAGGAAACAATGGAACAGGTGTCAAGTTCAATCTCTTTGATAAGCATGGCAAACAGGTCGCCTTGTCCGTCGGCAGATCCGATTCCGAGGTCAAGTTTCGGCTCGCCTCTCCTAATCTTTGGTCCCCCTCTTCGCCCTATCTCTACAACATTACCGTTTCCATGGGCGCCGACACAATTAGCAGCTACACCGCGTTCCGCAGCATCGCAGTGGGCGAGGTCAATGGTATCAAACGGCCCTTGCTCAATGGCAAGTTCACCTTTTTGATGGGCACTCTGGATCAGGGCTTTTGGCCCGACGGCTTGTATCTCCCTCCCAACCGCGAAGCCATGGTGTATGACTTGAAGATGCTCAAGAGCCTCGGGTTTAATTCCGTTCGCAAACATGCAAGTCAATGAATGCTCCACCGTCGGCAGAGCCAGTTCTAACATCAACTACAGATCAAAGTAGAGCCAGATCTCTTTTTCCGCGCCTGCGACGAAATGGGTCTCGTCGTCATTCAAGATATGCCGAGCATGTCGGCCGATGGCAGAGTACCGAATGCAGACCAACAGGCCGAGTTTCGCCGTCAGCTGGGGATCCTCATCAATGAGCACAAAAACTATCCGTCGATTCTGGTCTGGGTAAGCTACTTACTTTTTTCTTTTCTTTTTCACTTTTCTCTGTACTTTTCCTCTTCTATTTAGTTCCTAACATGTCATCCAGGTCATCTACAACGAAGGCTGGGCCCAAATCAACAGACCCCCCTACCCCGAAGGTGAACTGACAGAGATGGTGCGCAAATTGGATCCGACGAGATTGATCGACTCAGTTACTGGCTGGAATGACCATGGTTTTGGCGACTTTTCGGTATGTACACTATTGCACGATACACTTTACACGGTACATCTGTGCTCGAGGGACTGACTGGCAAAGGACAACCACCACTATGCCAACCCGCAGTGTGGCAGCCCGTTCTCGTCGCTCCCTGGCGGCCCATACGACTCGAGCAGGATCGGCTTCTCGGGAGAATTCGGCGGTGTTGGTCACAATGTCTCAGCCGACCAGTAAGGCACTTGTCCCTCGCTTGCATGAATTTTACTAATACAGTCCGGCGTCAGCTTATGGAAGGTGCAGCATGCCATTGACGAAATCAACCAGACGTACGAAATGGATGAGACTCTCGAGGCGTACAACTACCGCACTGGCGTGCTGTTTAGGGAGTTGAAGGAGCAGATTGAGATGTACGCCTGCAGCGGCGCCATCTACACCCAGACGAGCGACGTCGAGGGCGAGCTCAACGGCCTGTACACGTACGACCGCCGCATTCTTCGCCCAGACGTGAAGCAGTGGAAGCGGGACATTGGTCGCTTATATGCGGCGGCACAGGGCCGCGGCGGTGCTTGATTTGTGCATCATAGCTTACAGTAGTGTTAGGATAATAGCTTTGCTCGGAGTATACATTCTTCAATATCGGTGAACTCGCATATCTATTCGCCCGTCAATAGGTGAATTGAGTGGCGATTGTAGTTGGTGCACCCACATGGCGATGAAACAAGATGCGGCACGGGTACTACTGGATTGTGCGACGTGGTCGAGCATTGTGGTAGCACGAGGAGTGTATCGAGGATGTCTATAATCTCGTATATTATCAATATAATAAGCGTTTTGCTATTTCCAACTAGTAGCATGGTACAACTAGATGACTTGAAGTACTGCTTGCCCGCTTCCCCATTGATACGACGAGAGCTAAAAGCGTCCCATACAAGCCCCAATATCCCATCTACCCTTCCCGCTCAACCTATCGCGACAGCACAGTCACCGTGACGTTGCCCAGCGCGCCGCTGTCCCTGTTGATGGGCGAGGTGGTGATGCTGTACGGGGACGTTGCCGCGTCATAGTCCTTGAGCTGGAAGTCGTTCCACTTGTCGCCCCACGGGCAGCTGAAGTAGACGCCGCAGATCTTCTGGCCGCCGAGGAACAGGCTGAAGCTGCCCTCGACGCCCGAGGACGAGTCGGAGCGGCCCGACGCGCCGACCGACGCCTGCGCCCCCGAGGCGACCGTCGTCTTGTTGACCTGCTCCGGCAGGATCTCGCTGTTCTTGTTCTCGCCCTCGTAGAACTTGCCCCTTGGTTTGGTCAGCAGGGGAGACGACTTGCGCTAGGTGCCCTAAATATACCAGATCATTTGCGCGTCTTGCACGGTAATGAGCCCGGTGTGCACCAGGTTCACGATGGTGACGGAAACCCACTGAGCGTAAGCCATGATGTAGAATAGAGTCTAAGAGACGACTTTTTTGAACGGGGTTAAATAGATAAAAGAGTATGATACGTATCAGATGCAGAGAAAATAGAAGCCGAGGGAATCGCTGATAGTTATATACATGGCATTCTTCACTGCGGCAATTCGCCTCGTTCTACAAGCCTAGTTCCATATGCCGAATTATCCCCTGTATACTGGTCATTCCCGCGCGTTCCGAAGTCATTCCATGTGAACCCGTCTGGCTTTTTCTTGGCCGAGAACACGAGACGGTTTTTTTTTTACCACATGGGTAGGATCGCGGCGAGGCTATGACTCGAGTTGTCCGAATGCCGGGAACCAAGCGAGTTGGAGTATAAGCCAAGTCTGCTATAGATCTATATTGCAGTCCATTTAATCTCTTTCCCGTCCTACTATTCTCTAGTCCACTTATTGCCGCTCCATAGCCCCCCTCCCCTGCTCTCGCAGTAGTTGGTTCAACTGGCGCTTCTGGGAATTGAATTCGTATTTCCAATAGCCGTGCTGGCGGTTCGTTCAAGTCCGGGCTCAGCCATCCGGCAGAAGCAAAAGTCTCATGATTCTTGCCAGCACGTGTTCCCAACTCGTGTTGAAAGCGGATTGCATCGCATCATGTCTCTTCCTCGAAGAAAGACTCTTTGTAGCGCTGAACCTGGCTACTTAAGTCTGTCGTCGCCTTGTCATATTGATACCTACCATCACTGTTCCAAGTTCAAAGTCACACAGAGCCATTACACTTTTTTTTTTCAACGCAGCAAATAATCTCTAGCACACGATGCGAGTCGGTGCTGACACTTTTGTGAAGGGCAAAGTCCCAGCCGCCTTGCTCTTCTGGAAGGTGGCGTATGGCGAGACGGTGCCTTTTTCGAATGGCTTGACTCTTGGCCAAGGGTGAGTCGAACCAAGATTCATCTTGTGTCGCTTTGTGTTTCTCATATGCTTACTCCCTTGACAGCTACAACACGTATCTGAACCACGGCTGCCGTCACAATGCAGTCAATATCTCGTTGAAGCCCGACTCTGCGACCCCGCAGCTCCAGATTGACTACCAGGCCATCCAGATCACCAAATACGAGTCAGTGGTACTCTCTGCATCAGTCCCTGCTTTTTCGGTTACTTACCTTTCGTACGAATAGGCAACTTGTTACTGTCCTCGAGACAAGCGCCGGTGCCGCTGTCAAGGCCGTTGTCGAGCCTGTCCCCGCCGTCGAGCCCGTCCCCCCCGTCACGCCGGGCGCCTCTGCCAGCACTACTGCCTCGTTCCTGGACAAGAGTTCGGTAAGACCAGCACGTCGCATACGCAGTCTGTATTCTCTGTCGCTCATCTTGCCACTCTCTCTAGTTTGAAGCCAGCTTCCTGACCTACGTGGTCAAGGTCGACGTGCAGAAGCAGTCCACGTCCCAGGCTACCTACGCTCTCAACTGGGACAATGCTCCTGATTCCTCCGTCTACTGCGATCGTTTCATCAGCGGTGCGTGTCTGGTTACAAAACACACACTGTCCGCTTGGCTGACATGACTCTGCCAGACTTTACAAAGGGCGGTGCGCTTTTCGCCCGTGTCGACATTAAAACGACCGACTCGTCCAAGCACAAGGCTCTGGAGCAATCGTGCGTTCTTTCAGACACGTAAATAGAAGAGCGACAGCAGCAGACTAACATCAGAACAGCGCCAAAGCCGCCTTCAGCGCATTCGGGGCCAATGTCGAGCTGACACAGTCCGTCAAGTCCAGCATGACGGAAATCGAAAAGTCATCCGAGATTTCTATGCAGTTCGTCTACGTCGGCGCCCCCTCCGATGCGCAACAGACTGTCAGCGGCAGCGGTAACGGTTCTGGCGACGCGTCGCAGCTGGCTCAGCTCAAGTCCATCGCCGACAACTTCCTTGGCAAAGCAAAGGACAGCGAGTGGAAGCGCCAGTACGTTTCTCCTGCCCAGTGTTGCTGCGACGAAAAGGCTAACATTCGTCCTACAGCGCGATTCTCCAACAATATGAGCACGTTCCCAACTGGAGCAACCAGTTCAAAGTCCCCGACTACACCGCCGCCAAGGATTTCGTAAGTTGATCGAGACGACATGTGTTTCTTTCGGCTACTTTTATTTCACCCTTTTTTTCCGGCTCTAATCAAGTCACAGAGCTGGTCCGTTTTCAAGGACAGCAGCAGCTACAAGGCCATGTTGAAGGCAGCTCAGCTGGGTAACATTGCTTTCCCATCTCCGCGTCGCAAGATCCCGGCCCGCTAACAATTGCAGTTTCTCCCGAGCACTGGGTTGGTGGTGCTTCGACCAAGAACCAGATCCTCACCGTCATTGGGCAGACGCTATCCGATATTTCCGAATGGGTGCGAGCTCCCAGCAGCGAAGAAATCGGCATTTTGGCTAATATTGTGGCAACAGGTAAAACGGGTCACCACGGACCCAGCCTCGGCGGCGACACGCCCGACCATTACAGCCCCGGAAAAGTATCTCGACACATTCCTGGTGAGTTTCAAGGGTTATTTACGGTCTTGCGCAACATAAATTCTCACACAGTAATGGCAGACGTCACTCACGACGACCAAGTACATTGCTCAATCCTTTGAAACGGCAAACCATGTCAGCACCAACGGTACGTCTTTCTTTTTCTTCCTTCTCCGGGCTATCAAGCAGTCTTTGGTCCCCAAAAAGCTAACCCATCATCATGGTAGTCATTGAACCGTCGCTGCGGTCCGGCGCGACCAAGCTTTCCGACGTGGAGGCCTTTGGCTTTGGCACTGTTGCCGGCAGCGTCAAGGTCGCCTTTGGCCGCAGTCTTCAGGGGGAGTCGTACATCTGCCTTCCCGATCAGCCCATGGCACCCGGCTTCAAGGCCGTTTCTGAGCTGTGGGGTATGAAGAAGGCAACGGGCAGCTTCAACAAGCCGATCCATGTCCTGCCCGTTCCCCAGGCTGGTGTCATTCGGCTCAGCACGGACCAGCAGGCCCCAGGCGGCACCTTGTTCACATTCTATACCAAATAAGTCTATAGTTTACTAGGTAGCCAGGCGCATTCACAGTAGGGTTGAAGTAGGCAGCGCCCTCAGGGCAACAATACACAAGATCGTCTCCCCTAATGCCGATTCTCGCGAGACTTTGACTTGCGATCAATTACAAAAATGACCGAAGCGCCAAGATACCCCTATCAATATACCAAGGCCGATTAATTTGTCCCTCCATTCTGAATGGCAGAAGTGGGTTGTCGATGTCTTCGGTAATTGACGAAGACCAGGATATGTGTCCCCGGGACTAAAGACAACTAGGATGGATCAGGGCTTAAACACGAATTATTCCCCATTGAAAGATTCGCTCACTTAAACGTTTTAGTTTTCTGGGGGCTATTGTAAAGTTGTGATATGCGCTATCAGTACGTCCCCTCTACTCCCGACGGTTGTTTATGCTACAATTTTCCGGAATTTACCAATTGATCTCCCCCGCTCTCATTCTACTCTCTCAGCTCGTTCTTTGCACGTGAATCAATCCATTCCTGAACACAGTCAACCGCCCTCTGCGGGGCGTCCTGGTGCTGCAGGAGAAACGACATGACCTCAGCCGGGCTTACCAGTCGCTCCGGCAGCCTCGCCGCGAACGCGTCGGCCAGCACAGGCAGCTTCTCCTCTCCGCCCGACGTCTCCTCATCAGGGCCTACCGGGCTCCGGTAGACGAGGTCAAAAAGATCCCTGGCCACGTTGCGGTCGGCGAGCGGGAACTCGACGCGGACGTCGATGCGCCCCGGCCGGACGAGCGCCGCGTCGAGTCGCGCCGCGTAATTCGTCGTCATGATCAAGATGCGGCCTTCCTGCGACGACACGCCGTCAATGATGTTGAGCAGGCCCGACATGGTGGTGCCAGCGGCCGATGATGCATCACCAGCCGCGTGCGCCGCCCCGACCGCGCGGTTCTTGGCAATCGCATCGACGTCCTCGAGCAGGACGACGCACCGGCCCGGTAGCTTCTCAAAGAGCTGCTTGAGGCTGTCGTCGGTGATGCCCGAGATCTGGATGCGGTAAATGTCGAGCTCAAAGTGGCCCGCGACCGAGAGGCTCAGGCTCGTCTTGCCGGTGCCCGGCCGGCCGTAGAAGAGATAGCCGCGCCGGTACGGGATCCCGCGCTGCGCGTACCAGCGCTGCGTCGCCGGGTCCACGAAGCGCGCCATGTCCGCCACCAGCCGCTGCTTGGCCGCCGCGTCGAGCGCGACCGTG